ACCGAGCCTCAAGATGCTTTTCAAGAGTGTGTTAAGTGCAGAAGGAAACGAGGGTAACAGGAGAAACCCACAGTACATGAGGATACAAGGCTCAAAGGTCTGCTCACACAGCTTCGGGAGACTCATTCGCTGTAATTGCCTTATCTTGGTCACCTTGAATGAAGTAGGTTTGGGAGCTTCACAAATATGTATAATCCACAAGCCCTTGCCTCCCAAGTGATGGACGTTATATTAGACTCCCTATTTGAATGATGTCTCTGGCATATGATGGAATGACAGCAAAAACGCTGAAAATATATATAGGCGGAAAAAATAGATTACAGTTAGAAGATACATTTTTGTGGCAAGGCCAAGTGCATACTGTGAGTCTTAAGCTTTGTCAAGAGAGTCAGAGAGCCACTCATGGATGATTATGCTACATAATACACTGCGGAAGCTCGCTGCCGAGCGATCTATTTTACGGGAGTTTCACCTTCCTGCGATTTCCTGATGATGTCTTGATTCATCTCACAGTTTCACGCATTAACTGCGAAACCCGGTATTCGAGCCATCGACCGTCGGTCGCCAGCATTCAGTGCGGACGTCGTGGCGCTAGGTTTTTATGTCTTCCCCACGCTCGTAATGTCTGCTTGAGTGTTCGGGGTCGGATGAAGAGAGGCCAGCGCAGTGACTCCATTACCTCGCCCGTCACCTACCGGCCCCCACTCCACCCCACCTCTAAATCTTCAGCCTGTCCAGCACATTAATCAGCAGCCATCCAGAGATGAATTCCGCCACAGCCGACCGCGCTCCATGAGCTCAATTTATTTCCATCCTTAACGCTTGTAATTAAAAGCGATGAAGTTCACAAGGCACTGCCGTCACCCTCACTGCCGTCTCTTTGCCGAAACTAATACAGGAATCAGAGTCTGTGATTCCGGGGAGAAACATTGCAGACAGTGCTCAGATGGGGGACATCTTTCTACTGACAAGGCAGATAAGCACACGAGCGAGAACACGCACACATGCCCGTGCGTGGTTGCATGCGCATGTGCGCATATGCGTGCGTTTCATTCGGAGAAACGATTGCACGTACGCGCCGACCCGAGTGCTTGCCCGGCGCGCGCGAGCGCAAAAGCGCGTGCACGTGCAGGAGCCAACAGTGCGTGCTGGCGCCATGATCGTTGGCGCCGCCCGCAAGACGCGCGCCTGGCCCGGAGCCAGCTCTCTCCCGCCCGCAACAGCGGAGTTTAATCTGCAGCCCGAGCCCACATCCCATTCATTCATCTACTCGCCCTGTCCCCGTTTGGCATTTCCCTGGCGAGCGCCAACTGGATGGGGCGTTATCCGGGCCGCGTAGAACGGCTGCGCGGGAGGAAGCGGAGCTGGACTCGGGCGAAAGCAGGGCGCGCACACAAATCCCCGCGGGGATCGCATTACAACTGATGATTCATCCTGCGCTTCAAAGCATCACAGCGCAGCTGTCCCTCACTAGGAGAGAAGACCAGGGCTTTCCTCGTGCTCCTTGCTTCAGCCCCAACAGCCGCAACCCCGCCACCACCACGCCTGCATTCCACTCCGCTGCCCCCCCCCCCCCACTTCACAGCGAAATCACATCTGCCAACCATCTCTCCATCCGGCAGAATGACATTCTTAGCAAAGAGACGTTTTCCTTCTCGTTTTTAGCATGAGATTAGCCAAGAATACTTCAGGCTTGGCGATAGTGAGTGCCACAAAGCAGGACTTGGCTGACAAGAGGAGGAACCTTGGATGAAACTGACATCGTCAGGACTGGCTGCTCACACTCTACAGAGGAGCACGAAGAGCATGAAGAGGAGGATCTACAAGAGGTGCATAAAATGAAGAGCGGTATTCCCTGTGGCTTGAACACACGGACCACCACATCATAGCGCGATCAGTCCCTGGGAAACTATCCACTTGTGCTCATGCACAAAAAGGGGGGAAAAATCATAATTGAGCATTTTGATAAATTCCCTAGTGTAGTGTTCCTCCCCAAACCCCTAAAGTCTGGAGTTTATGGTAAATTGAACCACGATCCAGTAAGTAGTAATGCAATTATTCCTCTAATAGACGACACATCGGTGGTTATGGGTGATTACTGTAAATGCCAGCGCACAAACGGGGGTACGAGCGCGCCGGGGTTTTGTGAAGGCCAAGAACATTGTGCCGACCGTGATCAGCGTGCGGGGCACATCGCCACCGCTCCCACACACCCCGGCAGCCTCGCTCATTTACATTCCTCCACGCGGCACACCGCGCCGTGCCGAACCGCACCGCTCAAGCCCTGGCGCACAGCAATGTCTCCACATACATGCCCTGACGTGGAAATCAATACACTCACTCCTAACGCCGCGTGGCAAGAGTCACATAGCCCAGTTCACGCACGTTTTTCTACATACACTATATATATAAAAACTTCTACTGATTTATGATAATTTTTCCTTATAACTGTGACTAATGAGTGGGCTTGGGGAGGATACGTCGCTAGAAGGGACGATGGACGGTCAGCGAGAATAATTTCTGGCAGCCAAACCAAAGGAGGGAAAGCACTCGAGAGGATGTCCACTGTGGAGATTGGCTGGCGTGCAGGTGCTGGGCGAATTGTTGCAACGTGAGACCGTGAATGGTGGTGGCGACTTCAGTGGATTGATCATGGCTGACGATGACGATCATGATCGTAATTTAAATGGGAACATTTTTTTCCAACGTCCAACAAAGACTGCCAATACGGTGATCCCAGTATTGCGCTAGCGCTGGCCGCAGCATGGACCTTTACGATGAGCCCTCAACGGCAACGCTGCACTGTACGAATCAGGCAGGTCATCGATTAGGAGCTACAGGCGCAGTGCTCCAGGTTAAGCACCGGGGAAGTATTCCGACACCAAACTCCACTGCCTGCCTCTGCACACACAGCACACGTGCACCGACACAGCTGCCACGAAGGCCACCAGCCTTGCACATCCACCAGTGCCAGCACTGCTATCGGATGACCGCATCATTGTTCAAATGAATATTGGCAGAATCATTAAGGTCATCATGCGCCATTGTTATGGCAACATTTGTGCGTGCAAATAAGCCACGCAGCCACCGTATTACCCCAATGCATGTATTAACCAAGCTCTGCCGTATGTAATTTCCAGATAATATTTTCTACAATTATTATCTCTCAGGAAGTTATGTTAACCCATGCTGAATCGATATTTCACTTTCAACCGTAAAGAAAAAGCCACTAAAACCAACGTTTCCAGATTAATGTAATCACCATTTTGCAATGAGGACCGAATTTGTTGCTAAATTAAAACCATGGCGTCAAATGTAATTGGCGTGACCAACCTCCGATGGTACAGGTTGGCTACCTGGCCACATCCGAATCGCTGTGGAAACCGGACCGACATGACAAGATGTGAGCACAGCGCCCAAACAGAAAACACCGGGTGAACACTGAGCGCCAAAAGTTGGTTCCAACTTCTAGCACCACACCAAACCATTTTAGACATTGCTGACACAAGAGGTCCAACACAGGGCCCTGCGAGGTCTCCATAACAGAGGCTGGAATCAAAGCTACTCTGTTTCACGTGGCATACAGTCACCATCGGAATGAGGAACTCGGTTCCATGAAACCATTTGGAACCTCAGCTTTCCACAGTACAAATGTAAAACGGGATCTCATTCTGTGGAGGAAATGTGGTGGTTGGATACAAGCAAACGTCGCCCTTCCCTTTGGCAACAACCACCCGTGCTGGATCACGGTGGCCAGGATTGAGACGTTGACCACGCAGCCCGGGTCCCCCTCGGTGTCTCGCGCATGGTGGTCACATCTGGAGATCACTGCCACTTCCAAACAGTTCAGATGCAGCGAGACATACGCACGCAAGAGGATTTCTCAGGACCTCTCTCTCCGCTGTTCACCAGCTCCTAGAGACCTCCTCACGTGCACAAGAGGCAGAGTAAGCAGCCTGCACCACACTCTGTGATGTGTGTGGATCAGGCTTGAAAAGCCACAGCCGAGGCAAACAACATGTGGCACGAGCATGAACATCACCAGCAACCTCACTGTGCATCAGGACGACAACCAAAACCACCACGCACTGCAGGTGAAAGCACTTCTCTTTCTGCTTCTTACCTCGCACTGCTCAGCTTTGGAATCCCTTTCTATCGTCACTTTCTGACGTTCTTACAATAATAACCGTGCTCAATTCAAGAGATGTCTTTTCTATATCTCTATATATCATGGTGGTGGGCTGTATCATGGTGTGCTGTATCCCGTGGTTGGTGTGCTGCATCATGGGGTTCTGTATTTCATGGTGATGTTCTGTATGTATCATGGGGTTCTGTATTTTATGGTGGTGTTCTGTATGTATCACGGTGTTCTGTATTTTATGGTGGTGTGCTGCATGTATCATGGTGTTCTGTATTTTATGGTGGTGTTCTGTATGTATCATGGTGTTCTGTATTTTATGGTGGTGTGCTGTATGTATCATGGTGTTCTGTATTTTATGGTGGTGTGCTGTATGTATCATGGTGTTCTGTATTTTATGGTGGTGTTCTGTATGTATCATGGTGTTCTGTATTTTATGGTAGTGTGCTGTATCACGGTGTTCTGTATCTCGTGGTGGTGTGCTGTATGACATGGTGGTGTGCTGTATGACATGGTGGTGTGCTGTATGACATGGTGGTGTGCTGTATGACATGGTGGTGTGCTGTATGACATGGTGGTGTGCTGTATGGCATTGGGGGAGTGTTGTATGACATGGTGGTGTGCTGAATGACATGGTGGTGTGCTGTATGACATGGTGGTGTGCTGTATGACATGGTGGTGTGCTGTATGACATGGTGGTGTGCTGTATGGCATTGGGGGAGTGCTGTATGACATGGTGGTGTGCTGTTTGACATGGTGGTGTGCTGTATGGCATTGGGGGAGTGCTGTATCTCAAGGTGGTGTGCTGTATCTATCTCATGGTGGTGTGCTATATCCCGTGGTGTGCTGCACACGCACGCACCTCGTCTTCGGGGTGCTGGCAGTACCCGGGCCACTGCGCCCCGGGGCCGAGTCCGGGGAAGGCGGCGAGCGGAGGCGACGGGAAGGAGGGCAGCCCCAGCGGGGAGGCCCGGGGACCCAGCGCCGCGAGCCCGGGCTGCGGGGACCCCGGGGCGTGGGGCCCCGCGGGGCCGAGCCTCAGGCCACTCTGAAATCTCTCGACTAGGCATCTCGCCCCCGCGGGGCCCTTCACGCCGTGGCCACACACCCCGCACAGGGGGGACACCGCGTCCCTCTCGTGGTGGGGCCCGGCCTCGCCGCCCGCGGCAGCGGCCCCCATCTCGGCGTGGGACACGTCCAGCAAGAGCCCCTTGAGCTCCACGCCTCCTCCTCCTGCTCCCGCTGCTCCACATCCTCCAGAACCTCTTCCTACACCGCCGGCGCCGTCAGCCACGCCGCCGAGGAGGCAGGTGAGCAGCAGGTGGGCCGAGGGCAGCCCATGAACCCCCGCGTCGCCCAGCGCCGCGTCCCGCCGGCACGTGGGGCACGCCAGCCGCCCGTCACGCCGCCGCCGCGCCTCCAGGCAGGGCCCGCAGAAGGCGTGCAGGCACGGCAGCACCCGCAGCGGGGGCTTCGGGGCCGCGGCTGCTGGGGCCTGGGTGCCGGCCCCTCCGGCCGGACTCCGCCGGACCACCCCGGGGCCCTCCGGGCACAGGGGGCAGCGCTGCGACTCCACGGGCCCAGCGCCGAATGCGGCCATGGGCCTCGTCTCGCATGGGGGACGAACAGGGCCACCCAGCTCCTCGCCTCTCCTCGTCTTCTCTTCTTCTTCTCCTTCCTCGTCGTCGTCACGCCCTATTAACGAGCGACGAGGTCGACGGTGTTGGCGTAAACATCCTCCTCCTCCTCATCACTGAGATCTTCATATCCCCGACCATCACCACCAGCAGCACATTCGCATCACTGTCAGCGCCGTCGTCGTCCCCGTAACCGACATCATCTCAATCATCGTCAACATCGTCGATCGCCGAGTTCCTCCTCTTCCCCCCCTCATCCGCACCGTCTGGGGCTCATCATGGCCTTCCTCCTCCCCGTCACCTCGTCGTCTCTACTTCTTTACCGGCGGGGTCACGTCTCGGGCTTCTTGCCCATCCCGCGGCTCCAGCCTCGCTCCCCGCTCCCCACCACCTCCTCGTTCCCCACCACCTCCTCCTCGTTCCCCACCACCTCCTCCTCGTTCCCCACCACCTCCTCCTCGTTCCCCACCACCACCTCCTCGTTCCCCACCACCTCCTTCTACCTCCTCGATGGCCCAGCGGTAGCGAGACGCCGCTGCTCTGGCAGGAGCTGCGGGTTCACTCGGGGTCGCGGGCTGGAGCCGCGTCTCCCGCCTCTCTCTCTCGCCAGGCGGCCCCTCGCTCCCTCGCTCGCTCGCGTCTGCTTCCGAGCCTCCCTCAATCCCCGCGTCGCGTGGGGCTGTCTCACACGAAGCGTTCCCCCCCGCCGTCTCCCTCTCACGCCGCGCCTCCTCCTCCCCACCACCACCACCAGCCCCGCGTCCTCCTCCCCACCACCACCAACCCCGCGTCCTCCTCCCCACCACTACCAACCCCGCGTCCTCCTCCTCCCCACCACCACCAGCCCCACGTCCTCCTCCTCCCCACCACCACCAGCCCCACGTCCTCCTCCTCCCCACCACCACCAGCCCCACGTCCTCCTCCTCCCCACCACCACCAGCCCCACGTCCTCCTCCTCCCCACCACCACCAGCCCCACGTCCTCCTCCCCACCACCACCAGCCCCACGTCCTCCTCCTCCCCACCACCACCAGCCCCACGTCCTCCTCCCCACCACCACCAGCCCCGCGTCCTCCTCCTCCTCCCCACCACCACCAGCCCCGCGTCCTCCTCCTCCCCACCACCACCAACCCCGCGTCCTCCTCCTCCCCACCACCACCACCAGCCCCGCGTCCTCCTCACCACCACCACCAACCCCGCGTCTTCCTCCTCCTCCCCACCACCACCAACCCCGCGTCTTCCTCCTCCCCACCACCACCACCAACCCCGCGTCTTCCTCCTCCCCACCACCACCAGCCCCGCGTTCTCTACGCGTGGGTGCGGGAGCGCGGCCTCCACGCCGCCGCCGCCATGTTACAGGAGCTGTGACGTCAGCGCGCAGCGCGGAGACACGGGGAGAGACAGGGAGAGACACAGGAGACAGGGGGAGACACAGGGGGGGAGACAGGGGGAGACACGGGGGGAGACATGGGGAGAGACACAGGAGACAGGGGGAGACACGGAGAGACACAGGGGGAGAGACACGGGGAGAGACACAGGAGACAGGGGGAGACACGGAGAGACACAGGGGGAGAGACACAGGAGACAGGGGGAGACACGGAGAGACACAGGGGGAGAGACACAGGAGAGACAGGGGGAGACACACAGGAGAGACAGGGGGAGACACACAGGAGAGACAGGGGGAGACACAGGGGGAGAGACACGGGGAGAGACACAGGAGACAGGGGGAGACACGGAGAGACACGGGGAGAGACACAGGAGACAGGGGGAGACACGGAGAGACACAGGGGGAGACACAGGGGGAGAGACACGGAGAGAGACACGGGGAGATACACAGGAGACAGGGGGAGACACAGGGGGGGAGACACGGGGGGAGACACGGGGAGAGACACAGGAGACAGGGGGAGACACGGAGAGACACAGGGGGAGAGACACGGGGAGAGACACAGGAGACAGGGGGAGACACGGAGAGACACAGGGGGAGAGACACGGGGAGAGACACAGGAGACAGGGGGAGACACGGAGAGACACAGGGGGAGACACAGGGGGAGAGACACAGGAGAGACAGGGGGAGACACACAGGAGAGACAGGGGGAGACACACAGGAGAGACAGGGGGAGACAGGGGGAGAGAAAGGGGGATACACAGGGGGAGAGACACGGGGAGACACAGGGAGAGTCACAGGGGGAGATACGGAGAGAGACACGGGGAGAGACACAGGAGAGACAGCGGGAGACACAGGGGGAGAGACACGGAGAGAGACACGGGGAGAGACACAGGAGACAGGGGGAGACAGGAGACAGGGGGAGACACAGGGGGGGAGACACGGGGGGAGACACGGGGAGAGACACAGGAGACAGGGGGAGACACGGAGAGAGACACAGGGGGAGAGACACGGGGAGAGACACAGGAGACAGGGGGAGACACAGGGGGAGAGACACGGGGAGAGACACAGGAGAGACGCAGGGGGAGAGACACAGGAGAGACAGGGGGAGACACAGGGGGAGAGACAGGGGGAGACACAGGGGGAGACACAGGGGGAGCGACACGGGGAGACAAGGGAGAGTCACAGGGGGAGACACGGAGAGAGACACGGGGAGAGACACAGGAGAGACAGGGGGAGAGACACGGGGGCAGGCAGGGAGAGTCACAGGGGGAGACACGGGGAGTGACACGGGGAGAGACACAGGAGAGACACAGGGGGAGACACGGGGAGATCACAGGGGGAGACACGGGGAGTGACACGGGGAGAGACACAGGAGAGACACGGGGGGAGAAAGGGAGAGTCACAGGGGGAGACACGGGGAGTGACACGGGGGGAGACACGGGGAGAGACACAGGAGAGACAGGGGGGAGGCAGGGAGAGTCACAGGGGGAGACACGGGGAGTGACACGGGGAGAGACACAGGAGAGACACAGGGGGAGACACGGGGAGACACGGGGAGAATCACAGGGGGAGACACGGGGAGTGACACGGGGAGAGACACAGGAGAGACAGGGGGAGACACAGGGGGAGAGACACGGGGGGAGAAAGGGAGAGTCACAGGGGGAGACACGGGGAGTGACACGGGGGGAGACACGGGGAGAGACACAGGAGAGACAGGGGGAGACACGGGGAGACACAGGGAGAGTCACAGGGGGAGACACGGGGAGTGACACGGGGAGAGACACAGGAGAGACAGGGGGAGACACGGGGAGACACAGGGAGAGTCACAGGGGGAGACACGGGGAGTGACACGGGGAGAGACACAGGAGAGACAGGGGGAGACACGGGGAGACACGGGGATACACAGGGAGAGTCACAGGGGGATACACAGGGAGAGTCACAGGGGGAGACACGGGGAGTTGTCACGGGGAGAGACACAGGAGAGACAGGGGGAGAGACACGGGGGGAGACAGGGAGAGTCACAGGGGGAGACACGGGGAGTGACACGGGGAGAGACACAGGAGAGACACGGGGAGAGACACGGGGTGAGACACGGGGGGAGACAGGGAGAGTCACAGGGGGAGACGGGGAAACATAGGGGGGGACAGACACAGGGGGAGACAGGGACAGACACAGGGGGAGACAGGGACAGACACAGGGGGAGACATATAGCGGGAGAAAGGGAGAGATACACGGAGAGACACGGAGAGACACGGGGAGACACAGGGAGAGTCACAGGGGGAGACACGGGGAGTGACACGGGGAGAGACACAGGGGGAGATACGTAGAGAGACACGGGGAGAGACACAGGAGAGACAGGGGGAGACACAGGGGGAGAGACACAGGGGGAGACACAGGGGGAGAGACACGGGGGAGACAGGGAGAGTCACAGGGGGAGACACGGGGAGTGACACGGGGAGAGACACAGGAGAGACAGGGGGAGACACAGGGGGAGAGACACGGGGGGAGACACAGGAGAGACAGGGGGAGACACAGGGGGAGAGACACGGGGAGAGACACGGGAGGAGACAGGGAGAGTCACAGGGGGAGACGGGGAAACACAGGGGGGAACAGACACAGGAGGAGACACAGGGGGAGAGAGGGACAGACACAGGGGGAGAGAGGGACAGACACAGGGGGAGACATATAGCGGGAGAAAGGGAGAGATACATGGAGAGACACGGAGAGAGACACGGAGACACAGGGAGTGACACGGGGAGAGACACAGGAGAGACACGGGGGGAGACAGGGAGAGTCACAGGGGGAGACAGGGGGAAACACAGGGGGGGACAGACACAGGGGGAGACACAGGGGGAGACAGGGACAGACACAGAGGGAGACATATAGCGGGAGAAAGGGAGAGATACACGGAGAGACAGAGGAGAGACACGGGGAGACGGAGAGAGATATGAGGATACGGGAAGAGACGAGGGGAGACATTGGGACGGAGACAGAGAGACACGATATCTCCGATACCAACACAGGGCGAGATAGAGACACGGGGAGACAGATGACATTGAGTGACAGGTGGTGACAAGGGGCCGCAAGAATCAACGGGACAGTGGAGACAGACATGGAGACAGAGATGGGGAGACCAGAATAATGAGGAGACAGGGAACACAAGAGTGTAGGATTCAGAGGAAACAGCGAACACTGGTGATAGAGGTCTCAGGTAGTACGGGGAGACCAAATGGTATCTCCCCATACACCTCACCACTCCCCTCTCGCACCTCTAAACCCCTCTCACCCTCAAAGACGTCCACGCTCCTGCACGCCACATCGACAAACACTGCAACAACTTCGCACCTCTACTCATCTCCACAACCTCCACGCACACCCCTCTCACACCTTGGGTAGCCAGCTTTACACTGTAGACCAACCCAAGACAGATTTCTCCCATCAGCCTCGGTCAGGAATCGGCAATCAAAATAAAAGGAGACTTTTTTTTAATTCGGTAAAAAATCCCACTACATTTCAAGAGCTGCGATGCTACCAACACCCCCCTCATAACACCTCGCCACGGATCACTCGGTCGTCCGAGGCTCGCTCCGCATTGAACCATAACTTCGTCTCGGCGTTTGGGGGAGCCGGGCCAGTCCCCCGTGTCCGTGAGGCTCGGACGCGATGCGCTCGTGCCGCCGAGCCACTACGAACCTGATGTTGCCTCGCGATCTGTGACCTCAATGACCTTATCTGCAGCAGCTGCTGCTAAATCCACCGCATTAAAGCACGCATCGGAGCGGGGGATCTCTGGCGCTGTGCCAGCCCTGTGACCGACAGGACGAGGCCCAGTCCCACCGACTTCAGTACGGACGGATCTCGCGTTCTCTCAAGCCATCCTCTTGCACATGTTCCCGTTCCTCCAACTACAGGATCTGACCCTCTACACCGGTGGATCCAAACATTTTATGGACCCGCAGACCACTCTCAACCCTCATACAGTTTTCACGGACCACCATGGAGTAAAAACATGGTTTAATGAAATAGATCTTATCTGCAACAGCTCCGCAGACCACTCTTCCCAGTCTGCGGATCACAGGTTGGGAGCCACTGCGTTACTTACGTGACCCACCCCCCAACGCACAGACCTGTCACCGCAATCCAAGGACCCACACAATCTCTCATCTATCCCCTTGTCCGCTTTCCGCTCTTCACGCGCGTTCACCAGGGACACGCACGACCACCACCACAGGAAGACACGCCGATAGAGGTGAACCGTGATCACTTGGTCGTACAACAGGCTGTACAGGGTCACCAGGCGAGGTGTGCAGCGAATCCAGGTCATGCGAACGCACTCTGCTCTACCAGTAATCACAACAGTGGAAACCACACTGGAAATCTGTTGTCGGTGCCGCAAAGAGCGATTTTATTGACACGCACTCGGCAACCATTCTGCTCCACCTGGGTTTTTTGAGGATCACTCGTCATGTGGCCATCGTGCTGAATGCGCTGAAGTTCATTACTTCCATTGACAGGAGGTAATTTGAGTCGTCCAGTCGGCTGAAATGATGACCCTAACTGCCCGGGTTTTTCTGACACCAAGTGGCTTGAGAAGGCAGTGAGTGCATGAGACCTCATTTAATAAATAAATAAAAGTTTCATGTGAACGTTGCCCTTCAATCCCATGCAGAGAGATTAACCACTGCTGTTGGCCTCTGGCGACCGTGCCACGAGCAGAGCGCGCGCGCCACAAAGCCCGGTGCATCGGAGGCATCGCCTCCCAACCCACAAATTCCCACGCAGCATCGCTGGACTCCCAGCGCCACGCTAACTTGGCTCTCGTCCGCAAAACTCCAGCCCCCCCCCGTGCCTCCTTTGCGCTTCACGCGGCACACATCCACGCTCTGCAGGGTGCCACAGTGATGGTGTGCAGCGTGGTGGCAGTCTCATTTGCGCTGGGTTGGAGGAAATGTGGATGCTGGAGTTCCTGGTGCCCCCAGAGGCCCTTGAACCGGCTGTGGTTTTTTGCGGGCCTCCACCTTTGCAGGGGGCACCAGCTGGTTCCTCTTGATGATCTGTAGGGCCATCTGTGGGTTACCTGCTCACACAGCCACACACAGAGTTTGATCATTCGCCCTATCCAATTAAGACTGTTGAAAGCATTCATGCGTCAAACCCTGTCTGTAAGTAACAGGAACGCATAACTTGCACGTAAGGACGATCCAATATAATCAATATTTAGTAGAACTGACAAAATTGATCCAAGGGTTGCCCAAAACATGGCGATAAAAAACAGAGCTAAGAGGATACGCTTTGCCAACTAAGGCGATGACATCACACGTCAAGTGCCCATCTCTCTCCAGATGACATCGTGTCGTGTGACATCTTCTTGCGACACACCATGAGCCATGTCTCAGAAAGCGAGAGAGAATCCACACATGTGCATGAATTTTTCCCTTGTTTCATATAACAGACCACAATTCTCTTCATTGGTGTCTTTTGATATCATTTGCCACAACAGATATCCGGCATGATTTGAAAACAAGCAATTCCTATTGTATAGCCGCGTTACACAGGCCGTGTATCCCGGGCTGTATGACCGTGAGTTTGAAATTTTGTTCATGAGAAAAAAATACGTTCGAGTGACTTTCTGGATTGCCGCTAGAGTGCTCTACTCACATCACTGTCACTTTAGTCACTTTAATAGAGCATGCCTGAAGATCGCTTAAAAGTATTTTATTTTCTTTACCAGCGTTTAAAATGAATATCGCACAGCTGGGATATGCAGCCGAAGTACGGATCTGCATGCGGAGCATTGTTTGTAATACGTGCTGCAAATTCCGTTAATCGAATCAGCTTGAGCGTTAAAAAGGTGTTCTCAGCGGTAGTGACGGAGGCCGAGCGCCGTCAACGCCGCCAAGCCTCGCGTTACCATTCTGCAGCTCCAGGTAGACGGCGAGGAGGATGGCTTCAGGTGGCACCTCCCTGGGCGGAATGAGCAACGTCGCCTGCGCAGCACAAAGCAACACAATTCAGCACAATGCAACATGGCGCAATCAACGCAACGCAGCAAAACGTAAGACAGCACAACGTAATTCAACGCAGCAAAACGTAACACAACACAATTCAATAGAATGCAACACAATTCAACCTGGAAAAACAATTCAACACAAAGCACAACACAATTTAATGCAACACAGCACACCACGTTCCAAAGCAATTTGACACATTCCACCAGCTCGCAGCCCATTATGGAGCATGCTCATTTCAGCAGCAAGCCACAGGGAGAACGGTGGTGTTGATGGTGCTGGTGTTAATAGTCTTGGTAGTAGCAATGTACTGTAGTACTACTGGTATTTTAGTGGTGGTGTTGATAGTGATGGTAGTGTAGTGGTTGTGTTGGTCGTTATGGTATCAGTACAATATCAGTATTGGTTGTAGTTATGGTGATCGTGTACTGCTATCAATGTTGGTAGTGAAGTAGTCATCTTGTATTGTTAATAATGGGTCTGGCAAAACAACCACCACCCCCTTGATGGTTGTTAGACTGTAACACTGTCGTGTGTTGTGAGCAATGCCATGGAGGAAATGCTGACGCTAATTGGCTCTTTACCCGAAAAGTGCTCGCAGCCACCCGCCAACTGGGGCTATGGACAGGTACAAAAGAGATGGTAAACCTTCCACCTTCAACTAAATTACCAAAAAAACCCAAAAGAGAGATGAAAAGAAGCTTGTACCAGAGGCCTCAGGGGTACAAGGCACCTGGCCAAACCCCAACAGAGGGCGGAAGAGCGACGCCGACATCAACGAGCGGAGCGCCAGGCAGTTAAAATGCAACAAAGTCGGCAGAGGGGAGCGCCATATGGTGCATCTATCAACCCAGTTAACCAATAACACCTGCGTCTGTCCCATGACCTTCTGCTAGCGAGCCTTTGACACTTCATTTGCCCTGAAAGTGCAACTGGCCTGGGCAAAAGCGATGTCGTGATGTCGGCACCACTTATTGACGAATGGCAGCTGTTGTTGTCAGTAGTGCTGGTGGTAGTGTCAGGAAGAATGTCGTGTTAGTGTTGGATGAGAGGATGGCGTGAGTTTATTGGCAGTGCTGGTCATAAGGGCGGCCGCAGTCATGTGACTAGACAGCTGGCAGTGCCGCTCATAGCACCACAGCAGGACCGACCTGCTGCAGGCAGCGGCGCGCCTTGTCATACTCGCTGCGCAGGCAGTACGCACTGCCCAGGTTGAAGAGCATGGTGGCGCGGGCGGCACTCACAGAGCTGGGGTAGCACAAGGGGGCCAGCTTTCCATCTGAGATGGGGGACATGGACGAGAAAGCGAATATACACAGCTGCCAAAAAACTGAAACTGCAACGGTGCATTCCATGGGAATGACAGACGTGACACACGCGTCCAATAAACTTACTGTTTTCCATGGGTTCATTCTCTCCCTTGTCGCCACCTGAGGATGGAATAAGAATAATTAGGGTAATGTAAGTGCCAGCAGAGGCTCGGGTTAACAAGAATCAGCTCCCAATAAAAACAAAGACACAAACACGCGACCACGCATGTACCTTGCTCGAGTTCCGTGGTGGGGATGCCCAGAGACACGTCCGTCACGTTCTCAGGGTTGAGGTGTGCGATGGCGTCTGAGATGCGGTCCAGCGAAATGAGGGCTTCGGCTGCATACAGGTGGCCAAGGAACCTGCGACGACAACAACCACTGTAAAGCTTAACTCCGGAAAGCCGCATCGCCGTCACCCCGACCTCGCTTTCCCCTGGTCTCGTCCCAGGGTAGGAGGACACGTAGCGGCCTGTACCCAGACAACAGAGGCAGACCACGTGCCTATCTGTCGGGCACAAGACCCTGCCTTGCCACAAGGATATGCCCTCTCCATCTTCGTGAAGACAGAAGAAGAAAAATAAAAGCACATGAAAGAGGAGAGAGCTAGAGACAGCCTCTGTACGACCAGCACAAACAAAAATGTTGATGAAGCCCAACCTCTGCTGTCTCTTTATCGGCGGAGCGGCCTCACGTGGACAATATACACCTCATTGCAATGACCGTGTTGCTCAGCCATACAAACATCAATGTTAGACACAGATACAGTGATGGAAAAAAGTATTTGATCCCCTGCTGATTTTATGTTTACCCACTGACAAAGAAATGATCAGTCTATAATTTTAATGGTAGGTTTATTTGAACAGTGAGAGACAGAATAACAACAAAAAATCCAGAAAAACGCATGTCAAAAATTTTATAAATTGATTTGCATTTTAATGAGGGAAATAAGTATTTGACCCCTCTGCAAAACATGACTTAGTACTTGGTGGCAAAACCCTTGTTGGCAATCACAGAGGTCAGACGTTTCTTGTAGTTGGCCACCAGGTTTGCACACATCTCAGGAGGGATTTTGTCCCACTCCTCTTTGCAGATCTTCTCCAAGTCATTAAGGTTTCGAGGCTGACGTTTGGCAACTCGAACCTTCAGCTCCCTCCACGGATTTTCTATGGGATTAAGGTCTGGAGACTGGCTAGGCCACTCCAGGACCTTAATGTGCTTCTTCTTGAGCCACTCCTTTGTTGCCTTGGCCGTGTGTTTTGGGTCATTGTCATGCTGGAATACTCATCCACGACCCATTTCCAATGCCCTGGCTGAGGGAAGGAGGTTCTCACCCAAGATTTGACGGTACATGGCCCCGTCCATCGTTCCTTTGATGCGGTGAAGTTGTCCTGTCCCCTTAGCAGAAAAACACCCCCAAAGCATAATGTTTCCACCTCCATGTTTGACGGTGGGGATGGTGTTCTTGGGGTCATAGGCAGCATTCCTCCTCCTCCAAACATGGCGAGTTGAGTTGATGCCAAAGAGCTCCATTTTGGTCTCATCTGACCACAACACTTTCACCCAGTTGTCCTCTGAATCATTCAGATGTTCATTGGCAAACTTCAGATGGGCATGTATATGTGCTTTCTTGAGCAGGGGGACCTTGCGGGCGCTGCAGGATTTCAGTCCTTCACGGCATAGTGTGTTACCAATTGTTTTCTTGGTGACTATGGTCCCAGCTGCCTTGAGATCATTGACAAGATCCTCTGGTGTAGTTCTGGGCTGATTCCTCACCGTTCTCATGATCATTGCAACTCCACGAGGTGAGATCTTGCATGGAGCCCCAGGCCGAGGGAGATTGACAGTTCTTTTGTGTTTCTTCCATTTGCGAATAATCGCACCAACTGTTGTCACCTTCTCACCAAGCTGCTTGGCAATGGTCTTGTAGCCCATTCCAGCCTTGTGTAGGTTTACAATCATGTCCCTGCCATCTTTGGAGAGCTCTTTGGTCGTGGCCATGGTGGAGAGTTTTGAATCTGATTGATTGATTGATTGCTTCTGCGGACAGGTGTCTTTTATACAGGTAACAAGCTGAGATTAGGAGTACTCCCTTTAAGAGTGTGCTCATAATCTCAGCTCGTTACCTGTATAAAAGACACCTGGGAGCCAGACATCTTTCTGATTGAGAGGGGGTCAAATACTTATTTCCCTCATAAAAATGCAAATCAATTTATAACATTTTTGACATGCATTTTTCTAGATTTTTTTGTTATTCTGTCTCTCACTGTTCAAATAAACCTACCATTAAAATTATAGACGGATAATTTCTTCGTCAGTGGGCAAACGTACAAAATCAGCAGGGGATCAAATACTTTTTTCCCTCACTGTAGGTGTGAAGCCACCTTGATGAAATGCTTCATGCTTGTTTCTCGTCACAGTTTTTTGAGTTTATCACAGCTCTTGCTGGAGCCATCACCCAAGCTCAGTGCCACTGGGTTTCTGTTTTTCTTTTGTTTTCTTATTTTATTAAAATATTTCACCTAGATAATCCCGAGATGTAACGTTTCATTTGCAAGACTGTCCAGGCTGCCAACTGGCACGTAAATAGATACAAATAATGACCTGTACAAATTCTAAATCTATAACCTATAGAGTTCGCATTTATACAACAAAACATGCACCCAGTCACAGGTTATTAATACATAAGATGATTACATTTATCGCAATGCACTCTAGCTGTGAGAGTTGCATATTCTGTGCGCACGAGTTTTAATTAGAGATTTAAATAGGCCGAGACTAGCGATATGTTTCAGTGTGTCTGGGAGATCGGTGTCTGTGGGAAAGCGCGCCTATTTTGGGGTTAACTTTCGGGACACTGAAATGGTTTTTAATCATACATATGTATGTATGTATGTTGAACTCTTTTGCACCATACTTAGTCAACCGTGGTAATCGGTGCACCGTCATCACGAATGGTCATGCAATGTTATGGTAACAATGAGACCAACTCGGATCAGACGGAGGGAGAGAGGGTATGGGCGGTGGAGAGTGACTCACTTGAGTGAGCCCGAGAGCTTGGGCTGCTGCAGCAACTTCTGCGCGTGCTTGAGGGCGATGAGATTGTCTCCCAGCGCCAGGGCCACGTACGCGCTGCAAGCCAGCACCGAGCACCTGCCGGCACCATGGGAAAGTAAGAGTACGCACAAGGATGCACAAGCGCACATAAGCATGCACGGGCACACACCAGCACAGGGCACACACAAGTGCACAATATCATGCAACGATACACATGGGTACAAGAGTGAACAAGAACACACGTGCGTATGCACAAGTCAACATGAGAACACATGAGCAAACAAGTATACAAACATGTACAAGCAGACAAGTACATGAACACACGTGCGTACTGATGAGCAAAGGAGTAAATTAATGACTGTTTATAGTTAAGGGAGGTAACTGGAGTGCCCGAAGAAATCCCATTCATGTGAGGGGGTACCCCTCAATCCCCGCACAGTTGGAACACGGATGAACTTAATCCACTTGCTACACTCCCATACCCTGTCAAGCCAGGAGATGGCGACCTCGCAAGCCCAGACTGTTGGTAGTTGTACAAATTTGTGTGATCCACCAACCCTTGCCTCCACAATGCAGGATTACTTGCGTGCAGCATGAGCACCAGCACCTGGCAAAAGTCATACCTTAAATTCTCGATTTCTTGCCTCTTGAGCGGAGACGACGGGGGTGCAGAGCGCGAGAGCTCCACCTCGTGGCTCTTGCTATAACGGGACAAGTCGCCACACAGGGAGCTTGAACAGAGTACTGTATTCACAATAGAACAAAGCTTGCATCCACGGGGTGGACATTCCAGTTTCAGAGCAAGTTATGACTGGACAGGGTACGTAAAGAGTGACTGAGAAGAGGTGGCTTCTTGTGATTGGCCAAGGGGATTGACCAATCCAGAGAGAAAGCTGTAACGCCCACTCTCGTAAAGGGAGAACGACTCATGGGTGCGTGGAGGAACAACAGACAATCAGGAGAGCAGCCACGCAATGAGCTGGTACCAACAATTGCGCAAGTTCTGCAGTCCTCTATATACTAAGATTTAATCGAGCATTTAATGAGTATTTACATGTGGGAGGAAACTGGAACACCTGGATAAATTCCACAAGTGTAAGGGGGGAATACTATCTCGTACAGATGGGACAGGTGGAGTCCACATTTGCTCTCCTGCCGTCTCCAGGTGAACCAGGGAATGACACTTTGATGCCCACGGGAAGGCAGTTTCATAAGATTTGTCCATTCCACCAACCCTTGCCTCTAGAGTGCAAGATAACATGTATGTTGGCTACATGAGGTGTGAAAGAAGTTCAACATACATACATAAAAAGGAGGAACCTGGGAGTTTAGTTCTATATTAAAATCAGCAACAGTGGTAGGGACAGCAGCAGCAGAGTTTCTTCACTATCAGCAGCAAGAGGGCGAGCTGCTACCATCTCAGTCAATCAAGTGAAGGAATCGTGATGTTCAATGAGCAGCCTCGGAGGCTAAATTCTATTCCTATTTTTAGAATAAGTTGAGTACAATGGGTTACATAGATACTATAGCCATATGAAAGCTAGCACCCGTAGGACTTAGGTCTCCGAGTGGTCTATCATGAGACTTAGGAGAAAGTAATTGGATAAGAATGAGAGACTCAATTGAAGAGTGGCAAACAGCAACAGAGGATAAGATGTTAGGGGTAGTGTCAACTCCGCTAGGAGCTCCTGCTACAGATTGAGGTGATGGTACTTTAAGAATTAGAAGCTTTATTCTAATTTTTCATCATTTTTGATACTGGCAAAAAGGTCCCATAGATATAGATAGGCTCTACTAATTGGCCGAGGGGATTTACCAATCCAGAGAAAGCTGGGACTATAAGAGGAGCCTCAACTTGGGTGTTCCATTTAAGCATCGACTCCTCTACATCAACTTCGGCAGCAGCGGCAGAAGCAGCAGAGTTTCTTCACCATCGACTACTACTGTTCTGCACTGCGTGGAGAGTGAAAGTTACGATAGGTGAATAAAAGTTATCAGCCGTAGAACTCCGGTCTCCGAGTGGTCTATCACAAGTTCACCGATACACGACTGCACGTCAGCCGATGAAATACGATCTTGGCTTTTTACCAAGCGTCGAGCCCTAATCTCCTACACGTGCACTGTCCCACGGCCGTAACTGTGATGTGATCAGATCTCATGACCAAATTTTTCCTGCAGTCGACATGTGTTGGGCTCTCTTTCATGGGCACAGCATAAAGCGTTACAGCCAAAGAGCGGATATTTGGTTGCAGAAAAAGAAAATGATAAGCCAGGGAACCCGTTTTAGGTGTGTGTAGAAAGCGTCTATAGCAGGTACCTTGCCCCTTCACTGCTGTCGCTGCCTCCTCCTTCAGGGGCTCCCACCCCCCCGATATCCCCCGCCAGCGTGCCCCTCCCCTCGCGCTGCTCGTCGGGCAGCAGCAGCAGCAGCGCATTCCGGAGACAGATTCCAGCAAACTCCACGCTGGCCACGGGGATCGCCGCCGACTGCCCATCGGGGCTGCCACACGCGCACAGCACAAACATTTGTCACACCGCATCCCCATCTGTATCTTCTGAAGAGGAGACTATCTCTTCGATGACTTCCACTTGCACTTGACATCTATTCTCATATGTTTACAAATGAGTGCATCAATCACGCTGAATTTATTTGAAATGAATGTGATTTCTATTTGCTTCACTGTTGTACTTATTTTTATATTACTGCTTTTGTCATTTTGGTGACCCAGGTCAATCTTGCAAGCAAAACTCATCCTGGCCTCTTGAGGTCTCACCTCGATTAACTTAATAAACTTGACAAGTGAAACGTAAATGCAAAGCTGACGAACCTCGATTCATCATACTCGGGCACAAGACCTCACAGCCGAAGAGTGATGTGCACGATTAGATTCCAGCAGCTCCCTCTGGAAACGTATTTCCTGCCATCCAGGGTTATCATCATCATCCAAGGTCAATCCACTGCTGAAGGCCTCTCCAAGCCACCACCATTTCTCACTATTCTGCGACATAATAATCCATACAGCACCTGCCCACGTGATGATTTCATTGCTCCATTTCTTCGGTGGACGTCCTCTCGAACGCATTTCATTCCTTGGCTGCCACTGTAGTTATTCTTGACCATCAGCCATCTCTTTTAGCCTAGGCCCCCATACTCTTCGTAATAGTTTGAATATTAACCTGCTCTCCAATCCATGTGTTCCTCTTTCTGTCACTCTCCAGGATTTTTTCCTCATTTTCGAAAACGACCGCTACTGAAGCACAAGTTGTACGGAGCAGGTGGCAGGCACTAACTATGACGTGTTCTTGAGGCAAATTGGCGCATAGCTTTTCTTTATGAATGACAGCTTTCCAAAAGCACTCCACCCAATCTGATCTCATGCACTTTACCAACCATGGCGGTCAGGGGCCCTGAAAATGCAAGTGTGGAGTGACTGTCTGCATGTTTAGAGGTCCCACCTGCACACAGAGTTCTGTGTGGAATGAGACACGAGGATGATCTTTCGATGGCAGCCCTGCCCCATCATGGAATGCACGATGCCTTTTTTGTTCTGCAGACTCTTGGCTTCGTGCTCTGAATTCTGTATGGACAGAAACACCACAGCCACCCAACATTGTAATCACTCACTCGAGGCTCCCACACAGAGCCAGAGCATGAATACCTAAGGATGTCGACCAAAAGCATGGCACCGCTTGTGTTAGCATTGAAACAAAGCATAAGTGAAGAGACTGCACTCACTTTGCTGGCGATACCATGTCAAACAAAACTTGTATTTAAATAATGTGTTCTAATTGAATTCAGCGTAAAACAGTCAAGTTGATTGATGAGTGAGCACTCACAAATTCAGTCGTCACTCGCTCACTGGTAGTCAGTCGCCTCATTATCTCTCTTCTATCGCTATTACCATTGTTAGTGTTTCCGTTAACGTTAATCCATTCCTCCACCCATGTTGAAGACCCGGTCTACAGGCAGTTATCTCATCCACACCGCTTTCAACCACCACGCTGCACGTCACAACACTGCTCTTTCTGCTTTTTCCACACACTGCCATCTCTTTTCCTAAGTCCTTATAACTTTTCTCAATTTAACAATCTCGTTAACTCTTTATCTATTACAACTTCACTTGTGATGTTTGTTGCTGGCCACTTGACATTTAGGGCCGTTGCTCAATAAATAATGGCATTAAAAAAAGATGCACATCCTCACACACGCACAAGCACACGAGCACACGTACACAGTCACAGACCGATGAGCAAAGTGGCACAGCAAGCAACTGGAATAGGTGAGACACGTGTCCCGAGGTGTCGTGAGCGGGGGCACCCACCCGCTTGCCAACAGCAATGCAGCACTCGGCGAGACGCAACCAGAGGCGTGGGTTACTGTGGTGTGCCGTCACCGCCTCCACCAGGCAGTCGAAGGCCGCCAGTGGCCGCCCTGTCTGCAGCAGGAGGATGCCGCAGTTGTAGAGCAGCTCGTAGCGTCGGTCGGCCATCAGGGTGCAGAGGGGCGGCCCAGAGAGGCGCTTGCCTGAGGGGCCCACTGTATTGACAGCACAGACACAAAACACAACCTATATACGATACATAACCCATGCATTCAATCTGCAAACGAGCCTTCCTCAAAACGTATGCAAAACACCTGACACACCACACACAGAAGCCTGCAAAACACGCACCTAACATGCCTCACACTACGCACACATAAGACTACACAACACAAGGTACGCAACACACAACATCACACACAAGCTGGCCGAGGGGCATCCCAACTGAGCACCTTGCTTGAGTAGCTGGGCGCAGGTGTTGTCATTCTCCTGCAGCGCTCGCTTGAAGTAGAACATGGCCATGTGGTGCTTGCCCATGGCGTGGTGGATGCAGCCCAGGTTATTCCAAAACATGCAGCGAACGCATTCTCCTGGACAACGGATAAATAGCACGTGGAGTCACACCACATCATATCAACCCGCACCCCACAGTAGCAAATGCCACACCACGCCAAGCCACATGATACCAAATCAAATCATTAGTATACTCTTTGGTTTATTTGGTAAAGTCACGTAGGTAAAAATAAAATAACAAAAATCACGACATTTCGGCTACAACACAAGCGGCCTTCATCAGGTGAAGGGACCGGACTGTCCAGAGGACAGCGTTGGAGTGAAGATAGCCAAGCCCAGGTCGCGTCCTTTAAGCTGTGTGGGAGGAAACAAAAAACGCCTTGACAAAGGAATTAGCATAACAATGATGTACTGGACCGGCACGGTGGGGGGGGGGGGAGTTTACATAATGTTGGTGTGAAGGGAAATAAGCTGCTGTGAAAGTTTGGGATACCACTACTTGAATAAATATACTGTACCATTGAAAATTAGTTTAATGTTTGGTTTGATTTAGAACATCTTTCCAATGATTGCTTAATTTGAAACCATCCTCTCGGTTGAAATTGTGTCTGTGTTTGTAAATCTGAATTGCCTCGTGGATAAATCTCTGATAAAAACCCGTGGGTTTGCAGAGAACCTTGGTATCGGAGAAAACTATATCGTGATCACCCACAGCGTTGTAACAGTAATCAGCTACAGCAGAAGAATTCGTTCTGCCGTGTTTCAAATCTGATTTGTGCTCGCGAATTCGGTCAGAGACATGTCGTTTCATCTCCCCAATATAGCAATCACCACAGGTGCAGCTCAATTTGTAAACCCCGGGGTACTGTAAGTCAGGAACGACATCCTTCACGGAAGGGATCAGGTCACGGATTTTGTGTACTGTATTGAACCGGACCAGGATCTTGTGTTTGTTTAGTATTTTGGAGATCTTTTTAGTACCGCCTGCTATATATGGTAGTGTGATGGTTTTGACCGGAGTATAAAGTGGTTGTTTCTGTATGGAGGGAGAAACAGCTTGGCGGATGGTACGGTCACAGTATCTGTTTCTCTTGAGGGCCAGGTGTACATGTTTTAATTCACTGGTCAGGTGGTGTTGGTCCGAAATGCAATGTGCCCTGTGGTATAACGTTTTGATGAGAGAATTCTTTTGAGCTGGGTGGTGGTGGGAATCAGGTTTCAAGTAGGAATCTGTGTGGGTGGGTTTCCTGTAGACAGAATGCCCCAGTGAGCCATCAGGTCTCCTCTCAAACAGAACATCCAAGAATGGTAGCTTGCCATCTTTCTCCACTTCCATGGTGAATTTGATGGTGGGATGTCTAGAATTGATGTGGTGTAGGAAAAGGTTCAAAGCTGGGAGGCCATGTGGCCAAATGACGAAAGTATCATCAACATATCTCTTCCACAGGGAAGGTCTGAGGGTGGAAGTCTGGATGGCGTCTGATTCAAATTTCTCCATGAAAACATTGGCTATCACTGGTGATAAGGGAGAACCCAAAGGGGTACCCTCATTTTGTTTGTAGAAGGTGCTATTCCAAGTAAAGTAGGTATTGGTGAGGCAGTGTCTAATCAGCGCAGGTGTATCAGGGTCTAGTCCATGTTGCACCAAATTTTCAATTATTTCAATGGTATCAGGTACCGGGACCTTGGTGAACAGGGAGACCACATCGAAGCTGACAAGGATATCGTAAGGGGACAGTACAACGTCTTTGAAGAAGCCGATTCACTTTCAGTCAAATACAAAGCTAACCTGATTTCTAAATTCAACCACCTATCGAAGAAGAACCCTGTCCCACATATAACAAAACTAGACGTTAACAAAATCGTCATTAATCAGAGTAGCACCCCGACTTCGGAAAATCTGAAAACAGTACTGGCTAGAGGGCTAAATTTTGCTGTTACCCCGAAACATATTCCTGTAGATGATATCATCTCTCAGGTCGATGTGGCCCTTAAAGGCATAGGACACATCCAAGCAGACGTTGCGAGAGCTGAAATAGCCACTATTCTTAAGAATGCTAAGAAACCCATTAGCAACATCAGCAAAAATGAATGCTCTGAACTCGCGAATTTAAAAAACAGAAGTGATATAGTCATCCTCTCAGCCGACAAAAGCAACGCTACTGTAATTATGGATAAAGATTCGTACAACAAAATCCAGAACCTACTCAACGATGGAAGTTACTCAAAAATTAAAAATGACCCTACTAATAGCCTAACTATAAAAACCAACAAGATCATCACAAGTTCGACCTCCCTAATCGAACCAACTAAACGTCCCTCCTTAAAACCTTCTGCTGCAAGACCCCCTAGATTCTATGGTCTCCCCAAGATTCATAAAGAAGGCACTCCACTACGACCCATCGTATCCACGATCAACTCCCCTACCCATAAGCTAGCACGTTTTCTGTCAGATACCTTGCTGCCTTTCACTGGCAAGACCGCCTCAGCAGTACTTAACTCAGCCCAATTGGTCTCTATGGTCAAAGACGTTGTACTGTCCCCTGACGATATCCTTGTCATCTTCCATGTGGTCTCCCTATTCACCAAGGTCCCGGTACCTGATACCATTGAAATAATTGAAAATTTGGTACAACATGGACTAGACCCCAATACACCTGCGCTGATTAGACACTGCCTCACCAATACCTACTTTACTTGGAATAGCACCTTCTACAAACAAAATGAGGGTACCCCCATGGGTTCTCCCTTATCACCAGTGATAGCCAATGTTTTCATGGAGAAATTTGAATCAGACGCCATCCAGACTTCCACCCTCAGACCTTCCCTGTGGAAGAGATATGTGGATGATACTTTCGTCATTTGGCCACATGGCCTCCCAGCTTTGAACCTTTTCCTACACCACATCAATTCTAAACATCCCGCCATCAAATTCACCATGGAAGTGGAGAAAGATGGCAAGCTACCATTCTTGGATGTTCTGTTTGAGAGGAGACCTGATGGCTCACTGGGGCATTCTGTCTACAGGAAACCCACCCGCACAGATTCCTACTTGAAACCTGATTCCCACCACCACCCAGCTCAAAAGAATTCTCTCATCAAAACGTTATACCACAGGGCACATTGCATTTCGGACCAACACCACCTGACCAGTGAATTAAAACATGTACACCTGGCCCTGAAGAGAAACGGATACTGTGACCGTACCATCCGCCAAGCTGTTTCTCCCTCCATACAGAAACAACCACTTGATACTCCGGTCAAAACCATCACACTACCATATATAGCAGGCGGTACTAAAAATATCTCCAAAATACTAACCAAACACAAGATCCTGGTCCGGTTCAATACAGCACACAATATCCGTGACCTGATCCCATCCGTGAAGGATGTCGTTCCTGACTTACAGTACACTGGAGTTTACAAATTGAGCTGCACCTGTGGTGACTGCTATATCGGGGAGACGAAACGACATGTCTCTGACCGAATTTGCGAGCATAAATCAGATTTGAAACACGGCAGAACAAATTCTTCTGTCGTAGCTGATCACTGTTACAACGCTGTGGGTGATCACGATATAGTTTTCTCCGATACCAAGGTTCTCTGCAAACCCACGGGTTTTTATCAGAGATTTCTGTCGTAGCTGATCACTGTTACAACGCTGTGGGTGATCACGATATAGTTTTCTCCGATACCAAGGTTCTCTGCAAACCCACGGGTTTTTATCAGAGATTTGTCCACGAGGCAATTCAGATTTACAAACACAGATACAATTTCAACCGAGAGGATGGTTTCAAATTAAGCAATCATTGGAAAGATGTTCTAAATCAAACCAAACATTAAACTAATTTTCAATGGTACAGTATATTAATTCAAGTAGTGGTATCCAAACTTTCACAGCAGCTTATTTCCCTTCACACCAACATTATGTAAACTCCCCCCCCCCCCCCACCGGTCCAGTACATCATTTTATGCTAATTCCTTTGTCAAGACGTTTTTTGTTTCCTCCCACACAGCTTAAAGGACGCGACCTGGGCTTGGCTGTCTTCAGATCCAACGCTGTCCTCTGGACAGTCAGGTCCCTTCACCTGATGAAGGCCACTTGTGTTGTGGCCGAAACGTCGTGATTTCTGTTATTTTATTTTTACCTACGTGACTTTACCGAATAGAACCAAAGAGTATGGATCCTTGCAGTCACGAAAGCTTCAAATCTAGAAATCATTAGTATGTTCGGTATTAATCTTGATTTGAAGCTTTCGTGACTGCAGTAATCCATACTCTTTGGTTCTTTCGGTAAAGTCACATAGATAGAAAATTAATAGATCACGACGTTTCGATCGCAACACAAGCAACCACAGACACAGCAGGAGAACTACATCAGCAGAACTTGCTGTGTTTGTCTCACCTGATGACGGTTGCTTGTGTTGCGATCGAAACGTCATGATCTATACATTTTCTATCTACATGACTTTACCGAAAAAAACAAAGAGTATGTTCGGTATTTCCACCATTTTTATCGTGCATGGCTATCATGAAGGCGCTATATTTCACAGATATAGTCTGTAGTAGTTTTAGTTTCAAGTTCAAGAGAATTTTAACAATGTGGGAACTAACAAAAATTGGATAGCCTCATCTACAAAAGTGAGGGTGCGATGTTACGTGTAATCTCACCTGCGCGGGTAATTTTCAAATTTGGAAAATTTGATCTATTTTTTAATGACATCACAGGAATGTTCACTGTGAAGCAGACGGCACGTGTTTCATGTTGAATGCACCCGCAGCATGAACCAGTGTCTCACCCGTCTTGATGAAACCCGGGTGCTCTGTGATGTTGGCGCTATTCAGAAGTTTCACAGCTTTGCGGTAGTTCCCCCTCAGGTACTCAAAGTTGCTCTTCAGGAAGAGCGAAGGGATCGACTGGGAGAAGACAAAAACGTTCAGTGTTTTTTCTCTGATTATGGAAACAAATAAATACCAGCAAAACAGGTCATGTGTTGCCTTCGGAGTTCGGCTGCATGTTGAGCATTTCCTCTCACAAGCTTTCACCACACACTACTGTAGGCATCTTGAGGAGTCGCGCCACCACCCCCCCCCCCCCCCCCCGTAGCGTGTGATGCTCACAGTAGCATGTGCCAAAAGCTCAAGAGAGAATATACTCCAGACCACACTTGAATTACGAGAGCTTGCAATAACCTGCGTGCAAAACATTTGACATGTTGACTCACGTTGCCAGACGTGTTCATCACAGACTTTATCTCCCTCTTGCAGGCTTTCAGGGACCTCATTTGGAGATAGGCCCTCACTTTGTACTGGAGATCACACGCACAAATCAGCAGTGGCAGCGCGATGAGATGGATGAGTTAGGCGTAAAATGCAAACATGTAATCAATATCTCTACGCTAGGCTACTCATGATATTCAACAGCATTATTACAGTGAACATGTACATATTTCAGTGAAGCTTTCAACTTGCATTAAAACGGTATTTAATAACGATTACATCCCAGAGTAAATAAAAAACCCCTAAGATTGTCATGATCTCTATTTTGGCTGGATGGCAGGTTTTTTTTTCAAGTGTAAATCAATCAATCTCAACAATGTCAATGATCGCCCAGTAAAGGACTCGGACATCCTTTCAGAAATATAGGGCTGGTGGCCTTGGTGAAATGAGCATTGCATTTACAAATATTGAGAGGCACCCATGTCCGTGTCCATGAGCCTTTACAGAAGCCGACTCTACCTGATGTATTTTTGACCGAGTTTGTTCATTGGACGAGGTGTCGGGTTTCTGGCTCCCAGCATCCTTGGCGACCTATCGCCAGCACACGTTCCAATCGAGTATCAGCACATGGACGTAGACGCCAAAACTGCCGCAGTAACACGCCAGGCATCATCATCATCGTTGTGTCGGTGCAGTGAGAGGGACGCTGTGCCGTACCTCCCCGGCCTTTCCGTTGGCATTGGCGCCACTGCCCTGCGAGCTGAGCTTCTCAAGTACGGCGAGCAGAGGCAGGGCCTTCTCTGCCTGGTGTGTCACGAGGTAAAGGTCCATGAGCAGGAAGCTCACTGCGCGCGCAAATCGCTCCTCTGCACGCCCCGCACGTGTAAACACACGCACACACACACACAGTAGTGCACACAGCAACGACATTTGGATGAGGCCAAATCGTTTTTCTACTCAGATAAGTAAGTGGGAATGTATTCGTAAATTTGAATTGCGAGTTTCAGATTTAGGATGGCGATGTGGCCCAGGAGTAGCGCATTCACCGCTTGTTGCAGAGGTTCACGGTTCAAATCCAGCGGCTGCCCTGATGAATACTGTGGGTGTAATAACCTTGATACTACTACGCTCTGTCTGACTCACAGTGCCCGTTAAAGATCCCCTGTTATTCCAAAGTTTAGGCCATTGTGTGCTTCAAGATAAAATGTTGCCACATTCGAAAATGACCTGCATGTTAAGCAATTTGGATTACACAAAGCAGTAATAATGTTCCCAAACTGACAGACTAATACCCATGGTCCCTCATCACTATCGTGAACACAAATGATTTCTTTGCATTAGAATATATTAGAGATGAAACTCCTGGTTTCGCGTTATCTCCTCATTAAACAAAATAAACTTAAAACTCCAAAATGAGACATTTTGAGACAAATGAGACATTGTGGAGTTTTAAGGACAATTTCAGATCTTTTTGGAATGTTCTGGTTTTCCAATTTGTGGTTTTCCAATAATTTCCAATTTGTTTTTATACAAAAAATAACTTGAGTTAATGATAGTGGTGTCACCCAATGGCAGGTGATGCCACTTTAGGTGGGCAAGTGACATCGTATGAGTGAGACCACATTCCTAAGCCACAACATGAGACATGAGTCACAATACAACTGCCTACAGCTGAACTGGCTGTCACCTGGGATTGTTACTATTTCTCAGAGCGATGTACAATAAGAGAAGCCTTGTCTTGGTGTCACAGAGATGTCGTGAAGTGCGGTGGGTTGAGAGATTTCCAGGAAAATTGTCCTGTGAAGGGTGCGAATTGTTCAAGGACTGTGTGCGGGCTCACCGAATGGCTCAATGAACTGATAGAGGCGCTCCACGACAGCAATGGCCTGGTGGTACTGCTTGAAATGGCAGAGCAGCACGGCCTGGTTATAGAGCAGCGTGCCATTCTCTACGTCCTCCAGCCCATCCATCTCTTCCGCTGTCGAGTGAACCTGGCGAGTGGCACATTGGGTATGGGAGTGAGCACGCCTCGGCCTCACGTTTCACTCCATCAAACGCCGGGGCACAGTGACGCTTGGGATCAGCCGCACCGTAAACTCGGAAGTACAGGTTATGCAGCATCACAGCATCTATGATAACACGTTACAAGCATGTCCATATCCCTGATCTCTCTTGTGTACAGCTGGATGCTCGCAACTTAAAACTCTACATCCAGCTTTAGCCAAAAAATGAATTCTGTTTATAGACAGTGGATTGCTTCAATGTCTTGGGTGCATTTTCAGAGTTCACAGTGGGTCGCTATAGCCCATTGATAACATGGCTTAGACATAGTGCGTTAGAAGCTTGCTTCAGCGGTTTGCGGTTCGAATTCAGCAGGCCTCCTTAATACTGCAGGCGCATTAACCATAAGTATGCACCATCATCTTCACAGTGGTTATTAAAGATCATGTGATGTCCTTATAATTAGAGCATGCCATTGCATTACGTATGTATGTTGAACTTCTTTCGCACCGTAGGTAACCAATAATGATAATTGGAGGTGCGTCATGGTCCACATTTTTCAAGTTCGAAAAATCTTCCAGAAAATGTCTTCATCGGGAAACAATCATCGCTCCTTATTGTAAAAACTTAGGACACTCCTGAAAAAGTCTTGAGACTCATTGAGGCTTTCCCAGTTAATCAGTAAAATAATGATATCTGTGAGTGTCTCTGATTAGGAACTGGAGGTTGGCTGCACAAGCCAACAGCAGTGGAAGCATGTGAACAACCTGAGAGCTAAAACAATTCAAGTGACACAGCAGTTCCATGGCGATGCTGTCTGTCAAACTCAGAGTCAATACTTGAAGTTAGACCCTGAGTTTGTTCCTTTTGAACACATGGATGGTGCCGCATGCATGACCAACGTCCCGGGTGGCGGTGGGCCCTCACCTGCATGCGAACCTGCGCAAGGCTGTGGCGGAGGTCGTCGGTGGCTGTCTGGCCACTGCGGTAGAACTCGGCCACGGAGCGGTTAAGCTGCACTTTGTGATCATCGCGCCGCAGTTCGCCGAGCGAGGAGAGCTGGGCCAGGCAGCTGTCGTACTGCCCAACCTGTCCAAGAAAGATACAAGCCATGGCTCGATCCTACATAGATCACTAACCCCAACCAACACCATGTAGACCAAACGCGACGTGAACACCCAGCCAATAAGGATAACGTTGTTGGTGATGTTACTTCCCTGTAATTTTGTGCTACCGGAGTTATCTCATGAGAGAAATACAATCAATTCGGATTTCTCGCAGAGCACTGCAAACCCTTCATGTTAGGGAACAGCCCACTATAGTGGATGATATCACAGAGCTCCCTACAAGATCCCTTCGAGTAGCCTCTGGTCCACATAGTAAGGCGCACAATTTTCCACTCGTGCTACAAATCCGAGTAATGTCCACCGCATGACAGTAAAAATTCATTTTTTTTTATGATCAGAGCTAGAATTTCGCCAAAAGTATTGGAGATTTTGTAAATGTCATTGTTTTTGCGTGCAGTCACGATTAACTGGGCTGAGACCATCAACTCAATGCACGTGAGAACCAGGTTGAATCACATACAGCTAAACCCTGGATCCAAACCCAGGATCCCAGCGGTACCAGCTCAGCGTTCTAACTTCTGGGCCACCCGGCGACCTTGAGCAGTCACAATTTTAACACTGCACACCGAGTAGATTTTACTTTGAAGAGCAGCAGGACGCGAGCCTTCAACAGATACTGCACCTAGCACCTGGTGTACAATGACTCGTGGCTGCATATCGTGACTGTACAGTGACGCTTCCGATGTGAGCATCTGCTCTACCTCGAAGGCGTCGAGCGCCTTCTTGGCCAGATCCTTCTCCTGGCTGCTGATCCCAGAGGAGCAGCTGGTCCCGTCAGACCTCGCATCTCCGCCTAGCTCTGCATTCAAGGGTAGAGGGTTGACAAGTGACCCGTGATGACGGCGGTAGTTGGTGGTTGTGATGATGAGAGGTTGTGTATAATGGTAGTGGTTGTAATGTGTAGAAGTGGTTGTGATGATTGTGGAGTGATGATGACGATAGTGATGATGGTAGTGGTTGTCATAACGGTGGTAGTGATGTTTTTCTTCTTTGGTTCTTTCGGCAAGGTCACGTAGAATGAGAATAAAATAATAAAATAACAATAAAATTCTCACGACGTTTCGGCCACAACGCAAGCGGCCGTCTTCAGGTGAAAGGTACAGACCTGTCGGGACGACAGAGCTTCAATGAACGATGTTAAGATTCGTAGCGACTTTTAAGCTGGTTGGGAGAAGTGAGGCACCTTGACAAAGGTGTTTACATATCAAATAGCTGAGGGATTAGCTTGACTGGTCACAGGAATGGCTATGTTAAAGTCAAAACCTACACATCCACAGAGGCAACTAGTAATTTAGCATTGAAATAGCTAAGGGATTAGCTTGTGCAAATAGCTGAGGGATTAGCTTGTGACTGGTCACGGAAATGGCTATGTTAAAGTCAAAACCTACACATCCACAGAGGCAACTAGTAATTTAGCATTGAAATAGCTAAGGGATTAGCTTGTGACTGGTCACAGAAATAGATGTTAAAGTAAAGGCCTACACATCCACAGAGCTTCAATGAAACGCTGTTAAGATTCGTAGCGACTTTTAAGCTGGTTGGGAGAAGTGAGGCACCTTGACAAAGGGGTTTACATATCAAATAGCTGAGGGATTAGCTTGTGACTGGTCACGGAAATGGCTATGTTAAAGTCAAAACCTACACATCCACAGAGGCAACTAGTAATTTAGCATTGAAATAGCTAAGGGATTAGCTTGTGACTGGTCACAGAAATAGGTGTTAAAGTCAAAGCCTACACATCCACAGAGGCACCTCGTACATGGACGCCAAAGGGGGTGATGATCAACGTTTAATGGTTTAACAAGGTGAGAATCTAAGATGATGATGATCGTAATGGTAAAACAATATTTAATGATGGCGATGACAGTATTGACGGTGATGCTGTTGAAAGTGATGCCTCTGGTATTGATGTTGCTGTTGATGATAAAAACTACCATGACTATCACAACCATCATAATCACTACAACCATCACAACCATTATTCTCATCATCATGAGAGTAACATCTTTCATGGTGATTGTGTTTATGATATTGACGATGATGGTAATGATGGTCACGATGTTGATAAGCTGGTAACCATGTGCACGCTGCTTCCGTGAGACCTCACCTCCTGAATCAGCCATGTGATCTGCAGACAGCTCAGGAGTAACTCAAGAATAGCTTGAGCTAATTGCTGTTGGAGTAAGTTACGTTATTAATGATCTTCTTCTTGTTTCACGTCGATGTTGAAGTGACAGATTGGCGATGTTAAGGTAATTGTATTGCTGAAGTGATGGTGCCGATTATTGCATTTATAATGGTGATGATGTTAGAGATGCAGGCACAGTGGTATGTATTATGTAAATAGTATTGATGATGCTGTCAATGTGGGTGATGTAGCAATGCTATTAATTAGGTAATGATAATCTAAAGAAGCTGTAATGTTGATGTTGTAGATGTCAATATCGGTGAAGTAGTGAATGACATTGAATGCTGATTAAAGTGATTGATGTAGTGACAATCGAAAGTTGCTGATGATTGTCTGATTAAACAGTGATGTTGTGACAATGTAGACAGCGTTGTGACGATGTAAACTGAGCGTTGTGACGATGTAGACTGGGTGTTGTGACGATGTAGACTGGGAGTTGTCACGATGTAGACTGGGTGTTGTGACGATGTAGACTGGGTGTTGTGACGATGTAGATTGGGTGTTGTGACAATGTAGACTGAGTGTTGTGACGATGTAGACTGGGTGTTGTGACGATGTAGACTGAGTGTTGTGACGATGTAGACTGGGTGTTGTGACGATGTAGACTGGGTGTTGTGACGATGTAGACTGGGTGTTGTGACGATGTAGACTGAGTGTTGTGACGATGTAGACTGGGTGTTGTGACGATGTAGACTGGGTGTTGTGACAATGTAGACTGAGTGTTGTGACGATGTAGACTGGGTGTTGTGACGATGTAGACTGAGTGTTGTGACGATGTAGACTGGGTGTTGTGACGATGTAGACTGGGTGTTGTGACGATGTAGACTGGGTGTTGTGACGATGTAGACTGAGTGTTGTGACGATGTAGACTGGGTGTTGTGACGATGTAGACTGGGTGTTGTGACGATGTAGACTGGGCGTTGTGACGATGTAGACTGGGCGTTGTGACGATGTAAACTGAGCGTTGTGACGATGTAAACTGAGCGTTGTGACGATGTAGACTGAGCGTGGTGACGATGTAGGCTGGGTGTTGTGACGATGTAGACTGGGTGTTGTGACGATGTAGACTGAGTGTTGTGACGATGTAGACTGGGTGTTGTGACGATGTAGACTGGGTGTTGTGACGATGTAGCCTGGGTGTTGTGACGATGTAGACTGGGTGTTGTGACGATATAGACTGGGTGTTGTGACGATGTAGACTGGGTGTTGTGACGATGTAGACTGGGTGTTGTGACGATGTAGACTGGGTGTTGTGACGATGTAGACTGAGTGTTGTGACGATGTAGACTGGGTGTTGTCACGATGTAGACTGGGTGTTGTGACGATGTAGACTGAGTGTTGTGACGATGTAGACTGGGTGTTGTGACGATGTAGACTGGGTGTTGTGACGATGTAGAGAGGAGTCTAACGAAGAACCCCGAGTTCAAACGCAGGCCTTGAGTTTACCCACGATTCATCGAGTCGCTTCCGCCCTGGACTCCCCTGCCGGAAGTGGATGAATCCACTATACGCGGGGGGGGGCAAGGGCGGGTCAGACGTTACAGTCAATAACTGTCTGCCGCTCGCACGTCTGTTTATACGAGCCTATAATTAATTATTTCTATTTTAGTAATATCTGTAATTCGTGTAATGAATGCCGAATTATCCCGGCGTTGCCCAACACGAGTGTCAGGGTCACCACGACCGTCCCCCCCAGACTTGGGCGTCACTTGGTTTAGTCCGTACCCCGATTCACATTTCCCAGCTTAGATGAGGCCCCCGCCTCTTATTGGCTGAATCGCGAGCGCGCCTCTCCGAGCGGACGCTGATATGATTGGTTCCGGGGACGCTTCCGTCCGCGGTCTCAGCCATTCAGACGGCAGCACGCGCTGCCACGTGCGGATATGCGGTGGGAAATGCGAGACACGTGGAGCGGAAGCGAAGAGGTGGGGGTCAGGCGTAATGGCATTACCATTCACCTCGTCACCATCGCTACCCACATCAACACCACCATTATCACGACCATCAACATCATCACAACTAACATTATCACTATCATCACCAGCAAAGTTAACATTGCCGTTACAATCAACATCACCACCAGAATTAACACCACAACAAATATCAACATCAGTGTCAACATCAGCATCTTCATCACAAGTATTAAAAACACCCTCACGTCCGACATTAATAGCATCACAATCAACACCACCACGAGCATTGACATTGTCACAACCAACAGCACCACCATCGCCCTTAACGCCACCATCGTCACCGAGTGTTGAGGGAACCACGCCGCAGATTTCTCGCCCCTTCGACCGCTGTCCCGAGGTCGGTCCCAGCAGCATTGACTTCTGGGTGCCTCTGTACCTGCTCTGGGTGACTCGGTTCCGGGCGCTGAGCCTGTGTTGTCATCATCACTCGTCCTTTAACTTGAGGCCTCGCACTGCCCAGGAATTAAAATCTCATCAAATATTTTCCGGGTCGCTAGCAGAGTGGAGTCGGTTGCACGCGACTCGTAGCCAATACCACCACAACCATGGCACAGCAATTAAGCCCTGGTGGTAGACTGGGTGGATGAGGGTGCACCACTATCAGTAGCTACCACAGCCATAGCTTGGAGTGAAGTATACTGGATGTGGTGTGCTGCGGGTGTGCGTGGGTCTTTCTGTAGGAGGCGATGCGGGGTGGTCGTGCGTGCGGGCGCCCCGCCGGTGCTGGCTGGGTGCTACTGGGCGCTGTTCTACTGCGCGTGGCACTGCTGCTGTACGGAGAGTACCAGGACCGCACGCACCGAGTCAAGTTCACAGACGTCGACTACCGCGTCTTCACGGACGCCGCGCACTACGTGGCGCGGGTGAGAGACGCGGCCGTGGCACGTTCAGAAACGTGCTCGTTCACGAAGTCGATAGAAAGGTGCGCAAATAATCACGGGCAGATGCACGCGTGGAGATGGGAAGAGAAACACGTGGATTAGAGAACACAGATTAATAGCGTGACCCAAACTACTGTATTAAAAAGGTGAGTGGGCAGGACACGTTGCTTGAAGTAATGGACGCTGGCCAAAGAAGAATAACAGTGGCAGCCAAAGAGTGGAATGTGGCCGAGAGGCCTCCACCTAGGAGATGGAACGATGAAATCCGTGCATGCGCAGATAACACCAAAAGTGCCATCGGGTGGAGCGCGCTTTTTCACTTCGCCGCATCCCAGAAAGTCTCGGCCCCCGTGAAAAACCGGAACCCTCTCGTCTCCCTTCCGCTCTCTCACACGTCGCCGAGTCGCGGCGTTGCGTTCCACCGGTGCCGTTCGTTTTCCCGCAGGGCGAGTCTCCGTACCGGCGGGAGACCTACCGCTACACGCCACTGGTGGCTTGGTTGCTTCTGCCCAACGCGCTGCTGGCGGAGCCATTCGGCAAGCTCCTGTTCGCCGTGTGCGACGTGGCTGCGGGGTGGCTGGCGCTCGGCATGCTGCCCGTCGGCGTGTCGCGGCCGGGCCTGGCCGCCGCTGCCGCCTGCTGGCTGCTGAATCCCATTCCGGCTGCCGTGTCGTGCCGCGGGAATGCGGAATCCGTGCTGGCGCTGCTCGTGCTGGCCACGCTGCGGAGCCTGCGCCGGGGCCGCGTGGCCACGGCGGGCCTCCTCCACGGCGTGGCGGTGCACACCAAAATCTACCCCGTCATCTACACGCTGCCAATCGTGCTCAACCTCGCCTTGGCCTCCGAGTCCGCACGGGGTCGGCGCGAGCAGCGGCAGCCCTCGCCGCTGGGGCTGGGAAAGCGGCTCGTGCACAACTCCGTGCTGGCGGTGGATGCAGCGCTGCGGAGCAAGGACGTCTGGACGTTCGCGCTGACATCGGCTTCTGTGTTTGCGGCGATCAGCGCGTTTTTCTTCTACGTGTACGTTTGCGTGCGCGTGAGCTGTGTGCGGGCGCTGAGAGGGTGCTAATCCATGCACTCGAGGCCCATGATGATGGATAACGCCATCTGGGCTCTCAGAGGAGCCAAGAGACGTGGTCTCTACTAAAAAAAAGGGCTATTCCCCGAAATGTCAGCTGTTGTTTATATTTTCCTTTAACATTGAGTAATTGACGATTGTGTCGATTGTTATTTGCACACGACTGCCAACAGTGTTACAAAATCGACTGTTCATTTATTTCGGTAACAACTCAATGACTTGCCTCCATAGCGAGTAGACGTTTAAACTGTGGTCGGTCTCGTTCAGCACAGAAGGTCCTGTCCAGGTCTAAGGTGGTGTTGATCTCGATTGGATTACGCCCACAGGCCGGCAAATGCGGCATAGCAACCAGGGTCACCCCTGCGGCGTGTTATCGATGAACGCGGCGACGAGTATCTCCGTCGCCCTGCAATGAGGATGATGCTGCTGCTGCGTGAGCGTGTCCTGCCTGTGTGCGTGGCCTGGCGCCACCGCTGTGACACTGCCCTCTGCTCCGCACCCGCAGTTACGGCTGGGAGTTCGTGGAGCAGACGTACCTGTACCACGTGACACGGCGAGACACGCGCCACAACTTCTCCCCGTACTTCTACGCGCTGTACCTGGCCGGCGAGTCGGGCCGCGCGGGCGCCATGGGGCTGGTTGCGTTCGCGCCGCAGGCGGCGGTGTTGGCGGCCGCCAGCCTCCGCTACGCAGACGACCTCCCCTTCTGCTGCTTCGTTGTCACGGTCGCCTTCGTGGCCTTCAACAAGGTGTGCACGTCGCAGTACTTCCTGTGGTACCTGTGCCTGCTGCCCCCTGTGCTGCCCTCGCTGGCGCTGCCCCGACGGAGGGGGCTGGCGTTGCTCGCCGCGTGGTTTGCCGGGCAGGCCCTGTGGCTGCTGCCCGCGTACCTGCTCGAGTTCGAGGGGTGGAACGTGTTCCTCTCCGTCTGGGCGGCCGGGCTGCTCTTCCTCATCGTCAACTGCGTCGTCCTGCAGCAGATCATCGTGCACTACCGCCCGCCGCGCCCGGCGCACAACCTCAAGAACAGCTGAAGAGCCGACAGGACGCGTGGCTTTTGTAATGGCTTTATGGCAACTGAAACAACGCGAAACTGCCTTCATTTGTAGATATTTTCATAAAGGGATAAAATCATATGTGCAGTCGTCTCTTGTTACACGTACTTATCCAGGGACGAGGGGTGTTGCCGGATTGAAACACCAGCGTCTAGGCACCACTAACACCACTGATCATAAGCCTAAAGGACCAACACTCGTTCTAAGCACCAACATTACAAATGGACCCCATTAATACTTGGACGCTACTTAATACTGTAGGACTGTAATAGCTGGGACAACACCCAATGTGAGTGTATATGTCTGTGTGTGTGTGTGTTGTGTGGGGTGAGTGGTCGTACAGCGATTGGAGCGCTGCACTATAAACCTGGAGACCCGAGTTCGATTCTGCTCACGGTCAACCCCAATGACGATTATCTGAACCGGTCCTGGGCCTCCCCTAGGTCAACTCGGCCTCAAATTATTACATCGTCACTGGTTAGACAGGTAGCTGGGCGTGGTGCTGGCCACCCACCCCTCGTGTGCCGTGCCCGCTAACAGCACTTGCCCCAAGAGTCTGTTAATGCTATACGGGAGATCATTGTTGTGTGTGTGCCTGTTGTCTTTGTGAGTATATGCGCATCACTACAGGAAGAAGGTGATATCGAATAAGCGCTACTTAGCTGTATTCAGGGTTTGAGGTTGTTGCTGGGCTTTGTTTTGATCAAATGGGGCTCTTGTCAGGAGTAAATGTGCACACGGCCTCATGAGCCTTGCAAGCAACGCTACAGAACAGCTGGCAGAACAAGGCCTGTGGGTGCCTAAGAGTTTGGGGGCTCATTTGTTGCGGTTATGAGTTGAGAGTGAGGGGTAAGGCTTAAAGTCTAGGAAAGAGGAGGAGGGAGCTTGGGTTTCGTGAGTCAAGGCATTAGGAGTCCCGGATTGACTGTAGCAGCTTTGAGTCCAGGATGGGGGCTGGACAGTGGGTAATAGCGGTTGGGGTTGGATTTGGGATTGTAGTCATTATTGAGGTTGGAGTCGTGGTTGGGGTTGTATTTGATCGTTGAGCGAGCTTGTGTCTCCACGTGAGACTGGGCTCTCTCGATCTCCCGCCCTTGACCTCGTCGCTGCGCACTCGGTTCATTTCCCGAGCTGGGGCAGGAGGTGGCTCGTCACGGGGATGTCGGCAAAGAAGTTGAGTGCGGCGACGCTGGGAGGCGCTGCGGGGGCACTTGTGTGGGCCCGACGCTGCATCATGCACTCGGTGAGAACCAGCCGCATGTCCCTGGTGGCATCGCCACGCAGTGCCAGCACCGCCCAGATGTGCTCCTCCCTGTGGGCAGAGGTCAGGGGTCACGGAGGATCTTTCACGGCCACATTGACCTTGCACGTCAACGATGTGGCCGTGATTTTCAAATGTACGCGTTGACGGAGCGACCCGCGTGTCGAACGTACACTGGCGTCACTAGATGGCGCCTGTTTCGGAGTCGTTGGTTTGTGGTGAGGAGATGGTGAGGAAATATTGGGCCGTGAGGGTGCGGGACTGGGGCTGCGTGCGTGGGGCCGCGTGCGTGCAGCCTCACCGCACGTCGGGGTATTTGTGAAGGAGGCCCGAGATCTCCAGGCACAGCATAGAGGTGTCCTTGAGGCGCACGAGCTCGGCCAAGGCCGGGATAACATCACTCAGCGAATCCTCACTCAGTGGGCCCTGCACACACATGATCGCACGAGAGAACATGCACGCAGGGAATACACACATACACAGGCGTGTGGCACACTCTCCGGAATATGCTCAAAATTCCTTGTGTAGCCCTTATGCTATTGAGAAAAGTGTTAGCGAGCACCTATTAAGACCGATGCGGTGCACGAAGGTGGGGCGTCCAGCACGTGAAGAAGCAGGTGTGGCAGGCTCGCTGCTCGCAGGTCACGGCACCCCTGCTCCCCGCTGGCCCACGCAGACAAAGATCCCCCGTATCGCCTTCACAGATTTTTGGGACAAGTGCCGTTAGCGAGCACCTATGAAGGCCGGCACGGCACACGAGGGGGTGGGTGGCCAGCACCACGCCCAGCCACCTATGTCTCCCTAGTGGCGAAGTGTACACATCACACCAGGTACTCATTTGAGGCTGAGTTGACCTCGGGGAGGCCCAGGACCAGTTCAGATAATCGTCACCGGTGTTGGCCGTGAGCGGAAATCTAATTCGAGTCGCCGGGTTCGTAGCGCAGCGTAGCGCTGACCGCTACACCACCGCTCCCCACGCGCGCGACCTCTGCAGAGCTCAAGCAACGACTGAGACGCTCACGTGGGAGAGCTTCTGGAAGAGCTGCTTCAGCTGACGCGCCTCCCACTCCATCTTCTCGGCGGCCTCGCGCCGCTCCTCGCAGCCCTTGAAGGAGACGCGGCGCTGCACGGCGGCGCGCACGAACTCGCTGACGAGTCGGCGGTGAGCGCGCTCCGTTAGCTCCTGCAGGAGCCACGGAGATCGGGTGTGGGCGTGGAGCGAACGTGCGGGGACTCACAGGGATGCGCAGGAATGCATGGGGACACGAGGGACACTATGGAGACGCATGGTTCCATAGGAATCCAGAGGGACAGATGACATTAACGAAGCAGTCTAAAATGAGAGTTGAAGGGGGTCGTGTTGAAAGGTTTGTGCACGTGAGTGCGGAAGCGTGATAGAGGGAGTGGTCGAATGTGCGTAATGCTGTGTGGAAGTTACCTGGCCTGTCGCTCCACACAGATTTGGGTCATCTTGGCTTCAGTTATGCTCGACCTGTTCTATGCTTGCGAAACGTGGACCCCTCGAATGGAATATCTGGGCCAGGTTTACAGATCCTTGAAATATCTGAACACACTCCCATTGGTGAGCTCCGACAAGCAAGGCATTGGCTGGGTAATGCAGCCCCCATGCCCAACCACCGCATGCTCAAGCAGTTTCTGTTTGGCTGGATAGAGGGGGGCTAAACGGTACGGAACAGGCTAGAAAAGAGATGGGCTGATGTGGTACACGAGGATGTTGAGATGAGTGAACTTGCCGATGACTGGTATTCACGGTGTCAAGATCGGCCTCTGTGGAGAAGACACAGAGGCTGGAGGCAGTCGCCCTCTAACAACTGAAGGGCGGAGGATCAACGCTCACAACAGCGAGTGGAGCGGCTAAACGCAGCAAGTTGGCACGGTGAGAAGCACAGGTGGTGCATCTGCCAGTCATCTCAGTGAAGCCATGGCACCTGGGTTTTCCCGTGACCTGTCTTTGTGTGCAGGACGAGCCAACGAGAGCGCACCTGCAGGTACGGCTTCTTGAGTTTGGAAAAGTCGCTGAAGTAATCCTCGACCGTGGCACAGATGGTGTCCATGGCGCGAGAGCTCGAGACCCAGGCCCTGGTGAGCAGCTCCTGCAGCAGGGGCTGCATCACACGCGCGCACACGTGCTCGCTGTCAAGTACACGTGCACACGCATTCATGCGCACACACAAAGACAAGCGTGCGCACTCGAGCAAGCAGCAGTTCCCGAATTTTCTAAATCCACGCGCTGTCACTGTCAACCCTCCAAACCATTACAGACCGCCGCGTACCAACAGCTTCCTTCAGAATGCAACCGACTCCGATCATGGGGTCTGCAGCCGCTCGACGCAGCACTTCCCACGGCCTGTTGGGAGCCGCTGTGCTTGAGAACATGCATGCCAGCACACGTACACACACACTGGAGAACGTACACACCCAGAAATGATGCACACGACGTAAACAAAAATATACGCGCCCAGTAACCGCGTGCCTGCACGTACAAGCGCAGTGTCTCTGCTGCTCTGCTCTGTTCGCTCGCTCGCACGGGCCGCTTCACAGCACCAGCCACATCTCACCAGAGCTCACCGGATCTCACCAGATCTCACCGGACCATTGGTGAAGTGTGGTCACTCCGAGGGGCCCAGGTAGACGAAATAAGATGGGGCCCCACGTCCAATTTCCCCCCTTCGTAGCCCGGTGCCTGGGCCCCTTGGGACTCTGGGCCCCTCGGGACTCTGGGCCCGGGTGCCATCGCACCACCTGCGCACCGTCCGGTTTGTCGCCCCGGCGGGCCCCGCGGGAGCCTCACCTCGATGTCCAGCAACACCTCGTCGAGCAGGTACTCGCAGGCGTCGGCAGCGATGCCGTCCAGCTGCGTCGTCGGGTCGGGCAATCGTGCCGGAACGGGGGTGGCCTCCTGGGAAGGGCCCTCCACCCCCGGGGCCCCGAATGTCGGCCGCTTCTCCAGGAGCTGCCTCATTGACTCCCTGCGATGACAAAGACCCCCCCCCCCCCCCGGGTAGCCTTGACAGACCGCCTGGGAGAGTCCAGGCGAGTCGCGCCTTTGAAGGCCGGCACAGTGGTGCACGAGGGGGTGGGTGGCCGGCGCTACGCCATGTCGCCTTTTTCTCCTAAGCGACGATGAGTTGACGCAAGGGAGGCTCGGGAGCGTTTCAGATATTTGTCACCGATGTCGACTGAGCGTAAAACTAACTCGGTCACTGGAACCGTAGCGGCAGTGCGCCAACTGTTGCGCCATCACTCCGTGCAATGAACGCACACGCACGCACGAGCGCACGCACGAACGCACACCGTGGGGACATCGTCCTCGTGAGGCCGGGACGCGAGCCCTGTGGGAGAACGGCGGGAACAGGCGTTGGTCATATCCAGTTCTGCTCTGCGGATCGGAGTTGTGGAACCTTGGAGGAGAGTTGCTGAGTTCGACCTGGCCGTGTGCGGAGCCTAACGGACGCACACACTGGCTCACGCCACCTACTTGAAGGCAAGGCAGTTGTTGGTGGCGGCCGTCATGTATTGTACGTAGAAGGGCGGCAGCTGCCGGTTCTGCACGTGCTCCTGCCGATATCCGCCCAGCACCGCGCGGTACCTGGAGGCGACGAGCGCGGATACGTGTACCGACACACACAACGACACAACAACAACCGCCATTCGCCACTAAGTGGCGGTGACGTCACCACGACGCTTGTGCCAGGCTATGTGCACCCTGAGGCCACGTGAAGTGTCGAACGCCCGCTGGCAGGAGGTCACGGGGCAGACCCAGGTGCCACGGGTCGACTGACTGAGATGACTGGCTGATGCACCACCTGTGCCCCCTACTGTGCCAACCTGCTGTGCTTTAGCCACCCGGCGCTCCGCTCGTTGTTGTGAGCGTCGCTCCTCCGCCCTCCGTTGTTGTTGGAGGGCGACTGCCTCCAACTGCCCAGTAGCGTCCTTCACGAGCCTCCTCCACAGAGGCCGATCTTGACACCGCTGGTACCAGTCATCGGCAAGTCCACTCAGCTCCACGTCCTCCTGTACCACATCACTCCATCTCTTCTCTAGCCCGTGCCGCGCCCGCTTAGCCCCCTCAATCCGGCCGAACAAAAGCTGTTTCGGCATGCGGTGGCTGGGCATGCGGGCTACATGACCCAGCCATCGCAGCCTTCCCCGCCGGAGGAGCTCACCGATGGGACCTTGCCCAGATCTTTAAAGGATTTGTGAGCTCCTCACACAATCCAGTCTGGTTAAACCCAGGATGGATCGTAGGCAGGCCAGCCTAAATGTTTCTAACCGGCGAAGATGTTCCATTAGGGGGGTCCACGTTTCGCAAGCGTAGAGAAGGGAGGGAATGACCGTGGCCGAGAAGACCTGAAGCTTAGTGCGAGCGACAGACCAGGTAGCTTCCACACAGCGTTACGCAACCGATGAAAAGATATTGCCGCTCGACTGATTCGGAGTGAGACCTCTGCTGTTAAACTGGAGCCAGTCATAAGCACACTGCCCAGGTATGGGAAACTCTCCACTCTCTCCACAACTACCCCATCACCGATTGGGAGTTGTGGGGGTGGAGGGTCCGATGGTACAAAATACCCAGGCAGGTGCTTAGTTTTGGTAAGGCTGATGGTAAGGCCCCACCTCTTAGTGGCACGCTCCAGTCTCAGCAACAGCGTCTCCAACTCCTCCTCTGAATGAGCAGCTATTACCAAATCATCAGCATACATAACGTGGTTGAGCAATAGGGAGCTATCCCTTGATCGCACCCGGGCATCGATCAGCCTCCCATTATATCTGTACCATATGGAGATTCCCCCGGTACAGCTATTGAAGGCTTCACGAACTCCGTGGTCAAAATAGATGTTAAATAATGTGGGAGCCAGAGGACATCCCTGTCGCACCCCAAGGTGTACAGGGAATGGCTTTGACTCCCGGGCACGTAGTTTTACCCAGGCCCGCTCACCATCATGAAGGTCCTTAATGATCGTGAGCAGAGGGTCAGATACTCCAAAAGCACGAAGAACAACCCAGAGCCCAGGCCTACTGATGGTATCATAGGCCTTGACCAGGTCAATAAAGCAGAGATGTAGGTCTTGTTGGAATTCCCTACACCTGTGCTGTAGCAGACGGACAGAAAATATGGCATCTGTGCAGGACCGCCCTTTCCTGAAACCGCATTGAGGCTCCGCAAGCTTCTCCTCAGCGTGCCTGGCAAGGCGATGTTGAATAATCCTTGCCAGGACCTTTCCCGGCACACTGAGGAGTGAGATTCCCCTGCAGGGGGACCACCAGGGCATCCTTCCAATCCTGTGGAACCTGTCCAGTGGTCCAGACTGTTGTTATGATGTCATATAGGGCAGTCTGTGCACAAACGCCGCCCTCCCTCAGCATTCGCTTGGGAGATCATCTCTGCCCGCTGCCTTTCCTGGTCTCAGACTCCGGATCGCCTTCAGTACTTCCTCAACAGATGGCACCTCAGCCAGCCACTCACAGAGGGTGACTTCTTCCAATATTTGAGGCACCGCAGCCTCAGCAGGGTCATCCTCACTTTGTGCCATGATGTTTTCCTGGCTGAGGGATTTTCCCTCCCCCAGGACCTCACAGAAATGCTCAGCAAATCTGCAAACCTGTTCCTGGGGGCCGGAGATTGGGTCACCGTTTTTTCCCCTAATGATGGTAATAGGTGTGGCGCTGCAGATTACTTTTTTGATGGAGTTAAATAGAGATTTGTGATCACGGGCCACTGAGGCAGACTCCATCTCCTCAGCAACCCACGACCACCACCCATCCTTGCAGCGCCTCACGGCTCTCCGAACCTCCGAGCGAAGGCTGTGGTAAGCCTCCTCATTCTCTGACGTGGGATTCTGTAGCCGATGACAGTGGGCCTGTCGCTTTTTCTCAACCATCCTGAACACCTCTGTCAGCCAGGGTCTCTGGGGAGGTCTGGACCGCGTACCCAAAGCAGCCATTGCAGCTGCATGAGTCACAGTCCTAAATCTCGCCCACTTACCCTCGACATCAGGAGGAGTCGTGGACGATGCCAATCCCAGTCGCAAGCGATGATGAAATTCTCGCTTGCAACTTTCATCAGATAACTGAGACCAGGCCACTTTAGGTTGGAATGGGGTCCTGGGTGTACACCCACCACCGGAGTGGAAGAATGGCAGGCGCATCTTACAGATGACTAGTCGATGGTCAGAGGGCAGATCAGCTCCACGGTAGGTCCTGGTGTCAAGGACATGGGCTCGCATCCGCTGGTCCGTCACTATGTAGTCCAGCAGATGTTCTTGCTTGGACCCGGCATGCATCCATGATGTTGTGTGGATGCGCCGATGCCGGAACAGCGTGTTGGTAATTACAAGCCCATGGGCTGCACAAAAATCTAGCAGCCTCCTACCGTTGTTATTGAGCTGATCTGGCCCATGCCCTCCAATCACTCCAGACCAGGTGCCAGTATCATGACCAACTCGGGCATTGAAGTCACCCAACATGATGACTCTATCCCGAGGGGCCACTTTAGCCAGCACCTGTGACAGGAGGTCATAGAAGGCAGCTGACTCATCGGCTTTGCCTGCATCCCTCCACGGATGTTCATCTTCGGTGGGGGCATAAGTAACCACGACCACCATTCCTCGGCTCCGGTTGATGGGAAGGCGAGCCCAAAGTAGCCTGGGGCTTACAGCTTCCCACACCTCACCGCCACGCTCCCACGCCCCCTTCATTCTTTTGTTCAAAAGAAGAGCTACACCCTGTTGTTTGGCAGTCTGCTGCCCCGAGTAGAGGACTGTCCACCCCTCATGGTGGCAGGAGCCAGAGCCGGTCCACCGGACCTCCTGAATGCCACATAGATCCAGGCGGTACCGGTCCAGCTCCCGACAGAGGAGTGGCAGCCTCTCCTCCGCAGTGAGTGTTCGAACATTCCACGTGGCCACCCGTAGTGGTTTTTCGTTGTTTCTGGAGGAGCCCCGAGGGTAGATATTCAATCTCCTGGCTCCGCCAATTGGGGTTTGGCCAGGAGACGTCATAGACGCCTGGCCCCCCGGGGCCTCCGGCACAAGCTTATTAGTTATATACTTAATTCGCGGTTTAGTGGTAATTAATTGAAGGTGGAGGGGTTACCAGCCCCTCGCACCCGTCCAGAGCCCCCGTTTAGCTGCTGTGGTGGACACATATGCCATGAGGGGAGGAGCCAATCACAATTGGACCTCCCCCCACACCACTGTCCACGACAGAGTTGCCCGTCCGGCACCGCGAGGAGGTAGGGGGTTGTTTTGCCGACACACACACACCGACACACACACCAACACACACACCGACACACACACCAACACACACACCAACACACACACCGACACACACACACCGATGCACACACCAACACACCGACACACACACCAACACACACACCGACACATACACACCAACACGCACACCAACTAACACACCGACACACACACCAACACGCACACACCAACACGCGCACCAACACACACACCGACACACACCAGCTAACACACCGACACGCACGCAGTCGTGACATGCCGAGGCACAACCGCGGTAGATGGCACCGCTGGATCGAGACTCCCGGCCCCTCCTGCTCACCTGCACAGGAACGTCTGCACCTCCAGCAGGCCGATGGTCATGGCTCGGCCTACGAGTCGGGGACTCACCTGGGAGGCCACCTGAACGTTCTGCTCCAGCATCTGTGGCAGGGCAAAAGAACGGGAACAATGACCACGGATCGTTACCATGCCGCCTGTTTATCCAAGAAGCAAATTTTTTCAGGGTTAGGGTCCTGCTAGGTTTTTACAGTTGTAGGCGATGATTTCAGATTTGGTCAACTCGTCTTTGAATGACGTAACGGCATATTTAACGTCCACTGCAACATGATTAATATACCACAGTGTTAACCAGGGCCAGCTGCCGCATCGAACTGCGAACTTCTGCAATGAGCAGCATATGCACTACTGCTGGGCCCTGGCACTGCCTGGTTCGCTCGGCAGGCGTGACCCTGGCTCACCTGGCACACGTGACCCTGGCTCACCTGGCACACGATGGCAGGCAGTGCGGTGTGAAAGTATCCGTGCTGGTCGGTGTCCGGCTCCTGGTTCCGCATCCAATCGCGACGCTCGGCCTCCAGAGCCTTGCCCAGCCACGTGCACACGTTACTCTGCACACGCCGCACACGCGCGCATCATTGCACCCGCGCGTCACCCCACACCACATTCACAACGCATTTACATGCGGCTAAAACACTGCGATGGCGCAGGGGAGCATGTGTCGTTGCGCATTCACCGCTTGTTTCAGAGGTTCACGGTTCAAATCCAGCGGCTATCCTGGTTAATACTGCGGATGTAATAACCTTAAAACTACCACACGCTGTCTCCTTCACAGTGAATGTTAAAGATCCCGTGACACCATTCGCAAGAGAAGGCCGTTGTGTGCCGGTGTCAGGGTCCGATTTTTCCAAGTAAAAAAAATTACACCGCAAATTACTCAATGGGTCTGCCCCATAATTTCCTACCAGCAAGCCTTCCACCACTCACGCGATGGGCTCAAAGTACACCTAGTCTGGCACACATGCGGGCGTGGCGCTGCCGTTTCGGCCTTAACAGCTTAACAGGAGCTCGCTAACAGCACTTGCCGCAACAGCCTGTGCAGGCTACACGGGGGTCTTTGTCATCGCGTCGTGAGACACCTGGAGCGTGTGCAGGTACTTGTGCAGCAGCGCCTCCACCTCCCCAGGTGACAGCAGCGGTGGCAGCTCCTCCACGGAGGCCTCCGGGGCCAGGTCGGGGTGCCCCATCATCTCCTCGCTGCGGGCGGACACAATTCGGGGTCTTTACAATACCTCCGACGCGTCCCTCATTGCGCCCCCTCCCTCCGACCCCCACCACGAGCCCCTCAGCCGGTGGGCTGGCGCGGCCGCGGCACGCACGTACCTGGGATAGGTGTGCAGCACCCAGGTGAGCAGCGACACGATCTCGTTGGCCTCCAGCTGCTCGGACACGATGTCCTGGAGGTGCGCGCCGAGCGCCTGGTGGTAGAATCTCAGCGTTGTGGAGAAGATGTTGTACTTCGGCGGGAAGCACTGGGCCATCAGTGTCTTCACCACCACCAGATCCTGCGCTCCACCAGCATCCACCATCGTCCATTGGCGACCACCAGCGACCACGCACTCGAAGGGCGCGGCGTACGGGGCGCGGCGTGCGGGGCGCGGCGTGCGCGGCGCTCACCTCGAGGATGCGGCGCTGCAGCGTGTCGAGGTGCCGCGCCAGCCACAGGCTGTCGTCGTCGCGCGTGTCCGTCTGGCCGCTCTCCACGCGCGTGCTCACCGTCTGCCGCAGCACCTCCACGCAGCGGCGCTGCAGCTCCTTGGGCCGCCCCGGGGCGACGAACCCGGAGCTCTGCCGCCGCTCGGCCGCGAGCGCGTCCAGCCCCTCCTCGCGCTCGATGACCCGAAGCGCCGACACCAGCATGGCCGGGTCGCGCCGCGCCGTACCGAGGCCACGCTGCAACACGAGCCAGAGCTGCTTGGCGAGTTCCCCTGCGCGGTGGTGGGGGGCGCACACGTGGGGGGGGGGGGGGGGCACGCGCGTGTCGCGGTCAGCGTGGAGAGGAGGGGTGGGGCGCTCCGCGTGGCCGGTGCTGTGATCGTGATGAGCGAACAGGTCGCCTGATAAACATTCGGGACGATGGATGTTAAGTCCCATTCAGAATCAGAATCTGGAGACTGGAGGAAACCGATGAGCTACGTGGCTCTTTTTCACAGATGTCTCGTAGGCCACGGCTGGGCCGAGATGACCGGACGACGTTTCGGCCACAACACAAGCGGCCTTCATCAGGTGAAGGGACGAGACTGTCTGGAGGACAGCGCTGGAGTGGAAGAAGCCACGCTTAGATCACGACCTTTAAGCTTGTGATCGCGGCATCTTAAAGGACGTGATCTAAGCGTGGCTTCTTCCACTCCAGCGCTGTCCTCCAGACAGTCTCGTCCCTTCACCTGATGAAAGCCGCTTGTGTTGTGGCCGAAACGTCGTGATTTTTTGTTATTTTATTTTCACCTACGTGACTTTACCCAATAGAACCAAAGAGTATGGATCCTAACAGTCACGAAAGCTTTAAATCTAGAAATGATCGGACGACTTCACGACGCGAGAACACGAGCGAGCGATGTGACGGCATCGCTGTTTTCAAAAGCTTGCCGCGCCACGCCGCCCTCGCCACCCCGAATCCGTACCGGCGAGGGACTCGGCGCAGGAGAAGTACTCGCGGATGAGGTGCAGGTTGGCGGCGTTGCCCGCGTCCTTGAGGTGCTGGCGCAGCAGCAGGCTGTCCCGCGAGTGCTCAAGCTCCATGAGGTTCTTGTGTGCGGCCAGGAGCTCCCCCTGCTCGATCCAGTCGCGCGTCTCCTGCTCCAGCTCGCGCACTGCGCACGGCACACACACACGTGTCACACACACACACGTATCACACACACACGTGTCACACACACACACGTATCACACACACGTATCACACATACACGTATCACACATACACACGTATCACACGTATCACACATACACACGTATCACACACACGGAACACCGACACGCACGTGTCACATATCCACGTACCTATATGTCACACATAACACACAGGTATGTATGTTAAACTTCGTTCGCACCGCACGTAGCCAACCGTGATTATCGTCGGTGCGGGGGAAGGACGACACGTGTCACATCAACACCTACACATGTCGCACACACACGTGGCCAATGACACACCGATGGCCCTGACGTTGTTATTACCATGCTGGTGCGGGTGCTGGGCCCACCCGCCCCGTCTGACTGGCTGGTCGCGAACGTGCCGAGAGGCAGATCGCGCCCCTGCCTGCTCTGCGCTATCCAGATGCGAGTCTGCGACATGCAGCAGCACCAGCAGTGACGGCAGTAGCAGCACCAGAAGCAGCAGTAGCAACACGAGCAGCAGCAGCAGCAGGACGTTGCGACTTCCACAGAATATCCAGCCATGGATGCGATTCGCGCCCTTTCCCTGTAATTAAGAGGAATGGAAACGTGGACGGCGGACGCCTCCATGCAAACGCGCGGTTACTGCAGCCGCAAGGAACGAGGCAACTGCGGGAGACGGGAGGCCCTGGACACACGCGGGAGCCGCGGGGGTCGTGGGGGCAACGCAGAGCGGACTCCGTGCTTCAAACACGAACCGGGGCGTGGGAATCGAGGGTGTGGGGATGGGGGGGCCGTGACCCGGGGGCCACGCAGGAGGCGTCCCTGTAGCCGCACGGAGCGGCCTCGCCCCGCCCTCACCCCTCTCTCACTACAGCCTGCCCCCGTCTCATCTCTGTGTCACCACGATCTCACCTGGCGGCACCTGCCATGCCGGTGCCTGTAGGTCGCATCCTCTGTGTCGCGGGGGGGGGATGGCGTTTGAGTTGGCGGCACAGTTAGGGTCGTGTGGCGTCACCGTGCAGTGGGCTCGGGTCGGGGGTCTCGTCGCGGTCAGAACCAGTGCCGTGTGTGCGGGTCACGTTGCCGTGCGTGTGGGTCACGTTGCCGTGCGTGTGGGTCACGTCGCCGTGCGTGCGGGTCACGTTGCCGTGCGTGCGGGTCACGTTGCAGTGCGTGTGGGTCACGTTGCCGTGCGTGCGGGTCACGTTGCCGTGTGAGTGGGTCACGTTGCCGTGCGTGTGGGTCACGTTGCCGTGCGTGCGGGTCCGCGTTGCTCGCGTCAGCCAAAGGGGGGAAGCTCGGGCTAGTGTCAGGGTCCGTGCTGCTGCTGGCGGGGGCGTACCGCTCATAATGATGCGCGTGTGCTCCACGGCGGCCGCCAGCTGCCCATGCTCGTCCGCCAGGCCGCGGAGCTCTCCCAGGGGTTCCAGGGCCGCGAGCCCCGCCTCGCGCTCAGCGCGCACCCCGCGCAGGGCGCGCCCGATCTCCCGGGCGTGCGCCAGCGCCCCGTGCAGCTGCGACAGGCCCAGCCGCACCCCCTCCAGCTGGGACTGCAGGGCGCTCTGCGGGGCGGCACCGGGTAGGGGAGGGAAGGACGAGGGGCTCTCTGTGAGCGGCCGCGCCGGCCCCGGCCGGAGTGGCGCTCAGGAGACGATGGTGGCGCCACTCCTGGCGCGCCGGTGTCGCCATCGCGTCCCCGTACCGAGCAGAGCAGCGAGAGACCCAACGGTGGCTTCACGCGCGATCTCCGAGGCCGACGTCGTACCCGATGAGGGAATCACGCACTGCCTCTACACATGCCGATGTATACACCTCCTGGCCCGTGTTGTGTCTCTCTGCAGACACAACACGGGCATTGGTTCAATACACACTCTGGGTAGGTTTCGACACACGAGATCTCACCAGTTGAGTCAAGAGTGGAAACCGCTCCAGTGTTTGCCCGTATAAAACCAATGCTGCGGAAATTATGCAGGCCCGAAAGGGCCTCTGGGATGTCTAAAACAATTCCGCTATTCATTGGAGAGAGATAAACACGGGAAGTCGGCGGTTGTCTGCTGCTTCTGTTCCTCGTATTCTCCACAGCGACACGAGTGATTGTGTTGTCTGCTTCGTGAACATTCTACATTTAAACCCGGATGGTACAGCGGGGGGCCAGGCCTCCATCCCTGCCCCAGTGTTTAGGATTGTTTTCTTTAACGCAGTTCATGAGCACAGGGCTTAGATGCCCAAAACGTCAAGCGACCGGAAACAACCAACACTGGCAAGTTGCAATTGATAAGAGTTGACACGTGTCATTGAATGTAGCAAGATTACTGTCAGAACTTGGGAGAGGAGACGATGATGGGAGAGCGAATTCCCAAGTGGAGCAGTGCAAGGGAAGAAGCAGAAAGAGAAGTAACCTTACCTGCAGTGTGGCGAGTGGGCGAGTGTGGGTGCATGAATGGCTGTGTAGCTGTGTAGCTGTGACACGCAGTGCGGTGGTTGAACGCGACGTGGATGAGATAAAACACTCGGCCCGGTGTCGACTGACACGGGCGGAGGGCTCGCCGAGTGGAGCGCGGGCACCTTGAGGCGCGTCTCGAGCGAGGCGGTGGTCCGCGCCTCCCGCTTGCGGTACTGCTCCACGCGCTCCAGCTGCTCCGGGTACTGCAGCATGAGCGACACGCGCTTGAGCGCCGTGCCCAGCGCCAGCCGCTCCGTCTCCTGCTGCGTGGCGTGCACATGACCCGACATCCCCGCGCACGCGGCCTCCCGGCTCGCCGTCTCCCTGGGTAGTCGGGGCTGCTGCTGCCACAGCTGAAGGGATTCACGCTGCGTGTTGTTTGCTCCCCCACGCGGGGGCGATGCCGCTACTTCGGTCCCGCTAGAGAAATCCGGTCCTCGGGGCCTTGCCTCGCTCCACGGTCTCGCTCCACCGCCGCGCTGTGCTGCTCTCAACTGCGATTCCTTTGTGCGGAGAAGGGGCCACGGGCGCCTCCCCCCACCCTTCCTTCTAGAAGGCCGCCCCTACAGGCCTTGGCCCCTCCCTTCCATGCGGTCCCGAGATTTGTCGTTGGTGCTGAGGCCGCTGTTCCTGGTTCTGAGGCCGCTGTCCCTGGTGCTGAAGCCGCTGTCCCTGGTTCTGAGGCCGCTGTCCCTAGTGCTGAGGCCGCTGTCCCTGGTGCTGAGGCCGCTGTCCCTGGTGCTGAGGTCCCAATCGAGAGGGATAGCGCAGGGGTCGCCGCTGGTGAACAGCGCGAGGCTGCACGCGGTGGCGCAATGCACGCGAGGTAATTAATGACGGCACGGGTCGCAAAGACCATTGCATGATTGAAAAGAACTACGTCATCACGGCCCTAACAGATTCCTCCACGAGAGGGCGATGGAATGGACGAGACTTGACGGCGGGCGGGAGAGAGCATCCCAAGGACACGGGATGTGTCCCGTGGGGACACAGCGTGCCGGTTGCATCGGGTAAACACGGGGCAGTGGCTGTGTGCGCTCATTCGCCCGTTTTCGAGGTCTCTGGCTTAAGATATCGGGGCGAGCGGACGCTTGTGCTGAGACCGTGCGAAAGCAGCACCGCACAGCCCACATCGCTCGTTGCGAGCTCGTTGCATGCGCACCGTGCAGGCACAGGAGAGGCTGCACGGAGAACTGGAATTCCGAGGGGCGCAGCGACTCTGGCGCTTCATTGTTTGTGAGGTAGGAGGTGGGACTTATAGGCAGAGCCCAGCTGTAGCGCGTTCGCTAATTGTTGCAAAGGATCACGGTTCGATTCTGACAGGCTGCCCTGGTTAATTCCGCGGTCTATTAAACTTAAGATAATACGCGAGCTTAAAGAACCAGTGACATCATTAAAAGCGTTGGCCATTGTGTCGGCGTCATGTTCCAAATGTGAAAAATAAACACAAATTACTCATTTAGGACACAGAAATCGTCATCCCCTACTGCGAAAATGTTCAAAGATCCTCCTGAAAAAGAGTATTGAGACTCAGTAAGGCTTTCCTAGGTAAACATGCGGAACAATAATCCTGCAGCAGCAGCTGCTGTGCAATTTCTGTCAAAAATACTTCTGCATAGTCAGGTGGTGCACACCTCACCTCCCGCTATCCTGATCGAGTGGTGGAAGGTTTACATTCCTATAGCAGGGCCGAATCTAACCACTGTTGATTTCCTCACAACGTGGTACTCGTTTTATCGACCCTAGAGGGATGAAGATGTGCCGAGTCATCCCCCAACCAGGATTTGAACTCGCAACCTTCCGCTGGCGAGCCGCTCGCCTTCGAGCCGGGCCCCGTGGCTGGCGTGGTCGCGAGTTGCCCAGGGCTGGGGGGATGAGTCGTCGCCGCACGGCTCGGAGCGAAATGCACACAAAGTCGGTGGCACAGCGGCGCGCGAGCGCTCAAAATGTTTAATCGACGACTCGAGCTGCTGCACACGCCGCACCCGCAGCGCAGAGAACGAGCCACGGCGTGACGTCAGTTTGCTTCGGATTTCCAAACGTCATCAGCGTGCCTGCTTCAACAGCGTGCATACTGCATATCATGGCATTTAGCTTCTATACACAGTATATCAAATGCTTTTTTATCTTGCACAATCTCAAATCAAGTGTAAGTGCATCCTTCATATGAATGTACACACATAAATAATTGTCATCTACACTGCTTTTCTAAGAATTTGTCGTTCACACCATGAAGGCGATGACATTAAAATTTCGCGACACAATCTATATTTCACTTGACAGGATCGCTGGCTTCATCCTCTCTACCGGAATCCTGAGCACAGTCAACCCAGTCACCACATTCACCCCACAGTCACCCCAGTCACCACACAGTCACCCGTCACCCCACATTCACCCGTCACCACACAGTCACCCCAGTCACCATTCACCCCAGTCACCACATTCACCACACAGCCACCCCGGTCACCACAAAGTCACCCCAGTCACCACACAGCCACCCGTCACCCCACATTCACCCCAGTCACCACATTCACCACACAGCCACCCCAGTCACCACACAGCCACCCGTCATCCCACATTCCCCCCAGTCACCACATTCACCCCAGTCACCCCATTTACCACATTCACCCCAGTCACCACATAGCCACCCCAGTCACCCCAGTCACCCCAGTCACCACCCCAGTCACCACATTCACCCCAGCCACCCCAGTCACCACATTCACCCCAGTCACCACATTCACCACATTCACCCCAGTCACCCCAGTCACCACACGTCACCCCACATCCACCCCAGTCACCACATTCACCCCAGTCACCACATTCACCCCAGTCACCACACAGCCACCCAAGTCACCACACAGCCACCCCAGTCACCACACAGCCACCCCAGTCACCAGACAGCCACCCCAGTCACCACATTCACCCCAGTCACCACACAGCCAACCCAGTCACCCCAGTCACCACACATTCATCCCAGTCACCCCAGTCACCACACAGCCACCCCAGTCACCACATCCACCTCACATCCATCCCAGTCACCACATTCACCCCAGTCACTTGCCACCTTGGTGACTCTACACCCAATATCCACCCAGACACCCTGCATACATCCAACATTCACCTCGGTCACCATACATTGAGCCTCGTCACCCCACGGCCACCCTGGTCACCCCATGGGCTGGAGATGGTCCTATGGGGCCACGTGCGGTTGTAAAGTAAATGTCAGTCACAAGCAGCAGCAGCAATGGAAACACTCACAGCTCAGGAGAGCCTTGTCTCAGGCCCATGAGTCAAATCAACAGGAATCTAAAGTTACATTGAAAAGGCACCATGATGGTTACTGGCTCTGCAGCAGAGGGACGACGGCCGAGTGGTGGGAAGCTGGGGCCTCTGATGCAGGCGCTGCAGAAACGAGCAGCTCGCGCCGCAAGGCAGTGTTCAGTCATTATTATTAACGTGCCGCACGCTCCCCGTAATCTCCGAGTGCCAGGTGTCGGCGAGACGAGGGGACGAGGGGCGGCAGAGGGCACCGCGTGGAATCTCCGCGCGCTGCTAGGACGCTCAGGCGCTGCTCCTGACGTCCTCCGCCTTGCCGCGGGGAAAGTCGGTGAAGAACTCGGCCCAGACAGGGCAGTGGTCGGAGACGAAGCCCCCCCAGGCCCAGCCGTCGGGGATCCACGCGCTGCTCAGCCCCGCACGCACCACCGCGCTCCCTCCTGCGGGGAACAGCGTCGCGCGTGCTCTCTCACTCTGCGGGGCGCTCCGAACTCTGCCGGGTGCATCGAGGTGGGAACTGAGCACCGCACCCTAGATTTGAAAGCAGTAGGAGTCCAACCTCGGCCGGTGTTGTGCTGCGTGTAGCACCTGGGATAATTGTTGAGTGCTAGAGGTGATGGCACATAAAAAAAAACCGAGCTTCTGCTGTGGCAGCCAATCAAACACCGCGATCGAGTCGAGGTCACGAGTCGTCAGGATGGCGTGCGCGCTCTCTCTCTCTCTCTCCACCTGTGTGCCGCTCCTTGACAGACGAACTGACCCACACGCCGTCCGCGGCGCGGCTGCCTCCGGGCTTCTCCTTGCCGATGTCGGTGAATGCCTCCGGGGGCAGCACGCTCGGCAGCCCCCCGAGCGCCGAGGCGGCTTGCGCGCCCAATCCCCCGAGCACCAGCACGGGCCATCCGCCTGCGACGCGCAAAACCGGTTCGGTGGTCGGAGTACACGTGGCTGGAAACTCCACGGTTCCTCCCGTCACGTCTACCGGCGGTCTTCTTATCCCCACAGTAACTCCACTTATCTGCTCGGCACAACAACCTCTCGTGAGCCATCATGGAATGGCTGCGTAACTCCTCTCGATAAAGAGGCATTGAGAAAGCCTGGTTTGCTTTTCTGCACCAAAGCCTTCGTCTTTGACTCTGAACAATTATTATCCCTGCTGCTACACACAGCATAATACCGGCCGAGGTTGGACTTCTCCTGCTGTCAAATCCGGGGTGCAGTGCCCAGTTCCTGCCTCACTGCACCTAACAGGGTTCAGAGTGCAGAGACAGTCGGGGTCATTGGTGATCCAGCACTCACTGATTCACTCCACTCAATCGCTCACCGGCAGTCAGTTGCCTGCTTGTCCCTCTTCTGTCGCTACTAGCATTGTTACTGTTCACTGAACTTCACCCAATGATTCCTCCACCCATGTTGAGGACTTGGTCTACCACACTGTCTCATCTCATTCACACTGTTCGCACCGCCGATTAGCATGGTTGGCTACGTATGGTGCAAAAGAAGTTCAACATACATACATACAACCACTGCACTGCAGGTCCAAATCACACACTCTCTCACTCACCCACTCGCCCACTCATATCCCCTTCACTCATCCAATCACCCACTCACCCAATCACTCACTCATTTTTCCCCCCACCCACTCGCCCACTCACTCACCACACTGCAGGTCACCTCACTTATTTTTCTGCTTCTTCCCTCACACTGCTCCACTCTGGAATTCCCTCTTCCCATCGTCTCTTTTCCCCCAAGCTCCTACAACAATAACTTTGCTCTATTCAAGAATCGTCTTACACCCTTGCGTATTGCGACTTTGAGAGTTCCGTTTAGGGCTTACGCTCAGAAAGTGCGTTTTATAAAAACAGCACGCGTGACGGCGCTTCGACCTGCGCTCCGCCCATAAATGCTGCCGGGCACCTTTGACGCCGTCGATCTCCGGGGACAGCAGGGCAGGGCCGAGGGGGGGCAGCTGCACTGCGGTGCCTTCGTCCGCCGCGGGCCGCACATGAACGTTCACCGCCGTGAACGCAAAGGCCCCGACCTGCACAGGGAGACGCGCGCGGTCACACGGCCCGGATCCGGGAAATGTCGTCTCTACGGTCGCGCGTGCCGTCTCAGGCGGCGGCGATGGAGGCCGTGGGCGCTACGGGTGGCCGCACCTTGAATTGTCGGACGAGCAGTGGCACGCGACAGCTGGCGCCGGTGCCGTTGCTGGGGATCATGCCGGCGCAGTCGGGGGGTGCAGGAAGGGGCAGCAGCTCCACGCCAGCCGCCCGGTTCCACAGGAAGCCCAGGATCTCCTGTGCGCCCAGAACCACGGCGTCGTTAACACGACTCCTCCGCCTCCTCCACTCGTACGACATCCCTTCCTCTCACGTCGCCTGCTTACACAACATTACATTTACGTGTAAACCTTCTGGATCAAGACCTCATGAAGTTCCTTACGATCGGTCTCCACAGTTACTGCCAGACACAACAACCAAGACGTGAACATTGGCTACACAAAGCACAACCATACACCACGCACAACTCTCGTAGTGCCGGTTCACACACCACCTAAATGACAACCGCTCCACAGATATAAGCTGCCGCTGCTGCTATCAATCCAGGCGCCGTTGCCTGGCTAAACGAAGCTGGCACGGGGCGCGTGTTGGGAGGCAGCACGTTGCCTTTTACAGCATCGTGCAAGCGACTGTGTGGATCCAAGTGTGGCCACGTTCGTGTGTGTGCGCGTGTGCATGTGTGTGGATAGTGGCACTGTAGAGGGCACAGGTGGTGCATCAGCCAGTCATTTCGGTCAATCGACCCGTGGCACCTGGGTCTGCCCCGTGACCTCCTGCCAGTGGGCGTTCGACACTTCACGCGACCTCAACGTGCACAGAGCCTGGCACAAGCGTCGTGGTGATGTCACCGCCACTTAGTGACGAATGGCGGTTGTTGTTGTTGGAGAGTGGCAGTATCGCGGTTAGTGTTTGCACACGACTAGTGCCAACCCCCCTTTCTATGCTGTACCGGCCTTCGTAGGGGCATGCTAACAGTACTTGCCCGAACAGTCTGTTAAAGGCTATACGGGGGGTTTTTGTGTGGGTGCGTATGTGAGTGTTGGAAGCCGCTCACTCTGCCGCCGTCCGGCTGCCGCTCTGCGGAGGTCACGCACTCCCAGTCCCCGTGCTGCCCCGCCCAGCTCTGCACGAGCGGCACCGTCGGCTCGTTCAGCTCCAGGCAGAGCTGCGACACAGACGTATGTGGCCATGAGCGCTGAGACACCACCAGGCTCCTCCGTCGTGTGAAGCCGCCACGTGGAGCATCGAAACGAATGCAGCTTCCGGCTCAGGTGAGCATTCAGGCAGTGATCGGCTCCCATTTAGAGCCCCGAGTCAGTGATGGAAAATTCCCCGTGATTATGGCGGGGGAGAGTCCATCCATTGGACAACCACTGTTGAAGTCTCCACAAGGCGGTGTGTATTGTATCGACCCAGAGGGATGATGATCCAAGTGAACCCCCGACCAGGATGTGAACTCGCTAGCGTCCGGTTGCGCCCCACTCGCTCTGCCACGGAGCCCCTCCAGGTCCGAATATTGAACGCTCAATTTCGGGCATCACTCCGGAGTTCCCTGTGATCGTAAATGTTGTGGTTGTTGAGCCAGGGCTGCAGCAAGTTTAAAATGAAAAGGTGGCTTAGTGCACAGCATTTATAGATCTGTAGACAGGAGATGCAGTTCAGTGAAATGAGTTATTGATTACAACTGTGAAACGGTAACCAGTAACCAGGAACCATCTTCATAATATCTGACCGGTTGCAAAAGTCAGGAACCAGGAATCATTTTCCATTGGAAAATTAATCATGAACGCACCGATTGTATCACACAAAGAAACAAACCGCACGGCAGCCTTAATCACGGCGTGGTTCATTTGCATTTCTCAGTTAAAAGATAACAACCCTGGCCCCAGAATAAACTTCAATCCTGACAGCTGAATCTGGTTCTTTAGCACTCCCCGACCTGCTCACAAGTCAACTGCCTCCCTGTGCCACTCCTGGCAGGAAAGGCCTCAACTCCAGAGGGAAAACCGTTACGTTTATTGCGAGACATTTTCATAAGTGCGGCAAATCGGTAACTGTTTTAATGTTTTGATTTAAAGCTTTCGTGACTGCAGTAATTCATATTCTTAGTTTATTCGGTAAAGTCACGTTGAAGAGAAACAACTAAATAATAAAATATATATAAAACAATAAAACATTCTCACGACGTTTCGACCATAACTCAAACGGTCGTCTTCAGGTGTGTTGGTTCGCATAAATTCATTTTTAAACGGCGCATTTATTTATTTATTTTAAAAAAACGTTAGCGCCACGCACAATGATTTGGCAGTTTACCCAGGACTAGTCCATCTATATTCTGAAAAGAGGAGGGGGGAGACGAAATTTTTTATAATGTATGCTGTCTGAAAGCCACTGTAAAGCGTGAACAATCAATTAAGACCTGAAATGGTTTATCAAATCTTTCCAATGATTGCTAAGATAGAATCCATCTTCTCGGTTGAAATTGTCTCTGTGCTTGTATATGTGGATAGCCTCATGAACGAATCTCTCATGAAAGCCAGATGGCTTACAAAGAACCTCTGTCTTGGAAAAGTCAATGGCATGTGAGCCTACTGAATTAGAACAATGATCTGCCACGGCCGAGGTGTTGGTCCTACCGTGTTTAAGGTCTGCTTTGTGTTCACGAATGCGGTCCGAGACATGGCGTTTGGTTTCTCCAATGTAACTACTACCACAGAGGCAACTTAGTTTGTAGACACCAGGGTATTGTATGTCCGGAATCACATCTTTTACAGACGGAACCAGATCACGGATTTTATGTTTCAACACATTACATAAAATCCGTGATCTGGTTCCGTCTGTAAAAGATGTGATTCCGGACATACAATACCCTGGTGTCTACAAACTAAGTTGCCTCTGTGGTAGTAGTTACATTGGAGAAACCAAACGCCATGTCTCGGACCGCATTCGTGAATACAAAGCAGACCTTAAACACGGTAGGACCAACACCTCGGCCGTGGCAGATCATTGTTCTAATTCAGTAGGCTCACATGCCATTGACTTTTCCAAGACAGAGGTTCTTTGTAAGCCATCTGGCTTCCATGAGAGATTCGTTCATGAGGCTATCCACATATACAAGCACAGAGACAATTTCAACCGAGAAGATGGATTCTATCTTAGCAAGCATTGGAAAGATTTGATAAACCATTTCAGGTCTTAATTGATTGTTCACGCTTACAGTGGCTTTCAGACAGCATACATTATAAAAAATTTCGTCTCCCCCCTCCTCTTTTCAGAATATAGATGGACTAGTCCTGGGTAAACTGCCAAATCGTTGCGCGTGGCGCTAACGTTTTTTATAAATAAATAAATGCGCCGTTTAAAAATAAATTTATGCGAACCAACACACCTGAAGACGACCGTTTGAGTTATGGTCGAAACGTCGTGAGAATTTTTTTATTGTTTTATATATATATTATTATTTTGTTGTTTCTCTTCAACGTGACTTTACCGAAAAAACTAAGAATATGTTTTAATGTTATTTTACTTTTATTCATGCGGTCACCAGTAACTTAGAAAAACGCAATATTGACCGCCACTTTGCCAACGCATTTCGTCTTTTTAAATTCAGTTATCCAGAGAAGGAACTGGGGCAGCGATGCGGTCCTTCGTTGTGAGCCACCGCAGCTCCAGACCCGGACTGTGCATGTTCCCGACGGCGAGTACGGAGCGACGGCCCCACCTTTTTCAGCGCCTCCGTGTCCATCAGCTCCTGCACGGCCAGCAACGACACTCTGCAGGGTACAGCGGTGGCAGCCAGGACCCAGGGTCAGTGTCACCACGCCACCGTTCAGCTATGCAACATGCAGGCGCAGTGTCGGCCTAGTTATCTTAAATTCTTCACTCACGAAGCTGACGATTGTAATCTTTGCGCTCACTGTTACTCACATCTGAGCAGCTTTGGAGCATCAGAGATACTTTTGTAACCCACCAGATAAAAATCTGGTGCTGCCGCTTTGGCAGAATCATTTTCTAGCTCTGCGGAATTTTTCCAGGGCCACAGTGCAGCAGATAATGCGCTGGGGTCTGCACAAAACATGTTTACATAACGATCCGCTATCAAAGTGACTGTAAATATGTAAAGCACTGGAATTCGGGACAGATATCTAATCATTTCTACTCCCGTTTACCCATGACCAGGGATAAAAATAAAAAAGTAGAAGTTCCAGAATGAAACCTCTTGACTCTGCAGCGTATGTACACACACATACACTCGCTCACATTCACACACACTGCCATTTCCCTGCTGTGGAAACATCACAGTCCGGATATAGGAATCGTTCTGAGAAGTGCCGGTCCACTCGTCTGGTGTTCTGAGAAGTGCCGGCACGGCATACCGTCACATACCGGCTCATCTCCACCGCTGTACTCATGACCGCTTTTTGCGATACGGCTGTGAGCGGTGCTGGTGTGATATCTGCTCATCGTTCCGAGCGACACTTTGAGTCGCGGCACGCACGCACGCACGCAGACACGGTGGATGGCGCCGCACGAGCTCACCCGCTCTCCAACAGCGTCATGCACACGACCTCGCGCACGCCAGGGTTAGAGGACTTCTCCCGAGAGCACCGCTGCAGGTTCCAGCTGCCTAGCCGCACCACGGGCCGGCCGCGGTGCAGGCCGGAGAACGGACGCACGGCCGGACGGAGAGGTGAGGACGACGTGGGGCCGCCGGACGCTGCGCCCCGCGAGCCCGCATCGCACGAGGAGCCCGACTCCGCCACGGGGCATCGGTCGTCAGTGCTTCCCTCCTCGCTCTCCTCGCCAGGGGAGGGCGGCGCCGAGCTGCCCGCGAGCTCCGCAGGCCCGTTCCCCGCCCAGCTCCCCTGTCGCCGCCGCCGCCGCCGCCGCTCGCGTCCTGGGCCGGCGTGCTCGCCCGCGCGTACCGAGGCCGCCGGGAGCATCCCCTCGCTCCAGTTGGGCTGGCAGCTCAGTGACACCGGGCGCTCCGCGCCGGCGAGGCTGCGTAGGCTGCGCGACGTCGGGCTGGGGATCGGCCCGCTCCCGCCCAGGCCGCTGCCGCAGCTGCCGCCCCCTTTGCGCGTAAAGCCGACGCCGGCGCCGGCACAGAAGGAGGGCGGGCGGGAGGAAAGGCCGGCGTAGACCTGCGCGCGGACCCGCTCGATGAGCGACGCGCTGATGCCCCGCACGCGCACCAGGTCGTCGACGGTGCGGAAGGGGCCGTGCTCGGCCCGGTGGTGCGCGACGCGCTCTGCCAGCTTCTCGCTCACACCGCGGACGCTCGCAAGCTGCGCCGGCGTCGCCGAGTTGATGTTGATGCGCGTGGTCGCCAGGAGATCCGGTCGGGAGTCTCGGCTGACCTGGAAGGAGTCGGAGCTTCGTAAGACATTGCAGACGTCGCCCGGTTTTGGAACCGTGCGGCAATGCCACTTGTTAAAACATTCCGCACAAAGATTCCCCGTAAAGCCTGAACATACTGTTGGGGCAAGTGCTATTCGCGAGCACCTATTAAGGGCGGCACCGTGCATGATGGGGTGATCGGACAGCACCACGTGTCCCCTTACATTGAAATCCACATGCACACACACACACACACAAGCACACACACGCACCCACGCACACGAACACGGAGTGCGGTGCGGGCACGCACCAGACGTGCGATGGATAATGCGCCAGGGCTGCCCACGCAGATCTCCATGCGCATGGCCTCCAGCTTGGCAGCGCCCACCCCTGGCACGAGCGCCACATCCTCGACCTTGCGGAAGCCGGCGATCTCCCTGCGGTACTCCACCAGGCTGTGCGCCACCGCCCGGGTCACCTGGGCATGGCACCGGCAGCAGTGGCGGCGGCACACAGAGCACAGCGCTCAACGACTCCACGCTTTGCCGAACAGTCACACAGCACGGATGGGCGTGTGGTTGCGCCGAGTTAATTTGGTTTGTTTCACTAGGCGAGCTCGCAAGAGTGCGGCCGTGACGCGGTCCGGCAGTGGCGCACTCGCCGCTTGTTGCAGAGGTTCAGGGTTGGAATCTGGCAAAGCATCCTGGTTAATACTGCGGTGGCATTAACCATAATTATTATGCGTTGTCTGCTCCGGAGTGGACGTTAAAGATCCCCCGACGTCAAACGGGTAGGCAATTGCATCCCAACTCAAAAATTACCTGCAAATTACTCCATTGGTATTGTACACAGCAGTAATCATCGCCCCATAGTGGCAGACTGAAGCCCTCTTGCAGGCCAGTGCTGAGTGACATGCTGCACAGGAACAGCTGCCACTGGGGGTGGCCTTCGAAAGTTTGAGATGAGATGCAATGTAAGGCGTTTAGAGTTGCTGGGTCATTGAATATAAACAATGAAGGAGGGAACGCGTGGTTTGTGCAGGAGCCGCCTCACCCCTGGGAGGGTCATGAGCTCCTCCTCGGAAGCCAGGTTCACATTGACTCGTTCGCTGAGCGAGGGGGCACCCGGCGGAGCGTCGTGGAAGTTGCAGACGGCGCTGAGCTTGCGCTCGGCTCCTCGGTGGCGCGGCTCCCGGAGGTCCAGCGATGGCAGCGGACGGTGGCAGGCGAGGCCTCCTCCCATCGTCGCTCGTCTGCACCGGCGACAAACCACGCACGCGCTCCTCAACGGCTCTCATGCCACCGGATGCCCGCATCGCGGCACCGCGCTCCGCACCACGTGGGGTCCAGAATTCCCACAAAACGGGACGAGTCAAACGGACCGAGTGGAGTGCCGCCCACGTCTCCCCAGGGGGCGGTGTTCCTCCGAGCGGCGGGCCGCGTCCGCGCCGCTGCCGCTCGACGGGAGGGGCCGCCGCTCCCGGGTTCTGGGAACTCGGTCGGGGGGGGGTAATCTGAGCCTTGGCCATGCGGCTCCGATAAAAATACCACGGCCAACTCCGGCGGCACACGGCCCGTCTGATGCAACCTCCGGCCCTAAGCTCCGTCTGAGAAACCTCTCGAAGTTGAACATAGAAAACCCGGTCGTCCACGCGCATCAGTCAAATGCACGTTCTGGAAATGCACACACATAACAGCGGTCGTGGTGGAGAGTGTGGGTAGGGCCCTGTTACAGGGGAACCGGGGGTCCATGATAGGAGAGACCAGGGCTTTGTGACGGTCTTCAGTGGTATGTAACCGAGGGCCCACTGTCTGAGATACGTCGCGTTCAATGCACACTTCAGCAATCTTGCCCGCCGCTCGATTAGTATTTCTTCTGAACCCCCTCCGCTCCGTGTTTCATCAGCATCACTGCTGTGCTCTGTGGTCACACCGCACCGATACAGCACGGATGAGTACTGAATGGAACCTGTATGGCTAAAACACGTTACTTAAAACATTCAACGCAACGGAAATGACTGCTGTAAAGACGGTAGTTTAATTGAACAAGTATTTAAAGCCTCTGTAGTATAAACTCACCATCGCCGAAATAACATTCCAATTAGCTATGCACAAGCTCAGACGACCCAAGACGCTGTGAAGTTAATAGAAAATATATTTTTGTTCCTTCTAAAAAAAATATTAAAACACCCGACTTGTTTAAAAGTGAAATCTGTTCACGAGCCACAAATATCAGCTGCAGTGTGAATGCTACGTGGGGCTCACGGTGGAGGACATGGAACTCATCACCACCACCACCACCAATCTAATAACCTTACCACTACCACCTCTACCACACGCTCACCATCAGTCTTCTACCCTCACCATCAACTCTACCACACGCTCACCATCAGTCTACTCCCTTCACCATCAACTCTACCACATGGTCACATGACCCACCACCACTATTCCCACCACCATCAGTACCTCAGCAACTGTCAAAACTACCAAGACAAAGATCCCCCATATAGCTTTAACAGACTGTTGAGACAAGTGCTGTTAGCGAGCACCTATAAAGCCCGGCACAGCACACGAAGTAGTGGGCGGCTAGCAGCACGCCGGGTCGCTATCGTCTCCGTAAGTGGCGAAATTTAGACATTGCATCAGGTACTCATTTGAGGCGGAGTTGACCGAGAGTAGACCACCACAACCACCAACTACCAGCAAATCTGTGGGCCAGTTTTGGAATTCAGTGTCTCGTGAGCAGTCAGACTTGCTTGAAGGTTACTGCACTTAATGTGCCCCGGTGTGTTCCGTAACCGTCCGCATTCTGCTCCCCGTGTCGAGGCATCGCCAGCGTGGCCGGCCACGTGTGTTTGCGGCCACGCATGTTTACACGGTGCGAGGCAACGCGACTTTCCATCTCCGAGTGGATTAGCGACCATGTCGGGAATGCGTACCTTGTCACCACTAAAGAGGAGGCTCCTTGACCCCGCGACCCTCCTGGCGCCACGTCCACGTCCCGGCCGCAGGGACACAACGAGACCCAGATCTCAGGGGCAGCAGCTGTCGCACCTGCCTGCTCGTGCTCTCTCCCTCCGTGTTGACACTGCCGCTGAATCCGATCAGCAGTGAAGCTTCTCAGCCACGTCGAGGTGACTGTGGGGATCGCACCCGGGTGGGATTCTTCACATTCTGTGCACGGAATGTCACGTTAATGAGCACCGATCGGTGTTTTTAAAAATTTTTCCACGTGGGAGCAGTCGAGACGGCGTTTTGAGAAATGCAGCAGGCAGCTTTATCCAACTACCCAAGCAGTATTCATTGCTCAATTGGGATGACACATGGCAGCAATCATCACCCCCCCCCCCCCCCCCCCCACTGGTCGTCTAATGCCCACTTGCAGGCCAGCAGTGAGTCCCATTGTTGCCTCATAGGGCAAGCAACCATCAGGGGTCCCCTTGACTAAAACAAAACCAGCGCTTCTGAGACATTTCATTCTGGTATGAAGCGCAATAAGAATGCAATTATTATTAGACTACACGTGTGACTCCACACCTCCCACATGCTCCCTCCTAGTCTTCACTGCTCTCTCACACACATGGCGGCTTCCCCTGACCACCGTGACCATGGCCCCCCAGGACAGGGTCCGGTCGCTCTGTTATCGTGTGAATATACAAACAGCACAGCAGTATAAATGCCCTAATTCCTCAGTTATAATCCACTTTCCAGCTACTCGCTTGTTCACGCTATTGATCGTGGAAGGACCTCGAATAAAGGGAGCTTTAGAGGGTATTTGGTCTACTTATTCACGGTTTTGACCAGTTTTTAAATGTGGTTACTGATTAAGGAACGCTAGTCAGAAGCAAAGGCCCTCGCGCCCAGCCTCTTACACATGGAGACGATATCGGAGGGTGATCCTCTCAGAATTGAATCAAGTCGCTGTTCAAACGGTGCGGGGAGCCCTCCCATTGGCTCAGCAATGAGCCAGATTTAATCTGATTAGTGGAGCCAAGCGGTGAACCAGGAACGATGGCCTGATCGGCGAGCTGTCCTGTCATTGGCCAACAGATGTGAGAGAGAAAGGGTGGGATCTTTAGAATCGGTTGAATGGCCGAGGGAACTCTCTGGGCATCAGGGGCTGAGGCTGAGGGCATTGAAGCTCCCTACGTGCGGTGCGTGGAATAAACATCTTCCTCAAGATTCGGCCAGTGTGCGACGCACTCCTTTACACGCCTACGGCGGCCGCACCGAATCATCTGGATTGGAGCTGGAATGCGAGTGAGGCACGCGCGAGGCGGTGGAACGCGGTGATGGAAAATTACGTGGGCTAGCACCATGGTGAAACGGTGAGAGGGCGCGCTCCGCGGGGAGATGCGTGCAGATTGGGAGCAATGCGACGCACGTGGCCCACTTGCTCCACGGTTCCACTGGGCCGCTTACTGCGCTGCCAGCGGAACCCCCCCCCCCCCCCTTCATCACTCCAGAAGAACCCAAATCTCCTCTCTCCATCACTTGTGTATGCAGCGCTGTGCGTTTACGTGAACTGACAATGGTGGGGCTCAGCAGAAGGTTGAGAGTTCTAATCCCGGTTGGGGTTTCACTCGGTTCGTCGTTGCTTCTGCAGTCAATTGAATGAGTACCACTTTGTAGGCAAGTCAAGTGGTTGTCCTATGGATAGACTTGCACCCGTCATAGGAACGTGAATTTTCTACCACTGGCTTGGGACAGTAATTAGCACCGTACCAATGTTCATTTGAGCAGGAAATCACTTTGTTGCAAACGCTGCGTTCGCCGCATGTTGAACTGTGGTGTTTATTTTTGACTGTACTGTTTATAGCCCAAATGGGGTCAGCACTGATGCACTCTGCAGCCCAAGCTGCACGCACGACCGTAAGCAGTCAGCGCAGCGATGACAACTGCAGCGTTCCGCACGTAAAGTTGTTCGGCGATGTAGGCGCAGTGCGATGTGAACGATGGCACCGGGACTCGTGCCGTGCAGCAGAGCTCTGTGCAACAGAGAGGACCCCGGACCATTTATCTCTGCCGCCGGCGGCTCTGTGCGCACAACCAGACAGGTGCCAGCGACCGCAAACTCCTCATCGGTGCCTTTTGGCCACCATCCATAGGTCAAGGAGTTCACAATGCGTGAAGCAAGTACCAGGGCCTTCTGAGATATCCTATACAGGTTGCATTTTTACAATGAACATTGCAGCCAGTCACACGCAAAATCAATATGCACATAATTGCATTGATCGTGACACCGGTTCACCCGAAGTGCACCCTCGCTGTGAGAGTTGCAGACGTCGTGCGAGTGAGATTTATTTAGAGATCGATAGAGGTTGAGACTGGCGGCACGTTTGAGCGTCCCTGGAAGGTCGTTCCACGTGACACCAACCGCGTGTGTGGTAGCCAAAGGTGGAGGCACGCTGAGGCTCCTCGAACACGAAGGCGAGTTCAATACCTTGTACAATATCTCTGTTCGAAGACGGTCACCACTACCCCGTTATGTCTCGCGCATCGTTACCCGTGACACTCACGGTTTCTCAACGTTGTGTGTTTACGGCCGTGCAATGACCATGTTTATTGCTGTTTACCTGAAAACAATTCACCCGGCCCTTATCTACTGCAGTGTCTCACCGATAGCTGCTGCCGATGGTTCAAGTCTCATGTAAGGGTAGGTTCAGGAAGATGTCTCTACTCACAGCCTTTCAATGAGAACAGCGGGAACTCAATAACAAATATTCAAGGCGATTATCGCTATTGTTCATTTACTTGAGGGGTCTTTACTAAGCGGTGATGCTACAGAAACACATTCAGTTACCCCTCCTCCCACCTTCTATCCAAAAGTGGACTCGCCCTTGCCTGCCGCATCACAGTTCCTGTGCCTGCCGCATCACAGTTCCTGTGTCTGCCGCATCACAGTTCCTGTTCCTGCCGCATCACAGTTCCTGTGCCTGCCGCATCACAGTTCCTGTGCCTGCCGCATCACAGTTCCTGTGCCTGCCGCATCACAGTTCCTGTGTCTACCGCATCACAGTTCCTGTGTCTACCGCATCACAGTTCCTGTGTCTGCCGCATCACAGTTCCTGTACCTGCCGCATCACAGTTTCTGTGTCTACCGCATCACAGTTCCTGTGCCTGCCGCACAGTTTTTGTGCCTGCCGCACAGTTTTTGTGCCCGCCGCATCACAGTTCCTGTGCCTGCCGCATCAGTTTCTGTTCCTGCCGCATCACAGTTCCTGTTCCTGCCGCATCACAGTTCCTGTGTTCCTGCCGCATCACAGTTCCTGTGCCTGCCGCATCACAGTTCCTGTGCCTGCCGCATCACAGTTCCTGTGCCTGCCGCATCACAGTTCCTGTGCCTGCCGCATCACAGTTCCTGTGCCTGCCGCATCACAGTTCCTGTGCCTGCCGCATCACAGTTCCTGTGCCTGCCGCATCACAGTTCCTGTGCCTGCCGCATCACAGTTCCTGTGCCTGCCGCATCACAGTTCCTGTGCCTGCCGCATCACAGTTCCTGTGCCTGCCGCATCACAGTTCCTGTGCCTGCCGCATCACAGTTCCTGTGCCTGACCTTCTTGGGGTTCCCTCTCTGTTCCTTGGGTTTGTCCCAAAGTTTTTCAGTCGCGGTCTCATCGATCTTGAACCCCACTGACGCCCAGAGCTGCCGAGTCTCACGGGGAAGGGAGCCGCACAACCCCTTGGCTGGAGGAAGGGGCGGAACCTGAGGAGAAAAGTGAGTGGCCTAAACAAAGAGGGCGGGGCCGCAATAGACATGGGGTGGGGTCTATAACATATGGGGCGGGGTCTATAACATATAAGGCGGGGTCTAAAGAACCAAACCAAAGAAACCCGCAACTCTTAAAGAATGACCGCGACTCGTAAAAAAAATCCCAAATCCGCATATAGATTGGTGCTTCAACCATGAACTTTCCTCTTCATTTAAGAAAATGTAATCATTGAATCAAATAAGCGCAGCAGGGAGTAACGCCACAGATGAGGCCACATGCCGACAAGTTCAAAGTCAATTCAAGTCACGCCGTGCACACTGAATGGGATTTACCAGCTGGATTCATTGAAAGTAAGCACGGCTTCTGAGAAAACACCATTTCCGAATGCCAGCATTGCTTTCAGCAAGCCTGACTGCTGAAAAGAGACACTGAATGTCGAAACCTCTTCAAAGTGTGCTGGTATTAAATAAAAGCTGTAAATGTTGACGGTCAGATGGCCGCGTGGCCGATGGGAATCACCGAGTCACCACAATCCAGATCCATATAAACAAACGGCGTGGGATAAACGCTTCACCCTGAGCGTAACCCGAGTCACAGTCTCAGGAGGCTTCGGTTTCAAAGAAGGATTTAAGCACAAATGGATGTCGGTGGATGTTAGCTGAACAACCTGAATGTGAAACTCGAATTGAATCCAGACAAGGCTGATGACACCGCGGACGAGTGGGAAGACTTCCACAGCACGGCTTCAGTGTGCAACGTTGAACCGAACGAGCCACTCACGGCCAAAAGAGTCATGGCGACAACAAAGGAAGGCGGTGAACGGAAGCCAAAATGCAGAGATGCGAGCGGATCATCACCAACACGACGGCTTGAATTTCACGTCGGCGACGCGAAACCTCCGGATCGTGTACTAGGGTTCATTCACCTCGAACAGTCACAGGACACACAGCTGAGAGAAATGGGAAATTCTACCGAAAACAAATGATGACCGAGCATAGCACGAGTGCTTGCGTTACCCGCAAGCGAGTCACATGTCGGCAGCCACCCTCGGTGGTGACAACAACAGGAACGACGCTTCTGGTTTGGGCACAACCGCTTTGTTTCGGTTCAAGAGACGAATGTGTGCACGGCTACCACTGTGACTGTGACAGCAAGAATGACGAGATGCTGGCGTGGTGGAAGTGGACTGATCATTCAAGTGCAACAATGTCTGACAGCATCAGTTCACGATCTGGGGTGGCTGGATGAAAATAACACTTCTTACAGTTATTTATCCAGGAAAGCCACCTCGAGTCCGAAGACTCTTTGTCCGGAGGGACCTGCTACTTTGGGATGTTTGACCAACACCAATGACAGAGTATGTGTTCCGTTACAGGAGGAAACCAGAGAATTCGGAGGAAACCCATTCAAGGCAGGGGGAAAATCTACTCACTCCACTCACTCACTCTGTTTAGAGCACGGGGAGACATACACATTTCACAAAAGTCGGCGCCAGAGTCCGGAATCGAACCCTGTGAGGCACAAGTGTTAGCACGGCATTACCCTGCCGTAAACGGTGAACACGAAGTGGTGGTGGTAGTGGGGACAGATGTCAGAAACGGAAGCGATGCTCCGCTATGGGTTAATGGGACCCAAGATAACATGAATCTATGGGTACAAAGTCCCGGCAGCACGAGGTGGCACCGAACGTAGAAATAGCTCCCCCCCCCCACATCGCGGTCATCTCAGGGTCCCACCCAGACCACTTGGTCAAGGCCTCCTGTTTATGATGCCACCGCCACCACACGGGTGTTCCACGTTTAATTTATAAGACTCTATGCTGCGGCATTCACGTTTATGTCTTCAGTTGTTTTGTTATCGTTAAATGTAACTAACGATCACAATGATTATCCCAAACATTGTAACCAATATTTGTGCACTCTCCTGTTTGTAAAGGGTCTAAAAGGTAAAGCTGCAGCTCCACAATAGCTCGCTGCCTCCACTGCCAGCAGCAGAATCTCTACTCGTCCTAGTCTCAGCAGGGTCTCCACTCGTCCTACAGTCTCAGCAGGGTCTCCACTCGTCCTAGTCTCAGCAGGGTCTCCACTCGTCCTAGTCTCAGCAGGGTCTCCACTCGTCATAGTCTCAGCAGGGTCTCCACTCGTCATAGTCTCAGCAGGGTCTCCACTCGTCATAGTCTCAGCAGGGTCTCCACTCGTCCTAGTCTCAGCAGGGTCTCCACTCGTCATAGTCTCAGCAGGGTCTCCACTCGTCCTACAGTCTCAGCAGGGTCTCCACTCGCCCTAGTCTCAGCAGGGTCTCCACTCGTCATAGTCTCAGCAGGGTCTCCACTCGTCATAGTCTCAGCAGGGTCTCCACTCGTCCTACAGTCTCAGCAGGGTCTCCACTCGTCAAAGTCTCAGCAGGGTCTCCACTCGTCATAGTCTCAGCAGGGTCTCCACTCGTCATAGTCTCAGCAGGGTCTCCACTCGTCATAGTCTCAGCAGGGTCTCCACTCGTCATAGTCTCAGCAGGGTCTCCACTCGTCCTAGTCTCAGCAGGGTCTCCACTCGTCAGTCTCAGCAGGGTCTCCACTCGTCCTACAATCTCTCCTCTTCCACTCCGACAGGACGTGTTGGATCAGGTGGGCGTACCCACACTTCACCCCACCATACGCGACCTGCCGATGGACTGACTTGTCGTATTGATATCACTCTTGGATGGAGAGAGGCGAGGGGGTAGGTAACAAACTTGCCCCATCGCTACAACTGCCGCGCCGGGAGGCCGAATTTCACCGGCGGCCTCTCGGTGCCAAGTGCTGACTGTCACGCAGATTAATCTTAGAAATGAACATTTATCCTGACACCAGGATTCCTATTTTATACCGTTTTATAGCGAACACCAATTAAATTGTGCCCATTCCAACACCATCACCAATAAACCCGATCCATCCACCGTTGCGAAGCAAACTCGGAGGCTCATTGGAGTCGACATGCCAGCCCCCTCCCTTCTCCCATACCCCGACTGGCACCAAAGGGCGACTGGCAGCAGGGATGTCCCTCCTCCACCGTCCACGACACCGTGACAGACCCACCATCACCAGCATCATCATCACCACCACCATCATCATCACCATCACCAGCGCGCAGCTCACTCACCGCTCGCGCTCGGCCGCGTCCCGTGACTGGCGCGCCCCCAACAGCAGCACGGGGAGCGGGGCCGGCCCTGCCACGGCCGTGCCACGTGGGGGGGTGCGAGGCGGAGTCGCCGCCTCCTCCCGGCCCAGCACCGCCGTGCACTGTACCCGGCTTGCCCGCACTGGAGGAACCCCCCCACCCCCCCGTGTCACACAAACACAGCCCGCGGTGACGAGCTGCCCCACGGTGCCGTGGGTGTCAGCGCGCTCGACTTGCAGTTCACAAGTAACCGGTTCCATTCCATCTCTCGGCGTGGCAGTTGTAGCGATGGGGCCAAGTTTCTAAAATTCGGTACTCAAATCCCTGCCGCATGTTCACCCAGCAGTATGAACAGGGTCACCGCAGTCGTCAGGGGGAGTGTTCGTACGCCCACCGCTTCCAACACGTCTGGTCAGCATGCAAGTGTAGACCAAACACGCTCAAATGGAGGCCCATCTGCCAGCAGTAGCTGTGAGCAAGCAATTGCAGGGCTGCGCATTCTCCATCGTAACACAAACAGGCTTCTTAGCTGGTGCTGTGTGGCAGTAAAGCTGCAACAATGATTGCTTCATGTTCGGTAATCCTGTCAGGCAAGGATTAATTTAAGGCGGGTCTATCCGGGTTTGTGACCGTGAAAATGTCTGCAACCGGCACACCGCATCCAGTATACCGCTCGCTAATGGCTGTGGCTACAGAACTACTCGTCACATATCGCCTGCATCAGTTTACCAGAGATGCAGAACATTTTCAGTGAGAAGTTAAGCCTTACTTACAGGTCGCCCTCTTCCAAAACGTCGGCCAGTGTGGAAGAGTAGGCCAACATACCCTCCATTCGGGGCTCTCTCTCGTGGAGGCACCTCCGGTAGAGCAGTGGCGTGAGCGAAACTTTGCATGGATGCACGTGAGGTCGAGGGACCCCAAGTCATAATTTAAGGGGCACCACGGTGGCGAGATGCTATCTACCTCGCCTGGTATGCAGGTCAGGGGTTCGGTGACCACCCTCACGCCTGCTGTATATTTGGAGTTTGCGTGTTTCTCTCCCCGTGGTCGCGTGGGTTTTTTCCAAGTCCTCAGGTTTTCCCCTATACATTTAGGAACACGCATTTAGACTATTTTGCTATTAATTTCCATATGATAAGCCACAATATTTAGCTATCATTTGTGGGCCAAGTCGCTTCTGAAAAATAAGCCATTTTGGTCAGTGGGCTTGACCTTATAAGATATAAAAAAAATCTTGACTTAAAGCGTTCGTGACTGCAGGAATTAATATCCTTTGGGTCTTTCGGTAAAGTCACGGAGATAGGTTGTTATTTTCTTTCAACCTATCTACGTGACTTTACCGAAAGACCCAAAGAATAAGATAAAACAGTTGAATTTTATTTGTATATTTTAAGTGGTTTACTTGTCCTATACTTTGCACTCCAATCGTGTTTTGTATTGTTGGTTGTTGTATCTTCTGACCCGCCCCTTCTAGACATGTTAAAATTTTATTTACAGCTCATATATTTATACGATCTAACCCAAAAAAAACCCTACATTGTGGATGCCATTGGTCGCGAAAGCCTGATCTATAGCTCATTGGATTCCTCCAGTATACATACATATTTTGATTCTGTCATGCAGATCTGCGAACCTTGTATTCTGCTCTTGCGGGTTTGCTGTTGAACAAAGATTCAACACAAACGTCTGAGGCCATCCCTGATCTCACAGGGAGCATTTTTTTGCCAGGAAAACGGGATCAGTGCCACACTCGATCCCCCCTGCTGAGCAGTCAACAGCCACTTGGCTATTACGCAGGGCCCATGGATGCAATGGCAGCCCGGAGGCTAAACCAGAGATGAATCTTGACTATGCGAGTATTATTAATGTTATGGGCATTTACCAAAATGTAAAAACAAAAACATCAAAACAATGTGTAAACACAACGTGGAACTGAAAGTTCCTCCACGTCTCAAGCTCATGACCCTGTGCCGTGTTTCCGTGCTTACTCTTCCCGTTTACCAATCGACGTGCAGTGCAGAGGCAGCGCGGCATCGGAGATGATCCGTTTTCATGGGAAAATTTTAATCGTTTAAGTGCCAAGTGTATGGTTGTAGGCGAGAGTTTAGGAACTGTCTTTATGGAACTTGTGGTTTGTTGATGTGGGTTCGATGTCCATGGGTGTGGTGCAGTAAACAGGGAAACCCCTGCAGTGGATCTGAGAAGCAATTCGGTGCTTGTAATTCTCGACCACGTAAGGCGAGGCAGGCTGCGTCACTACTGGGCACCGTCTTACCACACTGGTGGAACGAGCTTTACCTGGTTGAGTAAACCGGTTTTAGTTGACGTCATCGCACGTGAGTGTAACTCCCGCTTGGGTTACCTGTGTATTGTGATCCATTCAGGTGGCTCAGCGGTAGCCCGAGCTAATCGGAAGGTTGCGAGTTCAAATCCTGGTGGGGGTCGAAAACAATGTACCGTTTTAAGAAGTACAGTGGTTGCCCTATGGAAAAATCGCTGCCGCCATAGGAATGAGGGATTTCCAGCACTGGCTCAGGGCAGTAAACAAGAGATGAGCACCAATGCCTCAATGGTAATTTGCGCAGGACATCACGCTGTGGTGTCACCTACGGGACGGGCATTACAAAACTGACTTGTGCCAAGGGAAATGTTTTTTGCATGGAAACAAAAAGCTTGACACGTGGCTATGGGGAACATTTCCAATGCTCCGCTCCATAATTGGGAATCTTCCTATCGAAACGACACAGCATGTTCCGTGGCGACGACCCAGCGCCTGCCCAATTGTGGTACAATGACTGCTTACATGTGCTGTTGTGCGTGTTCTGCTGCCCTCCTGAGGCAATTTCTCTTACTGCTTTCTCGCTCCAGGAGAAGCCGTTCTCTACATTGTGTCCAAGACCCTGGATCTAGCGCCATCAAAACCATTACAAGTTACCAGGGAATTATTTTCCTGGCATGACTTCTCATTCAACCACCACAGTATGTCAGTCACACTACTGACATAAAAAAACAATACAATATTCAGGAATGTTTCGTAAAGTACAGCATATAGAATACCTACCTGCATCGTTGAGTAAATTTCAACACTTGTGGGGACCTGGTGACTCAAGAGTTCAGACCACTCAGTGAGGACCGCCGAGATCCTGGGATCAAATCTACAGAGCCGCTGGGCATCGCTTATTTGTGGCTGTGAAGCCAAAGGCAGTGACCGAAGTGGCACACAGCACCATCTGCCGGCTCCCACGTCGACCGCCAGTGCACTCGCACGGTGGATTGCGTCATCTTGGCGCCGCTCGCGTTGGACCCCATACATCACTTTACACCGCAGTCAAGGTCCCGAATGTGTTGAGTCTCTGCCAAAGCCAGACACCCGTATCGTTGCGCGCACACGCCAGTGGGTACCTGCAGCATGACCAGTGGACTTTTCAGAGGCTGAAAAGCATGTGGCCATTGCGTCATCAAAACCGTCACATCAATGGCCCGAGGAGCTTCCACCAGACCGGCACAAGTACAAACACCAAGCACGTGTCCACGGTATCAATTGACAACTGCACAGTACGCTTCTTCATGTCAACCAGGAACAGACTTGAGTTTGACCACGGTAAGTGCACTGGACTCGGTTGAGTACATTTCTGCACAAATAAGAATCCAAACACTGGACACAGACTGTTGAAGCGGAGTCATGTTAAATAAGCAGTACATTTTTACAAAGCCTAACACAAAACATAACTAGAAGTCTAGAATAGTGTTCAGCTTCTAATCCCAACGAAGGTGACTTCAGAAAAATGCAGTCAGTTTCTTGACCGGGACACGTGAACAACATAGCAAGCAGGACACAAGACGCAGCAGCACCAGCAGATCGTCAAGCTTACTCATAGAGAAAATATTAATTTTACTTGTATACAAATGTAAGCTGAACTCCGACAGTGGTATTCTAAATGTCTGTTGATGAAAAATCGACAATAGGATATACTTCGAACACTTAAGTGCATTCATTTATAATATGCATAGGGTATTGTTCGATGTTCTTTTTACCAACGAGGGCACCGTGCAGCGATGGGCGAGGCATCCACTCCGCCAATGCGGCCGTGCGTGGGGGCAGGCGCGAGCCCATGGCCATCGGCTCTGGCAGCCAGCAGCAGCCCCCCTTTGGTGCAGCTGCACGCACTGAAGCTCTGCACACGACTCGCGACCTTTGCCCGTGTGGCGCAAGAATTCCCGGGGTGTGCACAGGATTAGTCGCTTTGATTTTACGAAAAGCGTGCAGCATCTTTAACATTACTTCACGAAGACGAATGCATACGCGCTAAATATCGCAAGGCATGTTGGACGGCACAGTACATAACGTGGTGAAAATACCACGCCGTGATGGTAATAGAGAATGCACATGGAACATGTTTGTTGCCTACAGTTCATTCCTTAAGGATATTTATTACCGCCGTGTGGCAGCACGAGCCGCGAGTTCTGTTTGGAGACACGTTTTACTCAACTCCCAGGTGTGGCAGGGCCGTCTGAAGGCTGAAACCCATTTGCCTTTGACGACCTGCACGTGACCACGAAGACCAAAGAAGCCAAGCAGCAGTCGGCACTCTCTTCTGAACCTTCTACCCGCCCTGGCGCCCCTGCCCGTCACGTTGTTTTCACCCAGGCACTCCCGGTACAGCAGCAACCCACATTTGGGTGGGTAAAAGGTGGAGAGAGCTTTCACAACTACACTTGCCACCGGTGCGACCAGTCCAATCTCATCCACCCATGAGCATGTGGGCTTCACATGCTCATGCGCAAATGCAGTTACACACTACAATAAAGCAACACCTGTAATGGTGGACACAGTGCTTTTAATGTGGGATTGTTTTGTAGATTTAAACAGCAATCTTTGCAGTTACCGAATACAGGGAAAAGTTTATAAATGCCCAGCTAACCCCAGTGAGTGTACTTCATGTGGTGAGTAAAATTGGCTGTGCTTTGCTTTATTTTACAACCAGACCGGGTTAGCAAGGGCAATGCAGGCAACAGACAACACACTTGTGATACAAGCAATGCAGGCAATGTCAGCGATGTCCAAAGCAACTTGTATTGTGCACAGTTGGAAAACCAACACCTGCGGGTCTCACGCTAGCGACTGTGGATCATAGTTTTTAATGTCCATAAAGTAATGAATGTGTGATGCATATATTGTAATTCATCTCTGAAGGTTAGCACACATGATAATGTGGTGTGTGGATTGGTGCAAGGACAGCTTTAAAACCACCATCGCACTACAAATATACTGACGACGGTCATGATAATAACAACAATGATTAGTATCACCCTATGGCTGGCTACCGGATCCCCAACACCACATGCATCAACAATGTCAAAAATAGAACAAGGCTGCTCACGGAATATTACGGAATCCTCCTCCTCCAGCCAGGCAGCCAGGCAGCCTCGTGCTGTGCCGTGCCGCCCGGTGCAACGCAAAGCATTTGCTACAGACAGTACAGGTGCCAAAGTTTTACAGAGAAGAAACTAAGCAAATATGTTACAGCGAAATGCAAATGCATATAAAACATGGTAAACATGGTTAAAAACTTTACAAAATACTGTAAATTATTGAAATAACAAAAAAATGCGCCCATGCATGACCAAGCATGTCGACTAAAACAATTTAAAATGAGTGGCTTGAATACAAAACATCACCGAAACCTTGGCAGTAAGAGATACATCACATTTGGCTCTTCAAAAGCACTCTAAATTAACTATGCTGAAATGGCTTGTTGGTTGTAAAAAGGCCTATAATACAAAAAATAATAATTGCGGATGGTTTACATAACACGTTCACTCTGCAGTGTAGGGATAGTCGAGTACTGTGAGGGTTCCGCCAGTCACTGCAACATCCTAGGGCGTAGTTCTGGCCCCAGCCCTTTGCTGCCCCCACCTTACTCTTAAGGGTTTGAACCGCACACGTCAGGTCCACCGAGGCTGGGTGCAAGGGACGCATTGTGGGATCTGCTTTCATGATTGAGGTTTTTTTAGAAGATCCTTCCCTTTTTCTTGTTCTTCTCCATGGTCCTGTTATGACGACAGGGACAGAATTGTTGCTTCAGCACAACTGGCCGTGACTACGCTTGGTGTGTATACAAGGGTACAGCGGCTTGTGTTGCGTTCATGCGTTGTGTCCCTGTGTATTTTGTATATTCTGGTGATGGTTTACTCCTGTTTTTGCCTTGGTACATGTGTTCAGGTGTGTTCAGTGTTGGTGTGCAGATCTACACACATCTTTTTTACATTATATCACAGACCTATTTACCCAAGAAGTTTCACTGAGTTTGAAGATTATTTTTCATGAGGGTCCTGCTAAGTTTTAGCAGTCAGGGGCGACGTGTTTCCCAATTAGGTAGTTTGCAGTCATTTTCATATTTGAAAAAAATGGACCCCAATGCCAGCACAATGACATAATGGGATTTTCTACATTCGCTGTGAAGCAAATGGTGCATCGTATGTTATGGTTAATTCACATATTAATCAGGGAGGACCGCTAGACACGAACCACAAACCTCTGCAGCAAGGCCATGTCACCATGTTTATTTGTGTCTCACATACGTGCCTGCGTGCGTGTTAACGCTCGCACTTGTACACGCATAGTGAAGAACACGTGTGCCTGTATATATATACGTTGAACTTCTTTCGCACCGTACGTAGCCAACCGTGCTAATATGCATGCGTACTTGCTGTTATCCAAACGCTGCTGATCCAGTTCTCTCTGCTGGCTCTCCCAAGCCAGCCGTTCCTCTTCAAACTGCTTGCGCCGCTCCTCCAACTCACGCAGCTGGCTCTCCAGGCTGCGTTTCATCTGCTCGCTGCGGCGTTGTAACTGAGAAGGCAGCAGCAGGGCACGAGTACCCCGCGCAACACGCCAGAACGCATTCTTATTACTATAATTATTCTTGGAATCAGAAAAGCATGTACTACTCCAAATAATACGCTCCAGGGCTTACGAATCACTGAACCAATCAAATATTTCGATCTATCCACCCAGGTGGGTTATTGCTAGAGCAACTGGCTTGCAATAGGAATTTTGCAAGTACAAATCCTGGCTGGAGATTGACTAAGACCATCATTAATTCCTCTTGGACCCATCATAATTTCTGGGATCGATAAGATAGGGTACCATTTTGTGAGGAAGTCAACAGTGGTTCTCCGATGGAGAGACTAAGAATATGGAATTTCCACCGCTGGCTCAGGGCTGTAGACATGAGATAAGCACCACCTCAATGCTCATTTGAGCAGGACGTCCCTTTAACTTTTGGATTTACTGGACATCGGATTTCTCTGATTCTGAATCAAATTTAGCCTTTAACATTTCCCCAAGTTAGAAGTGGCCAAGGAGGAAAGGGAGAGTGATTCAATGTATCCAGAAAAAAATATCCATGCACGGCAGGGGCAGGCCAGCTACACAGGAACATGCGGCTTGCAGCACATACCTCTGCCTCTGAGTCTTTCAGCTTTTGTTTTTTCTCTTTCACTTTCATGTCAAACACCTGCTCCATCTCTGTCTCCATCTTCTTCATCTTAGATTTGTGGTCTTTTTTCTCTTCTTCCATCTGTGCCAGGGGACTCCTAGAGCAGAGAGATGAAGAAGGGGTTAACCGAGTTGGAAGAGAGATTACATATATTTATCATTTTATCTAAACGTTGGTGGGGGCACACAGCACCCTTGAAGTCGCATCATACAAAAACACCGACTCCACCATATACACGACGCTAACGTGCAGTCCACGCGTCCACCGATGATATGGCTAAAGGCAGAATATATTCAAGAGGCAAGAGGCTTTGGGACCAAACTGACCAGCGTGGTAATGTACGATCAAATAACCCCCACAATTAGCAAGATGTCGGGAAGTGTTCATCCAGAAGTGCACTGATACGAGGGCTGTGTTTGTGCACATGCTGGGTCCCACTCACTTGGTCAGCTGCCTCTTGCTGTTCTCGGCGACGTTGCCTGTGAGCGCCGCCAGCTTGCAGCTGCGGAAATTCTCATAGTGAACATTGTTCGTCACGTCCTTCAGGTCCTGCATGTGAGTCCTGCCACCGTAGCACACAAAAGAGACCATTAAAGCACAACCTGTTGACACTCGTGAAATACTGTTACTCAATAATTCGTGCAGAGTACACGAACTTCACCTGATGAGCATTCTGCGGAGGGTGGTGAAATCGCAGTGCTCCACGTTGTCCACTGCAGAACCACAGACCAAAATAAAGCCACAACAAAGTACACGAGTGTCATTGTCAGGGAAACACATCGGCATTTAATGTGTTCAAATTGATAAAACACTTGAAATCCTAAAGCACGCATCCTTTATACAAAGCTTAAGGGAGTACTCAACTCCTGTTTACAGCCCTTGGCCAGTGGTGGTAATACCACATTCCAATAGCAGGAGCAAGTCTATCCATAGGACAACCATTGTTGATCTCCCAACACACAGATACATATTTTACCAACCCCAGAGGTATGATGGGCCGAGTGAATCCCCAAACAGGATTTGAACCCTCAGCCTTCCAATTGCAAGCCGCTCACTCTACTGCCGAGCCACCTGGCCGGACATGTGGTCAATAGGATAACCCACATACCGACTGTTGCCGGCCAAAATGCCCAGGCGAGGACAGGCAGAATGCCAGGAACTTCACCGGTTGTTTAATGGTAAACTGCGGCAATTTATAATGCTCTCAATCGCTTGTCAGAGGGTCAGACTGTTCAGTTAAAGAAGACCACGTGTCATCATTTTGCTAAAGCTAAGCCAGCACCACTAACCCACTCGCAGGTATCGCAACATCGACTCAGTAGAGCAGCTCCGAGCCGAGCTTTACCTTCGGCCACTCCCCAGGGGTAGTGGCGCCCCCACACCCTGCGACCGCCCACGTCCACCACCACATTGCTGCCGATGACAGCGAGGGGCAGCCTCTCCTGCACCCCACGCACAGCAGATCGGCACCCCCACATTGTTAGCGTGCCACTGTTATAGTTCGCGTTCACACATTGTTATATTTCAGCGTAAGATATCGATATTCACAATTGTTTAGGGCGGTGGTTCTCAACCAATGGTACACACACCAATTGTGGTCCACAAGACCGCTATTTCAATCAGGCATTAGAAAGGTTATCGATTTGGGGCTTTTTAATTATAATTTTATGGTGCTTTTGAGTAGTTTTAACTTTGAAATGAATGTTATTGGTGTGCAGTGGCTGCAAATTGTTATGAAGTTTGACAATGACAGTGCGCGGGTCCAGGGAGGTTGGTGACCGCCGGCTTCGCATGACACTGCACCTAAAATGTTTCTTACCAAGTGCACTTTGTGCGGAGAGGATTTTAGTTGAATTTAACAAAAAAGCGGTTTTGACGCTCAACACATGCATTCGTAAACTGAATACGAGCAACTCCAAATTATATTTCTTGTGTATGGACAGACATTGAAGTAGATTACCACGAACCAACAGGCTCACCAACATATACAATTCTACAAGCGCATTTGCACCGACATTTAAAAGAAAACTCTCAACACACGTGTCAACCACATAGCACAGATTCTATCAAAAGGGGCCATTGTCTGAAACGTCGCTGATTATATTAATAATGTAAGGCCAGTGTTGTTGATGTGTGTTGAGTGTGTTATTTGTGCTTATGCACTGCTGCCGACGCAGCAGCATCACCACCAAATCACATTTATAAAAGCACTGTTTGTTTTGGGGCCGACTGAGAAGTGCCACGAAAGGCAGTGGATGAAGTGCAAATGTGGAGGAATGCAGCCCCACAGTCCCAGGAGTGTCTGCACTGTGGCTTTCCTCCTTTACTAAACACACAAAATCGGCACAACTGGGTGTATTGGCACATTCATACACCATTGCTCCGTTCCCAGCATCCTTTATACTTAATCTTTAAAAACTACTTGCATTTTGTCAACCAAAAACACTATAACATGGAAAATAACCAAAACTACTTTTCAGGAAAGAAAATTATTGGAAACCCGCAGATAAAAACAAGCAATACCACAACATATAAGTGATCAATACTGTACTTTGAGAGGGCGTAACAGTCTGTGCCCAATGCATGTCGTACATTTATCCATTAAAAAAAACACAGCTCACGAAGAACAGCAAAGGTTTTGAACTGCCCATGACCCCCAGAGGTGAGGGGTGTCTCGTCGTGCCCTCAAGCGCCATATTTATTACAGCAAAGCCACAATGGCGCCATATTTCATCAGCCACCACAACCCACTGCTTTCTCTCCAAACAAGGGGCTCAGATATACCTTGTTTCATGTTATTTTTGCATTTAAAGTCAAGCATGTGATCCCGATCTGTAGCACTTTCTTTGATGCGAGACACACAGGAGGACTTGTTTAAGCGCGGAGTTGGCACGGCACATGGGCTTCATTTCCCCTAGCATGTGGTTCCCGTCTGAGCGAGAGGCCGCGCGCTGCATCCACACGACCCGCGGAGCCTCGTCTGGCCCCAACAGCTGCTCCTCTTCGGTTTGGCCATCATTTCCCCTTCGTCTTCTCTCTTCACAGCCTTATGTCGGTGTGTACGTTCACTTTCACAAATTCCTGTGGGATTTTCAGCTCCTGAAGATGCCCACAGTAGTGCGTGGCAAAAGCTCAAAATAAATGCATTTTGACTTCTTTTATTTCTTGTTTCTTATTTCAAACTTGCTGCAGGCGGGAGCCAGACTGAAGAAAATAATTTGACTCCTCTATTTGCCGCAGTAGTGCGTGGCGAAGGCTTGATGGAAGAAATGCTCCCCACGCAGCCCAACCAGGAAAACCGCACTTGGATCCCAATATTCTGAGAAAATGTGCGCGTTACGTGTACCTATTGCTCATGAACACTACCTTATGTGACGAGCTTTTATTCCATTTACAATTTGATCTCGGCACACTGAATAATAATACATTTGTATATTGCGTTGTGCATGCAAAACTGCATCTCACAATGCTGTGCAAGACAACAGCAATAACATTTTAATAAAATGTCTGTAACATAAATATGCGTTAGAGGTGAAACAGAACTGCGTGAGGAGTTGATGGGATGTGTTGGGTGAGGGCCCTCAGATTCCTACCTTGATTTTATTCAGGAGCTTGTTGTCCTCTTCATCATGCGTGTCCGTGAACTGGTAAATCTTGATGTTGTTATCGTGGATGTCCTTCATTATCTGTTCAACACACGTACGTCACTCTTCTGCATTGTGGCACCAAGGGTACAAGTCTCTTACTCGGGCACACGGTATATTCCAGACGTTTGTCAAGGAACTAAATGAAGATCCGACACAGGAATGAGCGGGCCGCAGCCTGTGCAGAAGGCAAAGGGCTGCGCTTAATCGTGTTGGAACAACACGCGACAGGTGCGGATGTTTCCTTCACAAACGCTTTAAAATGAAAGAGTCACCCCATTGTGAATGTGAAGTGCAATCTGCTCATCACACAAGCGGCCAATGTCTGTTGTACGCTTACATCGGAGGCACAGAGCGCATCGATGACCAGACTAAACACACACAATGCTTTGCCATTTGTTTTTCAAATGCGAAACGAAAGAATACACTGTTTGGGAAGAAGCGTTATCATCTATATAATGTTGTGAGGCGAGGTTACGATGAGACTTTTCCTTTTGAGTTGAGGACACTTCAAGCCAGGTGATGGTGGTTGTTATGTTTTTTATGCATACTACCTGCTATGACATCTGGTTCAGAAGCAGTGGTCATATATGGCAAATATAGAACAAAAACTGAAAAGTACACAAAAAGCAACAAGAGATGCGTGCTTGGAATTACACTGAGAAACAGAAAGAAAAACACCTCGATTAGAGAACACACGCAATTTACAATGTCATCTAAACTATTACTTGAAGTGGGTTTGGCGAGGACACGTCGCTACTTGGGATGACTGTTGATAGTTAAGAATAATCACGGAGTGGCAGCCAAGGAAAGAAAGAAGTCCGAAAGGACGTCCACCAAAGAGATGGAGTGATGCGCTTTGTTTGTGTGCCGGTGCTGGATGGATTGTTGCATTGCAAGATCGTGACGGGTGTTGGGGCTTTTCGAGGCGTTTATCCAGCAGTGGATTGAGCAGCGCTATTGATGACGCAGGTGCATTGAGTGTACAGTATGGTTTCCCACCTGCTTCTTGAAGGCGCAGCACTCTGTGGGCAAGAATGCGTCGGCCTTTGCCACCAGGGGAATAATGTTCACCTTGTTGTGGAGGCGTTTCATAAACTCAATGTCCAGTGCCTTCAGCCTGTCGGGGCACGAGACACACACCATATTACGTGCAGGCTCACTACTACTGTTTATACCCATATGTACGCATTGAGAAGCACACTACACACCAAGACTAGGAGACTGGCCCATCCCACACGTAGCTATGTTATTGCTGTGTTGTTATCTTGGTGACCCAGGGCACTTTTGGAAACGAGACTCTATCCTGGTCCCTGGAGTCTCATGTGCTTAAACAAAATACAGTACACTGAAACTTAGCTCCTGATAACATCCAAATTTGGTAGAGGAATATAATCACCACTTAAACTCATCAGAGCTCTTGTTTCCCATGACATTTGTAACTGCTTGTCAATGTGGATATCACGAAAGCAAACGTTTAAATCGGTGTTCTTCACAAATTTTCAGAGGTGGGCCACTTTCACCAATAAGACATCAGTGCAAGGGCCACTACACATTTGAAACCATTGGGTTTGACAGGACGATGCGGTGTTTTCACATTTGTGTATTGTCGGGGGTAGCACGTTAGAGGCCGTACTAAAGTGGCCCGCAGGCCACTTTAGTGCGGCCTCTGATTTAAATGCGTTTATAAATGTTACTCATTCATGGCATTAACTAAATATCCTCTTCCCTGTCTCTGTTCGTCTCTGGATGCCAGAGAGCGTATTGCTCACTGCTTAACCATCCATCCCAGGAAAAAACCAAACTGAATAATTTTCAACACTTTGGTAAACACTTTTTTGTCAACACTTTCCACATGTGTTAATCGTACTGGAATTTATACCAATTAAAACAAATGCGTTCAAAATTCCAGCAGCCATTTTCTTACACCCAGGGTTTTATTTAATCCGAGGGCGATTCCCTTTTATTTAAACAGCTGCCTTCATTTCCAAAGAGGCCAAATCTTTGAACAGTGCTAGAAGCAATGAAGCCAGCTGAGACACTCTAATGTAGAGCAGCTTCCCAAACATCAACACTATTTCTCAATCCTGATTCACCGCCCTCTGTGTGCCTCTGTATCACTTCACCTCACTCGTTCCCCCAACACCTCTCTCTCTCTCACACACGATCTAAAAGCATCACCAATCACACGCCAAACAAAACGCATACCCACGGAGAGACAATAATTAATTTCAAATTCAGGTTCCTGAGAGTTGAATGGAAATCCAGTACCAACGATGCAATGCATATTTCAACAACTGCAACTCAACCATTAAGTGAAAATGTTAAGGGAAATTCAAATTTTAAACCAGATTTCCATTTAGAGAATGTTTAAAATATTTTATACCAAAAAGTTTCATAAATTAAATGTTTGTGTGCTCATGCACAAAACTGAGTTTAAGCAACATGAAATAAAATATAGTGTGCGTGCAGTCGAGATAAACAGTCTTAGCAGAGGTGCCAAGTAGCGGCTCATTTGTGAGCCAATGTGGAGATCCCATTCTAAAACCAGAGTCGGTCTATGTTTATCACTTTTGTTTACTCTGCATTCATTCCATTAACATGAACAGCAGGACAATCATAACATCGTGACATCCTCGCACTGGAGCTGCATTTAAGTAACTCCACTGACATGTTTGGCCAATTATAAATGCTACACGAAACAAAACCAAAGCATTTATTAATCGTTTTCATCAAATATTGCACGGACCGTTGTATAAATGCATTGCATTTGCTCACACAAATACGTGCAAGGACACAGCCTGAGAAGGCAGTGTGTGCATGTGTGTGTGTGGATGCGTACCCGTGGCCGGAGGGAGCAATGAAGTAGAGGCACGCGTGCACTCGGCTGTCTGGCATCGGGCGCCTGTTTACACGCGACTCCGCGTTCAGGTAGTCCTCAAACTGGCTGTCGATGTGGTCGATCACGGGCTGCACACTAATTGGAGACAGTCACAGCTCAATGCATTAATTAGTCAATTAGTCAAATGATAAATCATTAAGCTGGTTCTATAACCAACCAGTAAAATTATTTATATCCATCACTGTTCACGAACAAAATATATCTTACAAATAGAAAACTGTGTGTAGATTACAGGTGTGGTCTTTCCCCGAGGTCACAACAGGGAACTCTCATAAATTAGACTTTGTTTCATGAATTCTCATCTGGTTAAACCAAAAATTATTTGAATTGTGAACAGCCAAAAAAACCCTTTTTAAATTAACACCATGGCTTTGTCCAATGTACTTTCATCATATAAACAGTTGAATGTGCTTTATTACTCAGCAAAGCCTATGAGTGTTATATATCACACGTCAATGTCAAAGGAAAGTCTGAAGAGATATGCATTCAGTTGGAGACAAGTGCATGGACATATCCTTCACAAAATCATAATTTGAATTCCACTCACAAAGAATAACAGCAAAAATACAGAGACAGCGTAAAGCAGCCATGAAGGTCAAGTGTATGGGGTCTAGCGCTTGGGATTATTATTAGTATTATTGTTTACCCAGAAAAGCCTCACTGCAGGGTCAGGAGGCTCCTGCTCAGTTTCACATTATGGGGCGACAATTGCTGTGTTTCTCAATCAACTAATTTGCTAGTATTTTTTTTAAATGTTGACTGTGACGCCCCCACACAATAGCTTACTATTCTCTGAACGACATCATGGGATCTTAAACGCCCACTGTGAAGTATCATAGGGTACATATTTTATGGTTAATGCACCCAGATTAACACCGTGAACCTCTGCAATGAACTGCCAGGCTGTGTCCCCCACCCAGACAGCGAGAGTGAGTGTGTGCAGGGGGGGGGGGGGGCTACAGTGTGTGTGCTGCGGGAGTTCTCTACCATTCACTGTTGTTGATGAAGTCTCCATATCCAGGTGTGTCCACAATGGTGAGGGTGAGGTGCACACCCTCCTCTCTGATCACCACCTTGGACTGCTCAACCTGTAGACGCGTCACACAGCACTTCCACAACTGCTACTACACGTCCGTATGAACGCATCGCATATCACACATCCACGGTGACTTGTGCCCAAGTGTGTATAGCCAACACTGGGGCAGAAAAACATTATCATGATCCTTCTTATGGGATGCAGGACAAATGCACCACAAGGCTAAAGAATCAAGCATTGCATTTATAAAACACAAACCCCATGACATAAAAAGTCAACATTCTTTCCAGCTCAAATGACCATCAAAGCAAACACTTTGGAGATCAGCATTGCTAGATTCATTAGATTAGTCAAACTCCCAAATCTGCTAAAGCTGCGAACTGGCCAATACATATTAGTACAGCAAATAGGTTCGTCAACCCATATGCGCAGCACTGAGGGATTATCGCTTTATATACCATAACGTGGATGTTCTCTGGGTATTCCAGTATCCTCTCAAATGCATAAACTCCCGTTCAAAATCAGAATCTTTATTTAGACTAGACTGACAGGTGCAGCAGAAACCTCATGAACACAAATAGAGAGACTTTCCACAATTAGCAGCATTGAAGGTTGAAATTAATGTTACACGATTGTTATGCTTTGACTTTGCACTGCTTTGTTTTGGATTTCCCTAAAATTATTTCTTTTCCAAAGTTATTATATCACCTAGCTCAATCGAAAACAACGCATTAACGCTTAACTACCGTAATAGACGTATAATAAGTGCTTATTGTTTCTGACTGCTTGGCATTTCGGGCATCTGGGCCTGTGCTAGGCAACTGTGATATATGTATGGCGATAATATGAAGAAGAAAAAAAAACTCCATGCCATGCCCAGCCTGGGGCCCTCAGGAGGAGATTACTCAGATCGAGGGAGTCTCTTTAAAACAATCTGTAAATACAGTGGGCTGGATAATGCCGTGGCCATGCTAGTTCCTGTAGCGTGTGACGGTGGCTGCTGCCGGAACACACGACCACTCCTGCTCCCTGCCTGCTAACTCTAATGACAATGTGACCATCGATGGCTGTCCCAGCATTCAACATAGATCATGACAGTCGGTGGCCTCAATCCTGCAGCCCAGTTCTCCTCGCAACACACACATCGCTCTGCAATATGGATACGGTGCGACAGCTTTGCCTATTGCATTAAGGGTCTATTAAGGGTCTATTAATACTACAAATCGTGCATTGTAAAAACAGAAACCCTCCAGAACTTATACTGATGAAAATCACATGGATCCACACTCTAACCCCAATCTCGCTGTAACACCACAAGCTTTGCCAAGTGTAAAATCGAGCCTGACATTGGCTTTAGAGCATTACTTTCAAAACTGTCAACATGACTGTGCACCAAGTCCAGCAAACGTGTTGGGTTACAGCACGCAACATCAAACCTAACATGGCATCAGCACTCTCAGTCACATCTGTGGGTAGCCTACTCCATTTGTTTAAATATATTAAGTGCAGTAAATAGGATTTCTTGTTCTTAGCCACAAACTTGGAGATAAAAGGAATGGCAATACATACATAATGGGAATAACTGTGGATTGGTCTAACCCTGCAGATATAAAAAGTAGCAAATAGGGCCACTGATATGCGGAGTTTCACTTTGTAGGAATATCACAGCATGAGCAGGCAGGTTCTAGTCAACGAAGAAAGGCACCAAGCTCCACACACCGGCGATCACATGCATGCATACACATGGGGCAAGGCTGGCAATCTTGCTGCTCCACACATCAACGTATTCTGTAATATGATTCCCAACAAGGTTAATTACACGAGTATTAAATTACCCCACCAGATGTTCCACAGCAGGCGAATGGTCAACTGTGAACAGCTATATGCCTGTGGGGCATTTGGTTTGTGCAATTCCTTGGGGACAGAATAATGGACAGCATCTGACCGTCAGAAATGGAACCAAATGAAAAAGCTTCTCCCAAGCCAGATGAACTGTGGCCTCCCTCAACACAACTCCGCTTTACAATTTTCTGCAGACTTTCTTGACCTGGACACATCTCTAAAGTTGAGCTTTATTAGAAGTAAATAAGGGTGAGGTGGCTGGCAGGCCCCAATACCATGTCAGAGCAATGAGCTGGCACCATTAAGTTAGCGGTTTTCAACCCACACCTTTGGCCTCTCAAGGGGACACGCAGGCTGCGGCATGGATACTGTACAGGAGAAACATCAAATGTGCGGGGGGAATGTCACCACTGTGTTACAGTGGCTAAACACGCTACGACACGACGTGAAACAAATGCCTTAGTAACAGGGCTAGAAATGGGAAGAAATGACTGGGGGAACTCATAAATGATTCCCCCCACCCCCACCAGATCTGAGGAGGATGAGATTCGCTCCATCTGCGGATTTTTGTGCATGTCTGAGGGTCTCCATGTTGGCCTCAGGGTCTATCGGCGAGTAAAAAAAAACCCCAAATCCTTTATTCCTTCCAGAAAACAGTCGGGTTCAAATTTTCACTCCCATAACGGCGTTTTTGGGCTTTCAGGACAATTTTCACCACTCTTTACTAACACCATGTTGGCTCGAGGCATAGACATGTGATTTCTCTGTGGATTGTGGCCTTAGTAACCTTGTCTTTTTCCCTAGTTTTCAGTGTTTTCATAGTTTTCAGTGCTGTTACTGATAATTGTTTTTGATATAGTGCCCTATACGCCCGGGCAACTCTGAGCGCTCTACATCACAAATCAAACACATGAAAGGGAACCCCCAGTGGCAGCTGCCCATATGGACACAAGATTACTCAGCACCTGGCCAATAAATAGGCATTAGTCTCCCAGTAGAGGGCGATGATTGCTATATACAAGCCAAAATGGGTAATATCCGGGTAATTTTCGAATGTTGGACCCCGACGATGAAACATGGTCTACTCTTGTGAATTACGTCAAGGGATATTTTATGTCTACTGTGAAGCTGATTACCTTTATTCCTGCAGTTATTACACCTGCAGTAATAATCAGGGCAGCCGCTGGATTCGAAACCGTGAACCTCTAAAACGAGTGGCAAATGCATGACCGCAGTTCATGGTGGAGAGGTTTGCAGATCACTTGATCTTCTTGATTGGAAAACGGAAGGGACACTCTTTTTGCAGCCACCCTGTTTCTCCAGAGTTTAAAGAAGATTACAACAGCTAAGGTAATCAATAAGGATGCACGCTTCTTGCACATCTATAAACAGGATATATCGATGACTAAGATATAATAATAGATTTTCAAGGATTTCCAAGAAAACTACAAGGACAACAACCACAATGCAGTTATATTATTTGTCTGCAAGTTAGTAAAATCTCGAATTAAGCCCATTAAGTGACAAAAACGGACCTCTCTTTAGACTGATGGAGCAGGGTCTTTAATGTCGACCACAAGCACAGGGGAGAGGGTACTTTGTTACGACTTTGCAGCATTGCCATGTGGAGTCAGGATATGAAATACTAAACCTTGTAAATTGGCTGAGTGGTGACTGCAACAGCCAATGGACCACACAGGGAAATCGATGTGAGCTACCTGGATTAGCAGGAGGCATGGGAACTCTGCTGCCAATATCCAGCGAATGTCCGTGAGCTATGCAGTGGGATTTCTCAGTAAAGTTTCCACCGGTGGGAAAAAAAACTAAAAAAATCCCATGAGAAAAGCCATTATGGCACTGGCTGCCCTAATATGGAGAAAACATGCCAGGAATTATTGGCTTACTCAACCAATATACACATCTCTATCCCGTACAGCTGAATACACCACACAGCTCTAGAAATGTGTACACCACATACATCTCTCTAGATGTGTACACCAGGCAACAGCTCTAGGTATGTGTACACCATGCACAGCTCTGGTTGTGTAGACCACGCACAGCTCTAGAGATGTGTACACCACACACAGCTCTAGATGTGTACACTAATCACAGCTCTATATGTACACCATGCACAGCTCTGGTTGTGTAGACCACGCACAGCTCTAGAGATGTGTACACCACACACAGCTCTAGATGTGTACACTAATCACAGCTCTATATGTACATCATGCACAGCTCTAGATATGTACACCACGCACAGCTCTAGATGTGTACACCATGCACAACTCTCGAGATGAGTACACCACGCACAGCTCTAGAGATGTGTACACTATGCACAGCTCTAGATGTGTACACTAATCACAGTTCTATATGTACATCATGCAAAGCTCTAGATGTGTACACCACGCACAACTCTAGATGTGTACACCACGCACAACTCTCGAGATGAGTACACCACGCACAGCTCTAGAGATGTGTACACTACGCACAGCTCTAGATGTGTACACTAATCACAGGTCTAGAGTTGTGTACATCACGCATAGTCCTAGAGTTGTGTACATCACGCATAGTCCTAGAATTGTGTACATCACGCACAGTTCTATACGTGTACATCACACACACCCTGAGAGCTTACTTTACTACACACACCGCTGTTCTAAACATACGTTCTAAAAAATCATGTTATGCATTATTAGTCATGGCAGTAGCAGCACCGTTAAACATGGCAGAAGAGTGCATATTTCCATGGTCCAGGCAGATACATGGCTAAAACCACCAGAATGGAAAACCCTTACCATTCTGAAACTATTTCCATTTTCACTCACACTTCCGAGAAAGAGCAGGTTGCAGTCTAAGCATCATTTGCTTTGAATGGAAAGGGTTCTGCGAGGACATCGTCAATGGAAGGAGGCTATGGCGATTCTCTGGGGCTCACCTTGACGGTTTTCTGTATTCTCTTGGTTGGTCCTGGAAACTCTTCAGAATACAGATCCGTCTTGAACATGGAGTTGATGAGTGTAGATTTCCCAACTCCTGACTCTCCTGTGGAGAAACGGGAGAAATTAGTCTCCAATAAGCGGTGGGGTGGCTGAGTAGTAGAGCGAGAGGCTCACAATCGGAGGGCTGAGTTCAAATCCTGGTTGGATGTGACTCGGCCCCACTGTCCCTTTGGGATAAAAAAAATGAGTGTCACTTTGTGGGGAAGTCAACGGTGATAGTCCTATAGGTAGACTTGCCCCTGCCATAGAAATGTTGAATTTCCACCACTGGCTTAGAGCTGTAAACAGGAGATGAGCAACGCCTCAAAGCTCATTTCAGCAACAAATCAGTGACGGTTTCCAAACTTGTCAAAAATCTATTCAATTAATTAATGGAAATAAAACGACACCGCTCCTTCCATCAAGGGATGTCTCACAACATCTTCACCATGAACTGCCTGTGATCCAAGGTAATCCATGTGCTGTGCTAGACATTTCTGAGGACACAAACAATGCTGATTTTATGATTTGCCACAATTTGGGTTCAGGTTTCATTTCCTTAATCAGCCCTTTCTGTCATTGCAATGCACATATAATCAATCTACTGTGGCTGCAGGGTTTCCAAGCACCGTACAGAGCAACCAGGAGCACAGATTTTTACGTGTTAAATTTTGGCAGAAGTTGTAAGGATCCATTTTAGTCGATGAATTGTTATGGGCCTACTTGTTCACACACATGCACATGTGCTTTGTGGCTATAGCCAAATCAACGCACGAGAGCAAACACACGGTAGGCGAGCCCCATTTCCCCTGGGCCCAGGGCAGGAGGCATCAATACACGCGCGCATGCACAAGCGCACATACACAAAAGGAGAGCCAGATGGCAGTGTTAAGTTCCATCCCCTTTTTAAAGACATAAAGACATCGACGCAGACCTTCTTTAGACTTGATAATGGGTATAATTTATTAATGGTATCAATGACGGGCTACAAAAATGCTCAATGAGGCACTGGGGCTGTGTTAATGGCCTCATGGAACCAGCGACCCTGAGCCACGGCCACAGCTGAGTCGGGTACAAATCATCACACATTGATTTGCAGTCACAGTAGCACAGACGAGAACTTTGCATTTGCACCTAATAACAGAACACATCTGATTGATTAAAATCATGTTCCCCAGACTTCCTGTGTCCTGGATGAGGCGGACGTGCCGTTTATTGCCATGCATGAACAACAATGCAGTTGTGAATACTGCAGAGACTTGGGTCAGATGACATGCATAGCTCGCCGTACGCCACGTACGATGTGCAAAACAAATGTGAAATATTGTATCACTGTGCACACATCGCCTCCACTGCACCAAGAAGCAATATCCCTTTGTGATCTGCACAGAATGACTGCAGTTGCAGTGTCAAGTTTACTTTGTTTAACCAGGTGAGAACTCAAGAGCCCAGGACAGTCTCGTGTGCAAAAGCAACCTGGGTCGCCAAAACCAAAGCAATAATATAAAACAAGTACAACAATAAAACAAACATAAAACCCAACAAAATAGAACTATGAGCAATAACGTCATACAAAGAAATTTAAAAGTGCAAAAATCTACAGTGTGATATTTGTTGCCATGTTTCATTTTAATATTGTTTGATTTTGAAACACACAGTTGGTGGTAAATAAAATCACGTTCTTGATAATTGTCAATGTTAATATAAAACACGTTAACAAATATGGCATCGAATTTCTTTGTAAGACGGTTGTTTTTTGCTAAGTTCTATTTGAATAAAATAAAAGGAAATTCTTGTAATTAATTGGCTCAAGACAAATGAGTTGACTGAAGGCCTGAAGTAAGGCGTTGTATGTATTGTGCAGAAACTACACAATCTGTAAGTGGGACAAACTTGAAAACAGCCACATGGCTCAGCATCGCTGGGGTTACGGGATGCATTTCTGCCACAACACCGGCGTTGCGCTGTGCATCTGCTGCTAGCCACGTTGCTTTTCTCAAGAGAGTGTGGAATTTGCCTTGCTTCATTCAGCACAATTCAATGAAACCAGGCAGAGTGCAGCCGACATAAATAGCACACATAGTGTGCATCAGCCTCCGATCTTAGCATCGCCATGTGCTCGCTACTTTGCAAATCTGTCCACATCCTTGCTGACAAATTGCACTCTCCCGTGCCCTTGCTCAAGATCAGTGAGCAGGGCCCTTGCTATTCATTATAGCCTGAGTATGCCACATCTCTGGGCATGTCACAGTACACCCGACTCATACAGTCACAACACAGGCTCAGGCCAGACGCTAAACAGGGAAGCGTTGGCATTTTAGTCTCGTCTGCTACTCGGTGGCATTGCATGTAAACGACCGGCACAACAACCGCGCACTACACATTAAACCCACATCGGACACTTAACCCGTGTTGACACTGTGCACATTCGTATGTGAACGCACGTGTGTGTGAATGTGACAATTGTAAGCTTGGAGAAACCTTGATATTGTGGATAGTGAGCAACAGATGTTTGCTCTATTCAGTTAATTGCAAATTAATGTAAAATGAACTGTATAAATTCACCACATGCGTGTTTTAAAATTGAGAGATGGAAGCTTACCTACAACCATGAGTGTGAACTCAAAGCCACGTTTGGCGGCCTTCCTGTAGATCTGGTTGGGAAGGTTGGCGAAGCCCACGTAGCCCTCCATAGGCTTCGTCTGCAGAAACAAAACACGTTCCTTATGTGGGCCTACAATCCAACACGGTGCGAGGGCCGTACGTCCGAGGACGCCTTTCTGCAGCACTTCTCTCAGGGTGTCACATGCAAACCCCTTATAGGTCGGTGTCTTTTATGTCTTAGAAGAGCACCACCTGTACGACATCATTTTTGCGAGGCCACTGCACACGGGGCACAAACATTGCCTCCTCACGCACCAGGTGCACATGAGCAGAGTGGTGATGGTGGTGGTGTTCTGGAGGTGATAAAGCTGCCCCTCCTCCTGCGGCACTCTGTTTGCACACGTATGTGCCTCATGGCTGTAGCAGGCTCCTCGTAGAGGCATGAAAGCAGGGCAGGAGTCTGAGCTGTCACCATGTGCCTTTCATCTCACACCACAAACTCTTCCTCCTCAATACGCTACCACCGAAGCTAAATGGAAGACTGCCGGCAAAAACTCCAACAAGCACCGCACGTAGCATGCTCACCCACGACAATCATCACTCTCCGTGACTGCACTTGGCACATTCACCACACTACATATTCTCACCACAAGAATACAATGCTCACCACAACAGCACCGTGCTCATATGACATCACCACTCAGATTAACTATAGCACCAGATTTTTGCCATGCTACCCGGGGCAGCATGTTCAGAATATTCACCAAAACAGCAAGACGCTAACCAGGAATGGTCCATGTTCGCAATGACATCACCATGACCAACCACGTCACCTAAACAGCACCACCATGGCTATTGGCACTCACTGCAACGTGATTTTGCTCACCCCTACCGTCATCACACCCTCACCACATTCTCTTCTACACTGTGCATGCTCACTACATTGCGACGATAGCATCGCGCTAATCACAACAGCAATGTCATCACTATGACATCACCACGCTCAACACACCACCACAAGTGTATCATTCACACCGCAAAAACACCACACTCCTAACTCCGATCACCACAACAGCAGCGTGCTCACCATGACATCACCACCCTCAACCACGGAGGCAGTGCGAGCACCAGGCCTCGGGGCGGCTCCACAGCTGCGCGCATCTGCAGGCGCGTGGCTGTGTGCGTGAGTGGGTGTCTGGGTGTGTCTGGGTGTGTGTGAATCTGTGTCTGGGGGTGTCTGGGTGTGGGTCTGTGTGTGGCGTTGTAAGGCTTGTCTGTAACTTTGTGTGTGTATCTTTGTCTTTGTGGGTGGGTCTGTGTGGGTGTGGGGGAGCAGGAGTGCAACGGTTAACGCGCTGCGTCCCGGCGACCCGAGTTCGATTCCCGCTCACGGCCATCATCAGTAACGAGTATCTGAACCGGTCCTGGGCCTCCTCTAGGTCGACTTAGCCTCACATGAGTACCTCGTGCGATATGTAAACATCGAGGCTGGAACACCCCACCCCCTCGTGTATCGCACTTGCCCTAAAAGCCTATGTAGACTATACGGGGAATCTTTGTACAGTATTTGGGTGTGTGTGGGTCTATGTGTGGAGTCTATGGTTATGTCTTGGGGGTATAACTATATTGTATATTGATGAGTGTGTACGAGTCTATAGGTCCATATAAGGATCTATAGGTGTATATGAGTCTGTGTATGGGTCTATGTATGGGTCTATTTGTGGGTGTGTATGGGTCTATGTATGAGTCTATGTGTGGGTGTGTATGGGACTACGTGTGGGGTGTATGGGTCTACGTGTGGGGTGTATGGGTCTACATGAGGGGTGTATGGGTTTACGTGTGGGGTGTATGGGTCTACGTGTGGGGTGTATGGGTCTTCGTGAGGGGTGTATGGGTCTATGTGTGGGTGTGTATGGGACTACGTGTGGGGTGTATGGGTCTACGTGTGGGGTGTATGGGTCTACATGAGGGGTGTATGGGTTTACGTGTGGGGTGTATGGGTCTACGTGAGGGGTGTATGGGTCTACGTGAGGGGTGTATGGGTCTACGTGAGGGGTGTATGGGTCTACGTGAGGGGTGTATGGGTCTACGTGAGGGGTGTATGGGTCTACGTGTGGGGTGTATGGGTCTACGTGAGGGGTGTATGGGTCTACGTGAGGGGTGTATGGGTCTACATGTGGGGTGTATGGGTCTACGTGAGGGGTGTATGGGTCTACGTGAGGGGTGTATGGGTCTACGTGAGGGGTGTATGGGTTTATGCTCCCTGCCTTCGCCATGCACTGAGCAGCATAAAGTATGGTCGAATAACCCCCACGATTGAGATAATGGCTATGCTTGTGCACAATGGGTCTCTATGGGTGTGCATGAGTCTATGTATGATGTGCCGATGTCTGTGGTTGCTGATCGTATCTGGATCGTTGTCTATGGCGTGTGTAATTGTGTCAATGTGCGTGTATACGTGTGTGGCGTGTATGTGTGCGACTCTGTGTGTATGCATGTCAATGTGCATAACTGTCGATGTATGCGCTTGTCGATGCGTCTGCATGTCTGTGTTTGCCCATGCGTCTGCATGTCTGTGTCTGTCGACGTGTCGCGATCTGCGCGTCAGTCCGTGGGTCTCAATCTCACTACTACGCATCTCCGCGTGTCTCAGTGAGGCTTCTCCGCCTATCGATGTCTATAGACATCTCTGCAATATATCAGTGTCTCTCTCCATCGCAGCGTGTCTCGTGTCTCCGCGTGTCTCACCGCCGCTGCTTTTGCTGCTGCATCCTCGCCCGAGGACGAGGCGGCGGTGGCCGGGCTCGGGTGGTGGTGATGCTGCTGCGGCGGCGCCGGGGTTCGCAGCGGAGGCACGGGAGCCCGGGCCGCGGCGCCCTCAGGCCGCTCGGGGCCCACGCGAACCGAGAACATCCCCCCTGGCACCCGGGGCGAGGGGGTCCGCGGTCTGGGGGGGGTCCTCGCCGAGGGGGGGGGGGGAGTCCTCCCGCTGATTGCTGCTGCCTCAATTAACGGCGCGAGACGCGCGCGCTCCGCTACAACACGGGCACGCGCGAGGGCGGGGCGCGGGGGCTCGGGGCCACGTGACGTGCCCCGGCCCCACCCCCTCCTCCGTGGCACGTGCAGCAGCCGCGTGACGATGGCACCAATTGGGCGGGAGAATGAAGGGCGATTGATGGTGGGAACGTTTCGGGGACCCGACTGAAGTCACGCACGATGGTGTGAATGATCGATTCGCGAGCCCTCGGAAACAGCCATGTACACTTAAAGATCGTCTCATCTGTGCCAGCTTTGATCACCTCCCCCTTCCCATATGATCACATTTCTCCAACTACAATCTCTCACCGTCAAAATAGTAATGGACCCCGCCCCTCTCTATTGCTTCCCTCCAAACACTATCCACTTTCAGCTTTACCCCCGTCCATGCATTCTCCTCTCATCTCACTCTTCCCCTCCACTCTGCTCCAGAAATCAAGGCTCTGTAGAAGTCCTCAGTCAAGCTTTACTCAGCGGCAGGTTGCTCGTTCTCTGCTACCCCAATAATCTTGAACTCCTTGCCTCATCCCTGTGCTGTCGATTAGCCCTGCCCCCATACAAGGTCAGGGTCAAAATCTTACCTCGGCCTATGCTTTACAGTCTCCACAGATTTGCGCAGTTTCTGTACAGGTTCTTGACATGCTGCATTTAGACCAGTGGTTCTTAACCTTGTTGGAGGTACCGAACCCCACCGGTTTCATATGCGCATTCACCGAACCCCTCTTTAGTGAAAAATAAAATGTGATTTTTTTCAAATTCAAGACATAGATGTTTTTTACTGGTACACAAAATGAGCCGTGCATGAACATTACCTTGTTCAAAGAATAAAACCAACACAATGCATAAACTCACAACAAATTACATACCTGGAAATCAATGTGACTTCTGCTGTTGCCTTTGAGAGATCAGTTCAGATATGCGTGGCTTCACCTTGGCAAGTGCCACTCTCATGTCATTTTCACAGCAAAGTCTGTTCCTTTTCTTCGTTTTTATGTCCAGCATCCTCGAAAAGGATTGCTCACAAAGATATGTTGTAACAAATGGTATAAAAAAAATCCAGGGCTTTCTTAGCAATAACTGGATACTTGTTCATTTGTCGACACCAAAACGTTGAGAGCGTTGTTGTTCTGAAGAGTTGCTGTTGAACCTGGCTCTGCTGAATTTCAATGATTTCGTCGAGGAATTCATCATTGACATCTGCTGTTTCAACAGCAAACGTGAACGGCTGTCTCACCCATGCTGGATATGACTCTCTTGTAGGGAAATATCCGGCGAGAGACTTTGCAAGCTCATCTAAGTGCGTGGCAATTGTTTGCTTCAGTTCCGTGGATACAGAAATACCTCCGATTCCAGACACATCTTCGATCTTACTTGCACAGTCGTCCAGAAGCGGGAAGTTTGCGAAGTTATTGTTCTCTGTTCGTCGTTTCCATAACGGTAGCTTTTTTTGAAAAGCCTTCAGGTGTTCTTCCGCTTCCATGATATTGACTCCACCACCCTGCATCTGCTGATTGAGATGATTGAGAGCTGCGAATATATCAGCCATGTACGCTAAAATGAGAATGAACTCAGGATTTTTGAAGCAATCTGCATGGCAGTGTTGGTGCTCTTGCAAAAACAGGGCTAATTCCACACGCATGGCAAAAACACGATTCAGCACCTGTCCCCGGGATAACCACCGAATATTAGAATGGAGCAGAAGTACCTCAAATTCAGAGCCCATTTCTTTACACAGCTCACTGAAGATGCGGTGCCTCAGAGCACTTTTTCGCACATAGTTCACACATTCCACCACAGTTTTTAATACTTCTGCCATTTTTGGAGGTAAGGTTTTTGTTGCCAACACATGCCTGTGCAGAATACAATGCGTCACAATGATGTGTGGTGCATCGGCCTTTACTAGCGCACCAAAACCAGACTTTCTTCCCAGCATGACTGGAGCTCCGTCCGTACAAACTGCAGAAACCATATCCCATGAAAGATTGTTGTCTCTGAAGAAGTCATCCACAAGCTTCTTCACATCGGCTGCCTTCGTTGTTGTTGTAAGAGGCTTACAAAATAAAAACTCTTCTTTTATCATGTCGTCTTTCACATAGCGTACAAAAACAGCAAGCTGGCTTAGATCAGAAACGTCTGTGGTTTCGTCGAGTTGAAGGCTGAATTTTGCCGGGCTTGAAATCAGATCCGCGACTACTTGAGCCAAGATGTCTTTACTCATGTCTTCTATTCTGTCACTGACGGTGTCATTTGAAAGGGGAATTTGGGATAATTTACCTTCGGCCGCTGTTCCGAGTATCAGATTCGCCATCTTTAATGCAGCTGGTTTCACAAGTGTTTCACCAATGGTGTGTGGCTTGCCCTGCTTTGCGATCAGGTAAGCAACTTCGTACGATACTGTCAGGATCGGTTTGTTAACAGGTACAAATCCAAGAGCAGGCAGAGTGGCCCTTTCATCGAATCTGGCTCTCTTCACCCTGAATTCAGCAAGTGTTGTGTTCTTGTATTCCCCGTCTCCATGCAGCTTCAAGAAGTGTTCCTTTAGTTTTGCCGGTGCAAGACTAGAGTTGCTCAACTTGGCATTGCAAATCATGCAGATAGGACGCTCACTCCCATCACGTTCCGTGATACATGAGAATCCATGTTGTACATATTCGTCCGACCACTTTCTTCTTTTGCCCGACATAGTTAGTATGGATAAAATATTAAAGAAATCACGACGTACGACAACAACAGTCACACGTTGACTACTGAGTACGCACTAAATTCCCCGCAGCGCTGATTGGCCAAGCAGTGTAGCATGATCATCTGCAGCCAGTGATGGCCAAGCGGGCCGTGTGTGTCATCACAAATTTACACAATAATTCAAGTGTGTCCGGACCTCCGTGGCGGGGGCTCTGCCGAACCCCTGAGATCGACTCACCGAACCCCTGGGGTTCGATCGAACCCAGGTTAAGAACCACTGATTTAGACACTACATATGCACATTGTATTTCATCTCCGCAATCACCAACGTTTTCTCATTACTGTGCATCAACACATATTTACACAAATTCACTGTCTCCCCGTCTCATTTCACTCTCGTATTTTACAATCTCGTATCCCATTAATGGTGGCAAGATGTTAACTACCTCGCCTCGTATACAGGTCGTGGGTTCGATCCCGGTCCTGACGCTGTATATTTGGAGTTTGCATGTTCTCCCCGTGGTCGCGTAGATTATTCTCCGGGTATTTGGCTCGTATAAACTTCCACATAAGCTAAATTTTGATTTAAAGCTATCCACATATACAAACACAGAGACAATTTCAACCGAGAAGATGGATTCTGGCTTAGCAATAATTGGAAGGATTTGATAAACCATTCCGGGTCTTAATTGATTGATCACGCTTAAGGTGGCTTTCAGACCGCATCCATTATTTTTCGTCTCCCCCCTCCTCTTTTCCGAACATAGATGGACTCGTCCATCTGAACAAGCTGTCAAATCGCTCTCCGTGGTGCTAACGTTAAAAATAACCGCCACCTTTTTTTTTATTTTCTTGTGGTTTTCACGCCTGATGATTGCTTGTGTTGCAGTCGAAACGTCGTGAGAATTTTATTGTTTTATATTTTTTATTTTGTTTCCCTTCTACGTGACTTTACCGAAAGAACCAAGAATATGAATTCCACAAGCTATTTCGTTGCGCTATTATTTGGAGCCACGTCGCTTCTGAAAAAGAGCTATATAGCGCAGTGGGCCTTACCTGGTAATTAAAAAAAGTTTAGTTAACGCATCACCACTCTCACTCTTGCCTCGATATACGCATCGGCCATCGCTACCTCGCAAAGTCCTCCTTTCGCCCATTACCTCATCTCCCTGTATTTTTTCTCCATCACTTCCCATCGTCTCACCTCCCACTCTCTTGGCGAGTTAGCCATCGACACGTCAGTTGTAAAGGGACAAGACACATCAGCAGCGTTTCATTTGAGAAGTTTCATTAGAAGGCCCCACAGGCACCGTTTGAACATTTATCCCGACATTCCTAAAGGGCCCTTGCATTGCAGTTTACATGCAGCTGTTGCAGTTATTTATCCAAAGCCAATACCTGCAGCAGGGTTCACCGTCAGTGGTGAAGATGAAAGGCTTCTAGAAGACGTTTTAATCAAAGGCGTCTTCTAAACCAAAGCGCTCAGGCCCTGTCACGCTGATGGCAACTCGTGCGATGGGCTGGGAGCTGCATGTGGATGCAGAGACTTTCAGCTTTCAAACTTCACATTTACATTCAAAATTGCATTTCATAAACTAATTCTATCCTAACATATTCAAGTGATGACATCGGGCAGGATGAGAAAGTTTTCAGTGTACAATTTAGTACTTTCTATGCAAGTCCCTGAACCCGTAATGCATGTTCAAGCTATTACACACCTGTTACACAAGGTTGGTCACTCCATGTCAACGGTCTTTCTCAGATTTAAACGCCAATGTAGATTCACACAACAGATCGTTATAAACTTAACAGTTGGGCATTTTTGCATTGCTTGTAAACGGGGTTGTGGGACTACAGGAAGTTTATAGTTTGCACTTGCAAGTGAAAATGTTTCCATCCATGTCAAGGTCTTCACACCACGATGGAACCTCTTTCAAACATTCATGCAGACATTTTAAATCCCTGTCCAATTGCAAAAGCACCACCAAGCACAGGGAATGATCAACTAAACAAATTGTGCACTGGTAAATGGTGACATCCTTTAAACTAAATCTGCCAATGCCATGCTTAGGAAAACGCACAATATTGTGTGCATAAACTTTTAAAGAAAAAATCGACTGCACATTTTCTAATCTGTTTTCAATATAATGTCAATTATGTCAACTAGAAATAACACCTGCAATTACCAAAAATTAACAGCAGCAATACAGACTACGAGCGTGACATTTGATTATTATAAAAATGAACGTTATCAGGCATCTAGGGCGAGCACTGAGTGGAATGGCGAGTGTGAGAGTTCTGCATGAACAACACTGGTGCAATGGATGTGTAGCACAAGGATCTGCTTGTTAGTGAAAAGTTAAAGTACCTCTGGCCTGTGCGTGGTGGAAAGGATAAATGTGCAATACTGGTGCCCCGTTTACACAACCGGGATTTGTGCATTAGCGGTTTAAATCTATACGTCGCTTGCCACATGTGTTACACGCCCTCGCCCAGCTTGAGTCGTGCAAATTCCTGCGCCAGGCTGATGGCCTCGGGGATGCTTGTGGTATTTGTGCCGCTGGCCTGGGCCGACACATCCTTGCCACCTCCGCGGCCTCCCAGCAGCGGCGTGACGTGCTGCACCCACGCGCTCGCCTTCAGACCACTGTGCACTGCCTCCTGCACACACGCATACGCTAGTTTAACAGAGCCACACTGCGTGCATTGTACACTCGCTTAACATCTGTTCATTTCTCTGCCCAAAATCCATCACTCTTCAAAGTAGGAACATAAGGCACATCGTGAGGAAACTACAAAATAAACTGACCTCCGCGACCTGACACAGGCAGGTGACTTTTCCAGCGTCATTATCCACAGCAAACAGCATGGTGGAAGTTTGAGGAGAAAGACTCTTGAACAACTTGAGGGCTTCATTCAGGGCCTAGGCAGACAGAGCAATTTAACAATACTACTGCATTGGCACATAACATAATTAAGCAATGTTATGCTTAGAGGCATTTATCATACAGCTGCTATTTTCTGTGGCAAATAAGTCTTGAATTTATAAAATTCTCCACTTCCAAAGTCTGCCCAAGAGCTCTGATTAGCACTATACCTTAGCAGATGCACCATTATCCATCTCCATGATGACCAGTGGCTTGTTGGGGCTGTTTTCGATAAGCTGCTTGGTTTTCTCCAACACCTGAAATGCAGAGGGCAACCCTATCAGCAGCTACCTAAGCAGAGCACAATATTATTCTGGCCACTGTCTATTTAGCAGAAATTCTGATCCACACTACAGATTCTCTCAGGCACTTGTAGCACAGATTACTTGAGCACAATAAAGACAAGTGCATTTATATGGCAGGGTTCTTCATCGTACAGCCAGCCAAAGCAAATTATTTGTACATTTAAGATCTGCGTCATTCCTATAGCGCAAGGCTTTCATGAAGGGAGCTATGTTTACATTATCTGCAGTAATGTCGCAGTAGCTTTCAAGTTTATTTTATTTAATAAGGTGAGAACACGAGACCAGATAAGTTTCACTTGCAAGAGTCAGCTGGAGCATTAGTATATTATCTAATTTTGACAATGACTCGCAACCAATGGCTTAAAATAACGTGACAGGATCTTTAACGTCCACCGTGAAGCAGACGTAGCATATGTTATGGTTAATACACTCAAAGTATTAACCAAGGCATCCTGCTAGATTCCAACAGGGAACCTCTGCAACAAATGCCGAACGTGCTACCACTGGGCCATGTCACCGCACCCTGACAAAAGTAGTGGAGATGGTGGTGGTGCTGAGAAAAGAGGCCAGGCACCTTCTTCTGGAGGTCGGCCTTGCTGGCGCGGTCCAGGTCATCCATTGTCCTCTTGAGTGCTGTCAGATTCTCGCGCAGCTTGTCCTTGCGCCACTGAGGAATAGTGGCAGGGCCCAGGACCTAGTGTAGAAAGTATTTCAGATGTAGCAGATGAGTAAATGAATTCATGAACAACAACTTAGCCACAGACCATCTTCCCAAGTGAGTCTGCCAATCCAAAACTCACCTCCACTAGGTCAGCAATCTCCTTCTGGAGATCCTTGTTGGGGACGGTTTCGACCTTCACCTTCTCAGCCAACGCTGCCACGGCTTCCTGGATGGCGCCAGCCTTGCGTGTCGCCTGCATGAACATCGTTACTTTACAGCTATTTGAACCGTTAACCCAAGAAAGACTCAATGAGTCTCGTTACTTTTTTCAGAGAGGGTCCTTCTAAGCTTTTGTAGTCGGGGGTGACAATTGCCGAGTTTTTCTATTGAGTATTTTTTCTTCTTTTGACCATGACGCCGGCACACAATCACATAATCTTCAAATGTGATCACAGGATCTTTAACATCGAGCAAATTCTGCAACGTATTTTACAGCTAAAACAAAGTATTATTGACCGCGGTGGCCTACCCGATTTGAGCCTATGCACAAGCTGTGGACGCGCTACCGCTGGGCCATGCGACTGCCGTATTTTTGAGCTGAACGATTTGTTGATTGTAACCTTATATATAATGAATGTACAGCATTGTCAAATGTAATGATGCAATTAGCATGACACAATATAAAATAATATTGTTATTGTAACCTCACTAGAATGCATGCACTTACAAGTTGGTTGCAACTGCTGTTGGATTGCACTCTGAATGGAATCTGCACACACCTTTGTGGCCTCGGTTCCCGTCACCGCAACGATTCGACGGATTCCTTTCGCAATGGCTTCCTCTGTGACAATCACAAACGATCCAGCGTGGCCAGAGTTCTGCAGATGCCTGTCACAGAGTAGCACAGCATCTTTGTTAGTATGCAGCGCTTCCCGGTTTCCCAAGAGTGCCTTCAATGTCACTAGGAAGATGCATGGCAAGACGAAGGATACAAAAAGCGGCAATAATTAGCCGATATGCTTTGTGTCGACCCACGTTCCACCGCAGAACTCGATAGAGTGGAGAGCACCACCAGGGCCAGATGGGTCGGCCAACAGCTCGGGCACAGGCACGCCCACTGAGACGACGCGCACGGGGTCGGGGTATGTCTCGTCGAACACGGCACGCAGCCCCGCAATCGCCTTCGCCTCGGCCAGCGGCACATCCGCTGTGTACACCGGCTGCACACACCGCACACACATACCCATGCTAAGCAGAATGCGGCATTGCACATTCGTGCATGCGTTTCGTTGTAGATTCTCCTGGAGATCCTGTGTCGACTGTGTAGGCGCGGCGGGATCTGACGGAGGGCAGAGAGCGTTGGAAAGGTGTGGTGGCATCAATGGTTACTGCCACGATCACATCTTGATCTTGAGTGTGTCATACCTCCAAACTTAAAAAAAAATTACGTGACTGCACATGAGGCAGAGTTGATGAACGTAATGTGAGAGAATTTGGATTACATTTTTGTGCAACAACTGAACACCAACTGGTTATGGCAATCTGTGGTAACAGGGTTGTGGGAACACCAGTCTTCTGGTAGACATGTCACGACAAGAGCTACCCCATGCGGTGCGCAGACGCAGCGCACCTTGGCCTGCCGGATGATGTCGTTGGCAATCTCTTCAGTCTTTTGGATCTGGTCAGTGGTCATGGCGCCACGCGCGGTGAAATCGAAGCGCAGGCGGTCGGGTGCCACCAGGGAGCCTCGCTGGTCAGCCTCGCCCAGCACGGCCCGCAGCGCAAAGTTCAGCACGTGCGTCGACGTGTGATTGCTCATGATTGGCCGGCGCCGCGCCTGTAATAAGTAGCAAGCAGGATGGGGGTGGTGCATCAACATCAAATAACATAGAGGGCCTGCCCTGAGGCTTTTCAAGAGTCGAAGCCAACAATTGAGTGCCGGAGAGAATAGATCAGTAAATATTGCTTTCGACAGTTGCAAAACAAAATAGGCAATGTAAGCCATCTGTACATAACAAGAAAGCATGCAACGCTGCGCTTCCTCAATCGTATCGACTACTGGACAATTCCCAATTCTACACAGCTTTGTTTGTGTGCTCACCTCATCCACGTAGAGGGTGACTTTGTCCCCAACCTTGATGTTGCCATACAACATTCCTATGTGCAGCACGTAGCCACCACGCACCTGCGTGTTCTTCACTGTGAACTCCGTTTTCTGGTGTACAGAGATCAGGAAAGTGGTTACTTTGCAAACTGTGACTCATAGACCACTCCACACGATATGGCCATACTTGGCCCTGCAAGATTAAAAAAACCTGTAATATTACTGGTCTCCCTTGCATTTCATCTCTTGAAATTGGCAATAACGAAATTAAGACAACAATATGTATTGGTAGTATTATGCACTGTTGTATAAACAGCCAAGCGGTAGCGCGTTTATCGCGCTACCCCCCTGGTTAGCACTGTATTAACCACAAAGACGATGTGCCGCCTATTTCACAATGGAGATTAAGGATCCCGTGATGCCAATCTAAAAAAAATAGGCCATGTGTGCCGACAACACTGTCAATATTACTCACAAATGACTCAACTTATTCAATTGGGAAACATCGCAGGACCCTGCAAAAAATGGTCTTGAGACTCAGTGAGGTTTTCCTGGTTGAATAGATTTAATAATAATAATATTAAAGTGCACAGTATTTGGAGTATTCAAGTTGGAACAATGTAATCTCACATCCTCGCTGTCGTCTTCCTTGACCATGTAGCCCACGTCGTAGACCTGGCCTCCCTGCTCAGCGTAGAAGCAGGTTTGGTTGAGCAGAATGCCGCACTCCTTCCCAGAACTTGCTTCATCCACAAACTGCTTGTTTCTGCGTAGTGCCAGCACCTCTGCCACCACTCTCTCAAAGTCTGCACACACGCATGGTACACGCGCATTACATCGTCATGCATGCATTAATTCAATGCTAAACAAACGTCCACATGGCACGGAACTCACAGATATACAATCATACTTTTTGTTTCTTTCGGTAAAGTCACGTAGATATAAAAATAACAAATAAATCATGATGTTTCGATCGCAACACAAGCAATCGTCTTCAGGTGAAAAAATACAACAGGCAGACTACTGAGGCAGGAAGAAATGTAGCGAGAGAGCTACTGCAGCCAAAGGTTATATACAGTGAGGGAAAAAAGTATTTGATCCCCTGCTGGTTTTGTACGTTTGCCCACTGACAAAGAAATTATCAGTCCATAATTTTAATGGTGGGTTTATTTGAACAGTGAGGGACAGAATAACAACAAAATCCAGAAAAACGTATGTCAAAAATGTTATAAATTGATTTGCATTTTAATGAGGGAAATAAGTATTTGACCCCTCTGCAAAATATGACTTAGAACTTGGTGGCAAAACCCTTGTTGGCAATCAGAGGTCAGACGTTTCTTGTAGTTGGCCACCAGGTTTGCACACATCTCAGGAGGGATTTTGTCCCACTCCTCTTTGCAGATCTTCTCCAAGTCATTAAGGTTTCGAGGCTGACGTTTGGCAACTCGAACCTTCAGCTCCCTCCACGGATTTTCTATGGGATTAAGGTCTGGAGACTGGCTAGGCCACTCCAGGACCTTAATGTGCTTCTTCTTGAGCCACTCCTTTGTTGCCTTGGCCGTGTGTTTTGGGTCATTGTCATGCTGGAATACCCATCCACGACCCATTTTCAATGCCCTGGCTGAGGGAAGGAGGTTCTCACCCAAGATTTGACGGTACATGGCCCCGTCCATTGTCCCTTTGATGCGAAGTTGTCCTGTCCCCTTAGCAGAAAAACACCCCCAAAGCATAATGTTTCCACCTCCATGTTTGATGGTGGGGATGATGTTCTTGGGGTCATAGGCAGCATTCCTCCTCCAAACACGGCGAGTTAAGTTGATGCCAAAGAGCTCCATTTTGGTCTCATCTGTCCACAACACTTTCACCCAGTTGTCCTCTGAATCATTCAGATGTTCATTGGCAAACTTCAGACGGGCATGTATATGTGCTTTCTTGAGCACGGGGACCTCGTGGGCGCTGCAGGATTTCAGTCCTTCACGGCGTAGTGTGTTACCAATTGTTTTCTTGGTGACTATGGTCCCAGCTGCCTTGAGATCATTGACAAGATCCTCCCGTGTAGTTCTGGGCTGATTCCTCACCGTTCTCATGATCATTGCAACTCCACTAAGTGAGATCTTGCATGGAGCCCCAGGCCGAGGGAGATTGACAGTTCTTTTGTGTTTCTTCCATTTGCGAATAATCGCACCAACTGTTGTCACCTTCTCACCAAGCTGCTTGGCAATGGTCTTGTAGCCCATTCCAGCCTTGTGTAGGTCATTAATCTTGTCCCTGACATCCTTGGAGAGCTCTTTGGTCTTGGCCATGGTGGAAGGTTTGGAATCTGATTGATTGATTGCTTCTGTGGACAGGTGTCTTTTATACAGGTAACAAGCTGAGATTAGGAGCACTCCCTTTAAGAGTGTGCTCCTAATCTCAGCTTGTTACCTGTATAAAAAGACACCTGGGAGCCAGAAATCTTTCTGATTGAGAGGGGGTCAAATACTTATTTCCCTCATTAAAATGCAAATCAATTTATCATTTTTGACATGCGTTTTTCTGGATTTTCTTGTTGTTATTCTGTCTCTCAATGTTCAAATAAACCTACCATTAAAATGATAGACTGATCATTTCTTTGTCAGTGGGCAAATGTACAAAATCAGCAGGGATCAAATACTTTTTTCCCTCACTGTACGTTTGAGGTGGGTACAACCCAAAGGTAAGTGGGCGGGGCTAGAGATATGACTTCAACCGAGAAGATGAATGCAAATTTAGCAATCTTTGGAAGGACGTTGATCAACCAGGTAAAGTGTCAACTGTTGTGTTGGCCGACTCTCTGAGTTGCATTATATTTCTAAGTTTGATCTTTTTTTTCTCTCTCTCACCCGGTTCCCCCTTTGAATTTCACCCCCACCCTCTCGCCCGTTACGGCAGCCCCTCCCCTCCTCGGATTAGCCGAGGTATGCCTAGCTCTGCGATCTTACATTTACTTGCAAATTCCATCTATAACCCCGCCCACTTACCCTTGGGTTGTACCCACATCAAACCTATATAACCTTTGGCTGCAGCAGCTCTCTCGCTACAGTTCTTCCTGCCTCAGCAGTCCGCCTCCTGTATTTTTTCACCTGAAGATAATTGCTTGTGTTGTGATCGAAACGTCGTGATCTATTAGTTATTTTTCTATCTACGTGACTTTGCTGAAAGAACCAAAGAGTATGAATTCCTGCAGTCACGAAAGCTTCAAATCAAGATAGATATACAGTCATTTAATCCCACACCACGCCTCTATTCCATCTCGATTACGTGGGTATGAACGGAAGGACGTGCTTGGAACGTGAGTGCTGTGGTCAACATCTCCTTGATTGACAATCCTCAGCAGACCTCACAAAATAAATGGGACCGAGAGAATAGGAGCCATGACATCAATTTTACATAACATCAGCCCCCTCATGATATTAAAAAAATCGCATTAAGATGCAGATACATTATACACATATTTAAAATTCATGTCTTCTTGTAAATTTGGCCACGTTGCTCAGTGGTAGGCCGACCGATCGTAAGTTCGAATCCTGATTGAGGGTTGACTAAGCCCATCATACCTCTAGGTTCGATACAATAAGTATCACTTTGCAAGAAATAACTTGTCTCTGCCATAGGAATGAGGAAATTCCACCACTAGCTCAGGGCTGTAAATAGGAGGTGAGCACCGTCTCAACGCTCATGGGAGCAGGAAATAATTTTCTGTGCAGGTGCAAGGAGAAGCGTAGATGAGTGACTGCAGAGCCCTTCGTCTCACCATAGTTCCCATTGGCATCGGCACTGTAGTTGTATTTTGGTGCATCATTGGTCGGCAGCAGACCCCGCTCACGCAGCTCATCAATGGCGTGAATGTCCAGCATGATCAGGTCCTCGTCTCCAAAGCCTCGCGCCTGAGATTTCAGCTGCGAACGCCAGCCCAGACACAGTTATCAATGCAAAGGTGTGGCCAAAAAAGAGTTGAGCACCAGAAAAAGTAAAGGTGTGCTTGCTCTTGGGGGCGTACCAGTTCTGAAATTATGCAGCTTGGTGGTTCGGCCTACCTGGGCAGCCTTCTTCTCCTGCTCAAAACTCTCCATGTCGATGGTGAGCCCCTTTTCCTCCGCAATGAGCCCAGTTAGGTCCACGGGGAATCCGTACGTGTCGTACAGCAGCCATGCCGTGTCCCCTGTTCCACACGCACACAAAACGACAAAGCTAAGGCTCAAAACATGCTGACGTCCGATCTCAATTCCTCTTTCGGGGCATCTGTGATATACAATAATTGTTTATCAAAGAAATCCAAAGTCCAACATTTTATTTTCCATTATGGCACTGCAGTGGGTTGCATGGCCAACACCAGTGACAATGTCTGTTTTTAGCTATAGGAGGAAACCGAAGAACCTGGGAGGAATGAATGCTGGATACGGGGTGAAGATACCTATTCCATAGAGAATAGCACCCGGAGTGGGAATCAATCCCCGTGGGCACGGAGGACTGCCAGTGTGATTCTTATGGGTTGCAGAACCTTTTGTTTATTTCAGCCTGGACCCAGAAATGAATCGAGTCAGTTAAACCATGTCTGATACCAAGGCCCTCAAAAGGCATGTGTACGCTGCCTGTGATGTGCACGCGGACCAAACCATGTGGGTGAACCAAACCAACTAAGGGTACAGAATATATGCATAAAGTCCACCAAGTAGCAATTGGCGTAGGTCCTGAAACTGCAGTGAAAAACGCAGGGTATTTGTGCGCGTCTCAGTGGAATCGCAACGATAAGCACGCAGCAGTGGTCACCAGGGATTGTCACCACTCCTGCTATACCCGCCAATCAGCTGCCAAGATGACAACGCCCATGCAACATGGCAATCGTGAAGTCCCCATGCAACATGGCTGCTGTGATGTCATCACTCCATCTGTGGCTGAGGTAAGTTGCACATCTATGTTATTAATGTTGTTTAGAGTAATGTTTAGAGTGATTTTGTACACTCACAGGTGCAAGTGTGCATGTAATTGTTCGGGTGTGTTACTTTATGTGCACGTCTGTTAGTTTTTTGTGTTTGCGATTCTACTATGTATCTATCATGTGCAGTATCATCCTTAGTAGGTACTTGACAACATGCTGTTAAAACACTATATGGGAATATTTGTCTATTTATTACAATGTGCATGTGTGTCTAGAGAGCAGTTGTATGTGATTGTGCACACGTGCGTTTGTGTCTGCGTGTTTGCGAGCGTGTGAGTGTCTGTGTGAGAGTGTGTGTGTGGATGTGAATAATGGCAGACTTGAGGGTGGTCCTGACTGCCCTTCAGGTCTCACGGAATTTACGTTATTTATTTTGCGTAAATCCCGTGTCGAATCGGAGTTAGGACAGGTCTTAGCTTACACAACTTCTAGAATTCCATAAGTCACCGGGTACTCCTGCCCTCTACACTGACCATCATCTGAATGAGGCTGTGCAGTTTTGTAAAGTCGCTGATTTTTGTGGTTTAATTTATATTATTTGTGTGTTTCCTGGAATTACTAGATTTTATATAGTACTTGCAGTTATGATTGGAAAGTAGAACTGTGAAATAGCTTTACTGTATTCATGAGGGATTGGCACCCCGAGATTGCCAGGCCTTCTATGGGAATGATGCGCGATTACAATTCGTAGTAAGGGTTGGCAACACGGCTAACAGAAGTGACGAGATGTCCACAACAATGAGGGCAAAGATGACAGTCGGTGGAGATGGCATACACAAAGGAGCCCGCTCAGTCCCACACTCACCAGGCAGGACGTTGTCATTGATGTTTTGGATCTTCCTCTCCAGGATGCGCCGCCCACGACTTAGCGTCTTGAGAAATTGTTCCTCCTCCTCATTGATGACATCTCTCACAGCCTGCGGGTCCTTCTTGAGCTCTGGGAATGCGTCGCCCTGCAGCCACCAAGTAATGAAGACACGACAGCATAGGTCTGACATCGATGCATCAATATAATGACAATCCAGAAAAACAATGATGGTCAAAGTGATTTGCGGTTCAAATGAGCATCGAGGCGCTGCTCATCTCCTTAGCACCGGTGTACAGCCCCAAGGTAGTTGGGGGATATATCACATTCCTATAGTGGGGGCAAGTCTACAGAACCACTGCTTATTTATCGACCCCAGGAGCGAAGAGGGGCTAAATCTTGGCTGGGAGTGTTCCAGCCAAGATTTAAACTCACAACTTACCAATTACAAGCTGCTCACTCGACCATTGAACTGCCCAGCCAGATATTAACTCAACACAGTGACAATTATTTTCAGAGGCACATTTATGCACCACTGAGTGTAACTAATTTTAAGCGAATCTGTGTTACTCAACAATCAGCTAGAGTGAGCGCGGAACACTGGGACGTTCCTCACCAGCGTCTCCACCACCACGTCCACCAGGGTTGAGAAGAAGCCCTTCTTCGCGTTCATCTTCTCGTGCGCGTAACGCACCGCGCGTCGCAGGATACGCCGCAACACGTACCTGTGCCACGCACACGGGAGACGGGAGACCGGCCCTGTGATCCTCCGTCGGCCCCAAAAGCCAGAGGGCCGAGGGAGCCACAACTGGTGAAGGGGGCGAGTGCCCGGTGCGAGAGGAGCCTGACCCGCGGCCCACGTTGTCGGGTCGACCCCCGTCGGACAGGGCAATGGTGAGCGTGCGCGCGTGGTCCGCCAGCACGCGGTATGCCATGTCAATGCCGTCGGCGTCCTCCTTGCCGACGTGTCCGGTGTAGGCCCGGGCTCCCGTGCCCTGCCACCCGCGGAGACATAACGCGGACACGCACAAGCGAACACTTTAATACGAACCACGTGCACAGCCCCACCTCGCCGCTCTAAGGTGTTCACGTTTAGACGTAAAGATACATGCTGGTAGAGTAATCAGGTTGTGAAGGTTATTTACCCAAGTGAGAACAAGTGACCGAGAGTCTGATTTGCAAAAGTATCCCGAGTCAACAAAATTACACAAAAGCAATTAAATAAATTAAATGAAGCAAATATAAATCAGAGCAAAATAAGAAAATAGTATTCAGAGCAAAAACTGAGTTCAAGGAGAAATCTATAATACATAATAAATCAAGAGTAAATACTATTTTTATACATATGCTTTCACAACCGAAATTATTCATAATTATCTTCATTAACAACACCGGAATATAATTAAGGACAGTATATTTTCCCGGCTACTGTACCAATTCACTATATTAGACTCATCTAACCTGCCAATCACAACCAATGAACCAGCCATAAACTCTCATTATTAAATTGGTTCACCTCCACCGACTGTCCTGATGACAGTCAAGGCACCTACTAAAGACGGAGCCAGGAAACTCTTTCACGCGAGAATTGAGCTCTTAGTTACACATGTTGACACTGGATGTATACTCCAACGAAAGGGCATAACAAAATTGTCCAAAGCCAATTGCATTAAGTCGAGTACAAAATTGTCAAAATGTTGTTTGCATATCAATGTTCCTCCTCCGGTTTTGCTGAAAAACACCAAATCAATTGGCACATTTGCCCACGTGATAATGTGACATGATTGGCTCTATTGGGTTGAGGGATATAGTTAACGTTTTACATTATATCTACATGACGATGTAATCCGAAAGTAACAAATTATGAATTATTATTCTTAGCTCTTTTGGTAAAGTCACGTTGAAGGGAAACAATAAAATAATAAAATATATATATAAAATAAAAATTATCACGACGTTTCGACCATAACACAAAGGGTCATCATCAGGTGTGAAATCCAACGGCAAGAAGCATTTGAAAGAAGTGGCGGTTTGCATTTATTTATTTTTAAACGGTGTCTGTATTTATTTATTTTAAAAAAACGTTAACACCACGGGCAGCGATTTGGCAGTTTGTTTAGAAGGACGAGTCCATCTATGTTCTGAAAAGAGGAGGGGGGAGACGAAAATAATGTATGCTGTCTGAAAGCCACCGTAAGCGTGAACAATCAATTAAGACCTGAAATGGTTTATCAAATCCTTCCAATGATTGCTAAGCCAGAATCCATCTTCCTGGTTGAAATTGTCTCTGTGCTTGTATATGTGGATAGCCTCATGAACGAATCTCTCATAGTAGCCAGATGGCTTACAAAGAACCTCTGTCTTGGAGAAGTCAATGTCATGTGAGCCTACTGAATTATAACAATGATCTGCCACGGCCGAGGTGTTGGTCCTACCGTGTTTAAGGTCTGCTTTGTGTTCACGAATGCGGTCTGAGACATGGCGTTTGGTTTCTCCAATGTAACTACTACCACAGAGGCAACTTAGTTTGTAGACACCAGGGTACTGTATGTCCGGAATCACATCTTTTACAGACGGAACCAGATCACGGATTTTATGTAATCTACTCATTGTTTTTTTCGGTAAAGTCATGTATGTAGAAATACAATAAAATTATATTAACACAAAAAACAATCACGACGTTTCGATCACAACGCAAGCGATCTTCATCAGGTGTCAGGAACAAATCACGGAGGTAAATACAACAAAAAGATGAGAGACGAGAATTCAACAAAAAAACCAATGAGTAATTTTATGCAGTCACGAAAGCTTTAATACTTTATGTAATGTGTTGAATCGGACCTGGATCTTGTGTTTATTCAAGATTTTGGAGATCTTTTTGTGATCCCCGCAATGTAGGGTAAAGTGATGGTTTTGAAAGGCTCCTCAAGAGGGTCCTTCTTCAAGGTTTGAGTGATAGCTTTGCGGATTGCATAGTCGGAGTAACCATTAGCCTTAAGAGCTTGGTGTACGTGCTTGAGTTCACTGCCTATGTGTTCCTGGTCGGATATGCATTGGGCTCTATGGTACAGTCTTGATGAGAGAATTCTTCTGTGATGGATGGTGGTGGGAATCCGGTTTCAGATAAGTATCCGCATGGGTAGCTTTCCTGTAGACAGAGTGGCTCATTGAACCATCAGGTCTCTTTTTTATTAGGACATTCAAAAAAGGTAGCTTGCCATCTTTTTAGACTTCCATGGCAAATCTGATGGCTGGGTGTATGGAATTGATGTGGTCGAAGAATTGGTCTAGAGCAGGCCGGCCATGTGGCCGGCCTGCTGGTTCAGTCTGTAAAAGATGTGATTCCGGACATACAGTACCCTGGTGTCTACAAACTAAGTTGCTTCTGTGGTAGTAGTTACATTGGAGAAACCAAACGCCATGTCTCGGACCGCATTCGTGAACACAAAGCAGACCTTAAACACAGTAGGACCAACACCTCGGCCGTGGCAGAACATTGTTATAATTCAGTAGGCTCACATGACATTGACTTCTCCAAGACAGAGGTTCTTTGTAAGCCATCTGGCTACCATGAGAGATTCGTTCATGAGGCTACCCACATATACAAGCACAGAGACAATTTCAACTGAGAAGATGTATTCTGGCTTAGCAATCATTGTAAGGATTTGATCAACCATTTCAGGTCTTAATTGATTGTTCACGCTTACGGTGGCTTTCAGACAGCATACATTATTTTCGTCTCCCCCCTCCTCTTTTCAGAACATAGATGGACTCTTTTTGATTTAAAGCTTTCATGACTGCAGTAATTCATATTATTAGCTCTTTTGGTAAAGTCACGTTGGTCGAAACGTCGTAAGAATTTTTATTGTTTTATATATATTTTATTATTTTATTGTTTCCCTTCAACGTGACTTTACCGAAAGAGCTAATAATATAGATGGACTCGTCCTTCTAAACAAACTGCCAAATCGCTGCCCATGGTGCTAACGTTTTTTTTTAAGTAAATACAAACACCGTTTAAAAATGAATAAATGCAAACCGCCACTTCTTTCAAATGTTTCTTGCCGTTGGTTTTTACACCTGATGATGACCGTTTGTGTTATGGTCGAAACGTCGTGAGAATTTTTATTTTATATATATATTTTATTATTTTATTGTTTCCCTTCAACGTGACTTTACCGAAAGAGCTAAGAATATGAATTACTGCAGTCACGAAAGCTTTAAATCAAAATTATGAATTGCGATAATACCAGTTGGCTTTGGACAAAATACTTTTCAAGTACAAATTACTTTTGGTTTAACACGTAGGCTTTCGCGACCAATATTATTCATAATAAAGGTTTTTGGGTTAGATCGCGTTATTTATAAATGTGTCGTAACCCTCCACCACCCGACACGGCCAATCAGCAAAAAAGTGTCACGTTGACAAAAGACAAATAATTCACTACTTTAGCCCACCGGTGTGTTGAAGAGTGAATCCACAACATTTACAGTTTGAGTACGACGTTTCGCTGGTAAATACATCCAGCATCATCGGGCAATTCGCCAGAATGGTAAAGCCCTCGCTTGCTCCCGGTTTTAAATAGAGCAGCAGGGTGACGTCATCATTTAACTCATATCAGGTGCAGTGATTTGAGGCGGAGGGGGGGGGGTATTGTAATTATATAATCGATTAGTAATCAGTCAATGGTTATGATTAGTAGTCAATGGTTATGATTAGTAGTAAATGGTTATGATTAGTAGTACTAATCATAACCATTGACTGATTACTAATCGATTATATAATTACAATACCCCCCCCCTCCACCTCAAATCACTGCACCTGATACGAGTTAAATGATGATGTCACCCTGCTGCTCTATTTAAAACCAGGAGCAAGCGAGGGCTTTACCATCCTGGCGAATTGCCCGATGATGCTGGATGTATTTATCAGCGAAACGTCGTACTCAAACTGTAAATGTTGTTGATTCACTCTTCAACACACCGGTGGGCTAAAGTAGTGAATTATTTGTCTTTTGTCAACGTGACACTTTTTTGCTGATTGGCCGTGTCGGGTGATGGAGGGTTACGACACATTTATAAATAACGCGATCTAACCCAAAAACCTTTATTATGAACAAATTACTTTTGTTCACGGGTTTGGGGAACGGACGGCATGCAGTGTGTGATTATACCTGCTGTATGGCACGGAAGAAGGGCTGAAAGAGGTCGGTGTCATAGTTGGACATCTTGCCCTGCATGATAGACACCAGCCGCTCCAGACCCATGCCCGTGTCAATGCTCTTCTTTGCCAGGGGGTGCAGACTCCCATCCGTCTCCCTGCACCAGCACGCGGTCCCCATGAGGACGTGTTCACCCCTGACCTGCCTACTTGGTGGAAACACCTGTCCTGCAATGGACAGGTGTTTCCACCAAGTAACAATTCAACCCTTCGGCAATAAAATAACTTGTCATGATTCAGGGTTACAATTCAATTCGAGAAACAATTATTTTTTGTCTTGTGTTTACCGTTAATTTTGCAATGTTTTAATTTATTCCATCTCGTTTGTAGTTTCTTCACAATTCTTTAGCCCACATGCAACATTTGCATATCATTTGCAGAAATGTTTATATATTTGCTCACAATATTCGATGCATGGATAGCGATCTTAAGAATAGATTTTAATCAATGCACGCATCTTTATTCATAATAAAGGTTTTTGGGTTAGATCGTGTTATTTATAAATGTGTCGTAACCCTCCACCACCCGACACGGCCAATCAGCAAAAAAAGTGTCACGTTGACAAAAGACAATTAGTTCACTACTTTAGCCCACCGGTGTGTTGAAGAGTGAATCCACAACATTTACAGTTTGAATACGACGTTTCGCTGGTAATTACATCCAGCATCATCGGGCAATTCGCCAGAATGGTAAAGCCCTCACTTGCTCCCTGTCTTAAATAGAGCAGCAGGGTGACGTCATCATTTAACTCACTTCAGGTGCAATAATTATATAATCGATTGGTAATCAGTCAATAGTTATGATTTGTAATGAGTTGTAGATTAGTAATTAGTTGTAATGTGTGCTATTGTGATTATATGCTACATTAGTAATCCGTTAATTAGTATGTTTCCTCTATAAGGAATTGTAATATGTATTATTTAATAATACGCTTCCAAGCCGCACTAAGCCTATAGCTATCAGAACGATTAAAGTTATTTCTGTTTCTCTCAATTTCAATGGATTCTCTAATTGGTCTTTGCCAGTAATAATTAGTTTTACACAACACTTCAACGTTATAAAAATCAATTGAGTGTCCTTGTTGACAAGCATGTTCTGCCATTGCCGACAATTGTGTTTGAGATAATTTAATATTTCTTTGGTGTTCTTTTAGTCTTATGCTGATGTTACGTCCCATCTGTCCAATATAGCATCTGCCACATAAACCATTAATCCGATATACACCTTCTGTTGATAATTTAGGCAATTCGTCTTTAGTGCAAGATGCTAGTTTTTGAATTGTGTACTGTACCAAATCTTAATGTAAAGTTTTGCTTTTGCAAAACACGGGCTAATTTGTCAGTTACTCCTGAGATATATGGATTTTTTTTAAAAGAATCTGATCGCTTTCAGCAGTGTTGCTTTGCAATCGTGATTTGGCATTCAGTGCTCTGTTAATTTGAGTATTATTGTCGCCATTCTGTTGTAATGCTTCTTTAACGTGTTTGATCTCTCTCACTAGACTTTCACCATCTGACACTGTTTTAGCCCGCTGTATGAGCATCTTGATAAGAGAGGATTTCTGAGCTGGATGATGATGCGAATCTGCATTCAGATAGGCATCAGTGTGCATTTGCTTTCTGTAATCGATGTGTGTTATTTTACCGTTTAGGCCATGTCCAAGCAAAATATCTAGGAACGGGAGTGTGTTATTCACCTCCATTTCCATGGTGAACTGGATGGCCGGGTTTTGTGTATTGAAATTATTTAGAAAATCATTAAGTGTACCTTTACCATGTGGAGCCAGACAACCAAAGTGTCATCCACATATCTAAACCAAAAAGATGGTTTTAATGTGCTCGAGGCAAGTGCTCTTATTTCAAAGTTTTCCATGTACAGATTTGCTATAGCAGGAGATAAAGTAGAGCCCATTGCTGCTCCTTCCTTTTGTTTAAAGAAATCCCCTCTCCATAAGAAGTGTCATTTAAACAATGGTCAGCAAGTTTCGGAATATCTTTTGGTAAACCTGTATTCTTTACTAGTGTATCAAGTAATTATTTTGTTTAAAGAAATCCCCTCTCCATAAGAAGTAAGTGTTATTTAAACAATGGTCAGCAAGTTTTGGAATATCTTTTGGTAAACCTGTATTCTTTACTAATGTATCAAGTAATTTAAGCGATTAGTTCACTGGAACCTTAGTGAACAGAGAAATCACATCAAAACTTACCAGAATATCATTAGGATTAAGTTTAATATCTTTAATCACATTCACAAGATGTTCTGAATATCTTATGAATGAAGATGTCCTACCGATGTAGGGCTGTATTTGTTTAGTTATATATTTTGCTAATTTATAAGTGGCAGAGCCAATTGTACGGACTATGGGTCGTAATGGGATGCCGATTTTATGAATCTTTGGTAGCCCATACAGTCGAGGTGGTTTTGAGGCCCTTGGCTTAATTTGGTGTTGCTCATTCTTAGGGATGAATGAATTTGCAATTATTGCAGTAGTCTTACGTTCTAAAGTATTAGTTGGATCTCGTTTAATTTAATGTAGGTACTTTCCTCTAGTAAATTTCTAATTTTATTATCATAATCGGCTTGTGACATCACTACAGTAGTGCCGCCTTTATCAGCTGCCAGGATTTGGATATCTTTATTTACACGGAGCGCTCTTAAGGATTTTTCTTCGTTGTAACTGATATTTATCAATTCCAGACACCCTGCAATCAAATTCACCATGGAAGTGGAGAAAGATGGCAAGCAACCATTCTTGGATGTTCTCTTTGAGAGGAGACCTGATGGCTCATTGGGGCATTCTGTCTACAGGAAACCCACCCACACAGATTCCTACTTGAAGCCTCATTCCCACCACCCAGCTCAAAATAATTCTCTCATCAAAACGTTATACCACAGGGCTCATTGCATTTCGGACCAACACCACCTGACCAGTGAATTAAAACATGTACACCTGGCCCTCAAGAGAAACGGATACTCTGACCGTACCATCCGCCAAGCTGTTTCTCCCTCCATACAGAAACAACCACTTGATACTCCGGTCAAAACCATCACACTACCATATATAGCAGGCGTTACCAAAAAGATCTCCAAAATTCTAAACAAACACAAGATCCTGGTCCGGTTCAATACAGTACACAAAATCCGTGACCTGATCCCATCCATGAAGGATGTCATCCCTGACTTACAGTACCCCAGAGTTTACAAATTGAGTTGTACCTGTGGTGACTGCTATATCGGGGAGACGAAACGACATACCTCTGACCGAATTCGCGAGCACAAATCAGATCTGTAACACGGCAGAACGAATTCATCTGCTGTGGCTGATCATTGTTACAACGCTATGGGTGATCATGAGATTGTCTTCTCCGATACCAAGGTTCTCTGTAAACCTACAGGTTATCACCAGAGATTTGTCCACGAAGCCATTCAGATATACAAACACAGACATAACTTCAACCGAGAGGATGGTTTCAAATTAAGCAACCATTGGAAAGACGTTTTAAATCATACCAAACGTCAACTAATTTCTAACAGAAATTTCAAGTAATGGTATACCAAGCTGATTCCTTCCGAACTTTCTATTAAACCCTTTTTTCTATTCTCCCCTGACAGCACATTCTTGCCGATCTTTCATTTTTTCTGTTTCTATTGCACACACACAGTGACCCATCCTCCGCACCCTCTACACAAAAACATGCTAACCCCCCAGCTAATTTTCTGACTTTAACACCCTGCTGCTTCAACACTTTAACACAGCTATTTTTGATATGTGAACTCCTTTGTCAAGGTGCCCTGCTCCTCCCACCGAGCATAAAGGACGCCGCGAATCTTAGCAGCGGTCATTGAAGTGCTGTCGTCCCGACAGTTCTGTTCCTTCACCTGAAGAAGGCCACTTGTGTTGTGGCCGAAACGTCGTGATTTTTTTAAAAATTTGTTTTACCTACGTGACTTTACCGAATAGAACCAAAGAGTATAGCTAATATTTACTTTTGGAACTTTGCTAGTCTCAATTATTTTGGCAACCTCGTGTCTAGTCATCTCTGACTCATTATGTGGAAGGAGTCTTACTGCTGATTCTACCTCAGCAATTATCTCATCCACTGGAATTGTGCTTGGGGTAACGGCAAAGTTAAGGCCTTTAGAAAGGACAGAGATCATGTCACTAGTTAAAACAGTGTTAGTCAAGTTCATTACGGTTTTGTTTTTAAATTGTTCGTTTTTAGTAGGGATTTGTTTATTATGAAGTCTAGAAAATGTATTCATTTGGTTAGTTTTTGTTAGATTAAACACTCAGGATTAACTGACAAATTAGCCCGTGTTTTGCAAAAGCAAAACATTACAGTAAGATTTGGTACAGTACACAAAATTCAAAAACTAGTATCTTGCACTAAAGACGAATTACCTAAATTATGAACAGAAGGTGTATATCGGATTAATTGTTTATGTGGCAGATGCTATATTGGACAGACGGGACGTAACGTCAGGATAAGACTAAAAGAACACCAAAGAAATATTAAATCATCTCAAACACAATTGTCGGGAGTGGCAGAACATGCTTGTCAACAAGGACACTCAATTGATTTTTATAACGTTGAAGTGTTGTGTAAAACTAATTATTACTGGCAAAGACTAATTAGATAATCCATTGAAATTGAGAGAAACAGAAATAACTTTAATCGTTCTGATAGCTATAGGCTTAGTGTGGCTTGGAAGCGTATTATTAAATAATACATATTACAATTCGTTATAGGGGAAACACATACTAATTAACGGATTACTAATGTAGCATATAATCACAATAACACACATCACAACTAATTACTAATCTACAACTGATTACTAATCATAACCATTGACTGATTACCAATCGATTATATAATTACTGCACCTGAAATGAGTTAAATGATGACGTCACCCTGCTGCTCTATTTAAGACCGGGAGCTAGTGAGGGCTTTACCATTCTGGCGAATTGCCCGATGATGCTGGATGTAATTACAAGCCAAACGTCGTATTCAAACTGTAAATGTTGTGGATTCACTCTTCAACACACCGGTGGGCTAAAGTAGTGAACTAATTGTCTTTTGTCAACGTGACACTTTTTTGCTGATTGGCCATGTCGGGTGGTGGAGGGTTACGACACATTTATAAATAACGTGATCTAACCCAAAAACCTTTATGAATAATATTGGTCGCGAAAGCCTACGTGTTAAACTGCACGCATCTTTACAATCTTAGTTCCCATGGAGAGGGCTGTGCAGATTAAGTAATACAAACAACGCTCGGGAAGCATGGACACAGCAACGAGTGTGCAGCACCGGTTGAACTGAATGAAGACGAGGTTCCAGATTTCCAGCACGTCGGGGTCGTCCTGGTTGACAAGGTGTGCTGCATCTCGTCCTCCAATGCGGTCGAAGTGGATCTCAGTGCAGGGGCCGCAGGGTCCAGTGTCTCCCATCTCCCAGAAGTTGTCCTTCATGCTGCCTGGCAGCACACGTTCCTCTGGCACACTGTAGGCGCACGCATACACAGATAGGACATTCAAGGCCACACTCAGCAAAGCGTCATAGTCAGAACTTTGCCTGCGACACTGTTGGTCCTGCTGCATGCTTGGTGATCGATTTTAACTAATGCTTCGTCCTTATCAGGTCCTGCGTCATCTTGGGGCACTTTATTTACAGGAACTGCTGACACTTTGTGCTCCTTGATAGCAGTGAATGCTTAACTTTTAATGGTACTGAGAAGTCGTCTAAAAACAGGAGCGGTAAGAAAATGTAGTTGTGCGCTCTGCCTCTGGAAATCTTTTCCAAGCCATAAATATTGAAACAATCAGATATTTAAGATCAAATAAAATAATATTTGTTTGAGATGGCTTATTTATTAGCTGCATTGCTTGGGCAATGGCTTTATTTATTTATTGTAAAGCACCCAGGGATACTCTGTAATAATATATTGAATATAAAAGCAAACACATCGCATTGTAATAGGTATTGTAAATGACATTGTATTGCATTGTATGTTGTGATCGCGACACTGTAGGAAGAGTGCGGTCGTGACCCGAGATCGAGCCAGATCTGCTTGCACTCCAGGTCGGGCTGCAGCTGGGCCTTCTGGTCTCCACCAAAGTAGGTAACGTAGAGACGCTCGAGGGGCAGCTGCAGGTCTCCCACCAGCAGCGCCATCGCCATCTCACACGCCTCTTTCTAGGGACACCACACGTGCAACACCACTCAAATGTTCACTACGTCGGTTTCCAACGGGAGGAGGTCTTTGTGAACCCCAAGGGGGGTGGCACCAGGTTGTGGTTGTAAAAGGGTGTACAATCACTTGGAAATATTGATAAACTAGGTCTACAAATTACAGGAGAGGTTGGTGTAGAAATTGGCCTTTGGGTAGAAACTAGGACTGTACAATCCTATGACTTGGCAATTTGACACATTGCAGTGATAGGGGTGGTGCTTTGATGCTTGAATCTCAATGTTAGTCATTAATTAGCATGAGGCTGAATTCTAGGAGAGCTTGTTTGTAACAAGCCATGAAAATTCAGTGTGCTAATAGCAAGCGAAACAAATGAACACGCAGCCATGTGGATTTGGGCATGTAATGGGCTAATGGCTCGAATGCCAGCAGCGTGCTTTGGCAACAGCCTGATGATGTATGCTCACTACTAGACATTCACATTTGTGGAGGTTATATAATGCTGTGCGCTGGTGTCACACCGCTGCTCTTACCTTGAAATAATCTCCAAAAGACCAGGAGCCCAGCATTTCAAAGAAGGTGTGGTGGTAGACGTCTTTGCCCACATCATCCAAGTCATTGTGTTTGCCGCCTGCGCGGATGCACTTCTGTGTGTTGGCCGCGCGGTGCAACTGGGCCATCGGGTGGGATGGGTCAATGGTGTTGAGGAATATCGGCTTAAACTGTAGAAGGAAAAGACAGAGCAAAACATTTTCCCAAGGCACCAAGTGTATTTGAGTGAGCCTATGCAAAGCTACATTTCTGACCTTGTTTGTTTTACTTCTATAAGGCCAAGAAAGATATGTTCATGCAATGGCACATATTTTTGTTATCTACAACCACCAGCATATTTGGTGACAAGAAACACAACACAGACAAGAAACAAAAATACATTTGGGGCTCTTCCTCAACCTTGATTCGTGGACACAAATATTTCTTGGTTTGAAAATATGCTTCCTGTATGGTAGCCACCCGCCACAGGAAGCTCGAGTCGCAGTTATAGTACCCGAGGTACAAGCACATACCGCCTATCACCTGCTGGACATTCACAACGACTCACGAGGCTGGGAATTCACCTGGTTCATGCCGGCATTGGCAAACAGCAGCGTGGGGTCATCTCCTGGGATGGTGGAGGAAGAGTGCACGTACGCGTGCTCGTTCTTCTTGAAGAAGTCTATGAACTTCTGTCGCACTTCGCTGGCACTCAGAGTTGGTGCCATGGCAGCGCTGGTAATGCGTCGGGTCGCACCTGCGTCAGCATCGCCACGAATGACAAAGGTGACATCGTCTCGTTAGCCACATTCGCACAGAGGAACCCTCTGTGACTGGTCCACAGCGCGCTGCCACTTAAATGAGCGTGGACGCAGCAGTTTGTCGGGGGAAGTTTTTAAGTTTACGACTCGACGTGGTGGTCATGTGCCCAGACAACCCTGAACACCTTTGCAATGAGATGGCCCACCTCAAGGGATCGTCTACGCGAGATTCATTTTTAAGTGTTACCTTTAGATGTGACATCTCCGAATGGTTACACTCGACCACACCTTCACGTTTTAAAACATGTAATATCCTTAAATGCTGCCCAGACCTGTAAAGTTGTGCGAGGAGGAAGGAAAAACCCAAAGAGAGACAACAACACTCGCCAAAGCTGACGTGGAGCCAGTCTATTCTAGATGTGAAGCTTTTGTGACTGCAAGGATCCATACTCTTTGGTTCTATTCGGTAAAGTCACGTAGGTAAAAAATAAAACAACAAAAATCACGACGTTTCGGCCACAACACACCTGATGAAGGCCACTTGTGTTGTGGCCGAAACGTCGTGATTTTTGTTGTTTTATTTTTTACCTACGTGACTCTACCGAATAGAACCAAAGAGTATGGAGCCAGTCTACAGCATCTGCGCATTCCGCCTCGAGTGAGGCTCCTGGACAGAAACCAAACTCATTCCGCCCCAGGGCGATCACACCAGTCATCAGCATTCACATCACGACAGTCAAGTAGAGTTCATGTTTGTGAGTTTAGACGGCTTCATCAAAGTCCCACGACCTCTCAAACGCTCTGTGTTAGTTTGGAGAACCCTCACACAAGAGCCGATAAACCTATTCTCCAACTCTCCAATGGGGCCCACCAACACACAAAGGGCATCAACACACGAGGTTTATAAACACACGAGCCATCAAAACCATCCACACAGCGAAACATCAACATCGTCTAAATCGGAGGCCTTTAAACACATACGGCTCATGAATACAACGACACGGGGAACATCAACACACGGGATCGACTCAACAAGGCCCATCAACAACCACACTCCCATCACACGCAAGCCCACTGACGCTATCAGCACGCTGCGCGAGAATGAAAGGCGCCGCCTCACCGGGAGGGCGGCTCGTGGACTCGGTACGAGGCGCAGCCGTGCGGGTGATGGGCGCTGTGCTGGTCTCGCTGTGCTCGAGGCGGTGAGGGGTCTCGCTGCGCTCTCCTCGCCTCGCTATTCTTCTCAGAGTGCTTCTCTTCAACGCCGCTCGGCTGATGCAAGCCGCGTGACGTCACCGCCAACACACGTGCTCGCGCCACCCCCGCATTTATATTTCACAATACATACACGTATAAAGCATTGTATTTCATAGTGCATATCGTATATAGCGTAAGATTTCATAGTATATACGCGTATAGAGTATTATATTTCATAACGTAGACGCGTATGTAGCATATTTCGCAATGCGTACACGTATACGCTAGATTTCGTAATGCACACACCTATATACTTTTATTTCATAGTGCGAATGCGTAAGCATTATATTTCATAATGTACACGCGTATATAGAATTATATTTTGCACTGCATGCACTGCGAAATGCACACGCTTGTTTACATGTTATGTATGCGCGCAAACTGTATTAGCAGGAAATCCCTGGCGTTGCCCGGGTACTTGCGGCTATCTTTTGTGAATGTAGAATGGCTCAATCACTGTATTCCGGAGGGGGTCAAGGCGTTACAACAACTGTCAAGATCTTGCCGTGCCACCTGTTCTGTACTGAATGGGGCACGGCAAGATCTGGCGATCTTTGTTCGAAGCGGGAATGGTGCCGCGTTGTTTGCCTCGCACGGAAAGACGATGCTCACGAACGTTGAGCGTGACTTGGAATCATCAACGGCAGTAGTGGGGGGTCATCATGTAAATGTGTTTACGAGGGGGTCATTATGTAATTGTTAAAAGCAAAAGGTTTTCCGCGGGGTTTTAAAATGTGACCCTGCCAAGGGTGGTGGCGATAGCTTTAACGGTGTTGATTTGTAGTCGAAACAGACTTTCATTTTTATAGGAGTAATAAAAGATTATTTACATTTTCGAGCAATAGCCTTCATGTTTACGCGTTTGTGCATCAGGTATCCACATCTACTGCCACGGTTTGTGCAGTGAATGCGGCTCAGGGTGGACCGCGAGCTTCCTGGAGGATCAAACCCAAGGGTGTCTCCTGCGTTGGGTCTTTCACAACAAGGCGCTGTCTGCGAGCTCTTTTGAACTCCATTCAGCTCTCCAAGCTTTATCGAGGTAGTTGAAGGTGAAGCGCATGGGTCCAAAGAAGCTTTGCGGGACTTGGAGCGATTACGAGGGGCGTCCTTGAGGCCCTGGTGGATGGGAAGGCGACCGTTCTCCATTCGCGGGCAGCGTTGCAGCGGTTGTGTGGGGAAGCGATTTGTGACAGCACGGGCAGCTTGGGTGTTGGGGTCGACTTGAGGGTCCCAGTGAGACACCCGCATCGCAGTGTTCAGTTGGACATCAACAAGTCGAGTGTGACTACTTCTGGTCCCACACTGGTGCACAGGACTTGGCTACAAGGTACACAATGCGTGAGGCCGCAGTCAAGCGAGTTTGGAGATGTTATTGTGGGGACAGCCACGGAAATGTCTGAGATTCAAAGAACATCGGATTAATAAGTACACACGGGGTTGAGGATATGAGGAACTGATAAGCATCTAGCTGGCCTACAAACGCGTTTGCACAATGAAATGTAACGCTATGTTTTGTTGCCACATTGCTATTCCCCGCACACATTTAAAGCTCTCCTGCAGTTTCCATTCTGCAGTCTGCGTCATACCTATAAAAATTCAACAGGAGACAGTTACGTTTGATGCAGAGAATGATCCATTTACACACAGATTTGCTTTCTCATCAAGCTGAGAGTTGCACTATAGAAAAAAATGAGATTTTAGGAAGATTCACTGGTGCTTGTAGCATTTTACCCAAATTGATGGAATAAATAACTGTAGACCTTGTATCCGTGTCTCATCATTTTATTTTGGCAAAAATGGCCAACAATGCACTCCAACACTGTTGCACTGACAACACAACATAAAAGTTACTTTAAAAAATTAGATTATTGAGCAGAAGATTTTAAAAACAATAGCACTTTAATCCATTGGTTGGCCACCCTGTAACATCACCTATTTTGATCCTAAAATCTGCTGTAATTAGTTTTTATAATATGCTGTAATTATATTCTTAGCTCTTTCGGTAGTCACGTTGAAGGGAAACAATAAAATAATAAAATATATATTTTATTGTTTCCCTTCAACGTGACTTTACCGAAAGAGCTAAGAATATGAATTACTGCAGTCACGAAAGCTTTAAATCAAAATGCTGTAATTAGTTCTATAATCTGTTGTAATTAGTCCTAAAGATAAAAACTGAAATATACAAACACCGTGCTCATAACCGCACGCTCAGAAAGTAAAATCTCAAACCGATGCATAAACCAGAGCAAATCTGTGACTGCTGCAACTAATGGGAAAAAGCAGTAAAAAAATGGCACAGGAAGCCAGAAGCCAGCCCACAGAGCAGGAAGCGCCGCTCCTCAGTAGGGCTGATTGTGCAGGAAGTGGGAGAATGCAGTGAAGACCTGCAGCGGCTTGTCCTTTGGACTCATGTGGCCCGCACCCTGCCGAGCACAGCACAGGGAGGAGATGCAACACTGGTAATGTCACACCCACAGACCACTGTCCCCAGTTACTCCAACCGTGGGAAATCACATCGTGACCTGTCCTATATGCAACCAAATAAACCAGCAAACGATGCATCTCCTTTTCTGCAAGGTCATAACCCTCCACATAAATGATAAACGGATTTTTACACGTTCCATCAGTCACACTGCTTTATGAGAGTGACTTCTTCCTGCAGCACTGATTCAATAAAAGCAGGCTCTGTATCGTTTTGACATTCATAGTTTCATCAGCACAGTCAAGTTTGCTTAAAGCAATTCTGGTGAACTGCCATAGGTTTGAAGGCAAAGACCCTCTCTGAGATATGGGAGATAACCATGTAGAGGGACAGATATGGATATGGGAAAGAGAGGCATTGTCTGCTTATTTATTTTGTTACTTATATTCTCCACACCAACACGAATTAGTACTGTGCGTTGTCTAGACAAAGTGTGTGTGTGAGGAAAGAGGATGTGTGTTTGTGAGCCTGACCCGCACGGTGAGAAATGCGAGGTTTTGGAACTCCTTGATGAAGCCACCAATCTGGTTACTGCCCCCATCCTTGTAGAGCCATGGCCGGCGCTCCACGGTGACCTAAAATCACCGGCCATGCACACAGGGTTCACCCATGTCGCCGTGTGAAACAGTCACCTTCATTATCATAGGAAACAACTGAAGACATGTACATATCATGACTGTTACCACTAAAATGTGCCCAAGAGCAGAATAAGACTCTATAAAACTAAAGCTCACGTCTTGTTTTGCAGACCAGTTTCAACAGGCTAACAATCATTACATGCAATACTGGCTGGACGATTGGTTAAACACCATGGGGTGTTCTGTACAGTGACTGAGCACAGGCTCAAAGGCAAAAACACATCAAGCTGCCAGCAACAAACAGCACTATCAAATGTTGTAATAAAGCGAGTAACACGTTCCTTGAAACGAGTAGGGTTATACGAGTTTGGGAAAAGAGACAAACAGGTGGGAATTCCGAAGTGGAGCAGTGCAAGGGAAGAAGCAGAAAGATAAGTGATTTAACCTGCAGTGTGGTGAGTTAAGTGGCCTCAAAGTGCACCTAGCATGGCACAAGCGCCATGGTGACGTTATTATGAGTGTATAATTGCAAACTGCAGTGTCGTGGTTGTACGGTGTGGATGAGATAGCTTGGTAGCCAGTCCTCAACATGGGTGGAGGAATCAATGAGTGAAGTTCACAGGAAATGTAACCCTGGTAGTAGCGATAGAAGAGTGATAAGGAGGCGACTGATCACTGGTGAATGTAGTGGTCAAGACCTATAAAATTGAATCTAAACATTGGTTCTCACATTTTCTTGACATGCGAGCGAATCAAGTGATAGCAGCAGTGACGCTTCGCGTCCACGAGAGGGTAGCATTGTTCAACTGAGGCCCAACGCTTTGTGCACAACTTAGTGCCTGGCAGCTTCAATACAACGACTCGTCTCTCTGTGAAGCACCTTCTGCTGCAAGGACTCAACGAACCACTCCTCCCCCAGGAAGTTGCAGACCATGTCGACGTCCCCATTGTAGAAGAGGATTCTGTATTTCTGTTAATGACACATCACATAATCAGAACTTGTATTTAGACTGGAGGAATCCAATGAGCTATGAAGCTCTTTTTCACAGATGTCCAGGAGGGACTGGTCAGCAAGTTACAACAACAGTAAAAAACGATAGGCGTGCACTGCACCACCCTCCTTTGAAGGTTTCCTGGCTTGGTTGGGAAGTTGGGATTGTGGTCTGGGATGTGTAGACCTCATGGAATCATTTATTTGTCGTGACAACTTTTTTGTTGTTTTTAGTTTTGTTACCATTTCTTAATGTTTATTTTTGTTTTATTTTGCTTGGTAGTAGGCTTTTCACTTGCTTGGCAGTGGCTGTATATGGGATTTGATCCGGATATATAATTAATTTATAGCGTTGTGGGATGCTATTAGAATGAGTTACACTATATACATTTGAATCATTTTTAAATCACGAAATACAAATAACAAAAATAATAAAAACATAAAAAAATCCGTTTTTTCAAGACTAAATGCAAGCATGGGCAAGGCAGCAAAACAACGAAAACAATCCTAGACCACACCAAGACAAAACACCGTCCCTCAATAAAATGGGATATTCAAATTGCTTCAGCTGAAGAGTTCAATCAAAGTGGAAGTGTTCATTAGAAGTAAGACCAAGGCATTCTTAAGGCAGGGCATGTCTTGTCTGAGTGGCAAATAAAGAACCTCACCAGGGATCCCAGGAGCCGGAGATGCTGTTTCCGCATGTCCTCGTATTGCCACACAAAGTGACGATTCACAAAATCACTGCAGGGAGATAACCAGTCAGAGTTATTAACCGCATCATCGTTTCTGTAAACATCACACTATGCACTCTCGTCTACCGTAGAAAGGAACTTAACGCAGTCTTGCTGGTGCCGTAGAGCAGTGGTTCCCAAACTCCCTGGACCCACGGACACTGTGAATCCTCAACACCACCGTGAACTACAGTGCTGTCAAGGATTTTGGTTGTTTGGTGAAACTAATGTTTCGTGGAGCACTCCCCACTGACTCGTGGAACGCCAGTGGC